TTAGCCCTCTGGTAGTCGTATTTGCGCTGAAAGCGTGTCTGGAGCTCTACACGCCGCTTAACAAAGTTTGAAGCCCAACGCGACCCAACGCGTGACGCGTCGCGTGTTGCAAGTAGTCGACTTGCCATATCTTCAACAACAGACAGCCGAGGAGGAAACCCTTTGGCAGCTAGGTCGAGTATATACTGAACAAGGACGGACTCCTCTAGGTTAGTTAATTTCCGTGAGTTGGCTTGGATATCGCGTCGTGAAGGTACACCTTCTAGACGACGACCTAGCTTGCGGTGGTCCACAGAATAGATCCTAGCAGCAACTCGAAGGCGTAACTTTGGGTCGCTTTGCATAGCCTGGATAGCTAGCACTAATTGGCTTTCATCGTTTTTATGGGGCATGTTTTGTTGTTGAGGAATTTAACATTTAGTTGGGGGGTTTGGTCACCGCATCATTTTGGCGCTTTCGCTTGTTTGGCGCTTTCGCTATACATGTACGTTATGGCTAATATACGAACTCTGTGTCATATTAACTAACGTAACGTATGGGGTAGTCGGACATATGGTGTAGTCGGACAAAAAGTTTATTCTACTCTAGTTGACCGAGTCCTACGTGCCACACACTCCTCCAATTCCAATTCTGGGTCGCTTGAATCGTTCTCTACCTCTTCCTCTTCAACTTCCTCGTCTACTTCTTCAATTGGCCGTTTGTGTGGCCTTCCACGTGGTCTTTTCTCGGTTGACTTCAACTCTGCCTCCCGGACAATTTTCAACACTTCCTCGGTACTGAATACAAATTCGCCTTGCAACTTAATTCTCTTGCCCGTAGTTCTTTTCTTTCGTGTCTCAAGTATCTCTTTGTACTCTTTTACCTCCTTCCGAAGGATGCTGAGTTCAGCATTCTGACTTTCAACCAGCCTAGTCATTCTCTTGGCATAGCGTCAAGTTGGTTAAGCAGGAGAGTCACAAGTTGCCATACTTGAATTAAATACTAAATTTGCATGCCTTAGTTCAGTTCCATCTGGAGGAGAACTTCAGAGTATTGAGAGATCCAGAGTAGTGATATTGGTTGAGTTTTGAGGAGTGCGAGGTGGTTCGGTTGGTGGAAGTGGAAGGTTAGCCAGAACTCTTTCTGGGAGAAAGGGTATTAAACCTGCTGCCCTCCACCCACTTCTAATGTTTTGAGGTATAAGACCCTTCTCTCAAATACACCGGAAGATTTCAACCCAGTGGGAGCGCTGGATTCGCTTTATTCCTGCTCGAGTATACCGATCTACTTCCTGAGCATGAAATCGCTTAAGAGGTCCATACACCCCAACATCAAGTGGTTGGAGTAGATGAGAGCAATGAGGCGGTAGAATAAGAAGATCGATGTCATTCTCAATGCACAGTGCAATCATATCGCCAGTAATGTGACTAGAATGGCCATCCATAATCAACATTCGCGGGTGATTTCCAGACTTTTTGCGTGACTCAGGCTCAAATTGTAATGGTGGGTGCACCAGATATGAGAATCTAGCCACCCAAGGAAGGGATGAATTTACTAAGACAACACACTGTCTTAGGAAACAGAGCCAAAGGGTTGTAGCTTAGACTATTCCACAACGCAGCAATCAGGTGTATGATGTGGTGAAGTGGTTTAGACAAGTTGCAACAAATGTTGAGTCTGAGAACTCAGGGGTAAGTCAGAGGTTAGCACCTCACTGACTTTTCAAAAACAGAGAATAACAAGATCAATGCTTGGAAGCTTGGAAAAGACGTAGAAGTATGTGCTAGTCGATTTACTGTATTGCCTGCTTGCCCTTTCTTAAGGAAAGGGCAATCCTATTTATGCCAAAGGAGTGTAGTTCTCTCATTTTCCATGACTTTCCATGACTAACCAGGCTTGGTAAATGTATTAGAAATCAAGTGCGACCCACAACTAGCTTGCTAATCATGTAGTGAACGTAAGAGAATCCCATAGAACCATCTCTTGGGTTCCTAGCCTATAGGAAGTGAAAAGGAGGTCCAAGGTCAGAGTACCTATAGACAAATTATGTCATAACTTAACCAATCTTGTGGGTAACTAAGGAGCGATGACGTGTAATGAATCATAGAGGGTTGTAGAAGCTTCTAGAGCTATCGTTCATGTTCCTAGGCCTCTAGTTGGTAGAGATATGCCATGTGGTAGTATTGGCCCACCCCCTTAAGGAGGAGATTTTCTTAATAACTTGTTCAATGAGTGTCCAAATGATATGCCGTGATGTATGTAGCATAAACAGATGTAGTAGAAGAGTTTGCAGCAATCGTTGAGTAGTATTGCTTCTGTTGTTGGTGTGATAAGCCAAGATATGTATGGTGACTTGTAGGTTTGAGGAGGAGATTTCTAAGTTTGCTCTTGAGTTTGATAGCAAACTGAGTGCAACGAATGTCAGTATGACACGAATGACTTCTGGATCTTCGCACTTAGCCCTCTGGTAGTCGTATTTTCGCTGGAAACGTGTCCGGAGCTCTACATGGCGCTTAACAAAGTTTGAAGCCCAACGTGACCCGACGCGTGGCGCGTCGCGTGTTGCAAGTAGTCGATTTGCCATATCTTCAACAATAGACAACTGAGGAGGGAACCCTTTAGCAGCTAAGTCAAGTATATACTGAACAAGAACTGATTCCTCTAGGTTACTTAATTTCCGTAAGTTGGCTTGGATATCGCGTCGTGAAGGTACGCCTTGTAAACGGTGACGTAGCTTGCGGTGGTCTACGGAATAGATCCTAGCTGCAACTCGAAGGCGCAAATTTGGGTCGCTTTGCATAGCTTGGATAGCTAGCACTAATTTGCTTTCATCATTTTTATGGCGCATGTTTTGTTGTGGAGGAATTTAACATTTAGTTGGGGGGGTTGGTCACCGCATGATTTTGGCACTTTCGCTTGTTTGGCACTTTCGTTATACATGCACGTTAATCATAATCATGAATAATCATGCTTATGTAATATTTGACTATTCGAATAACGTATTCCACCAGTAAGCCGGTAACACCCGTAAGCCGGTAATCATGTCGAAAATCAACCCACAAACCATCCGTAAACCTGTTAACTATACAATATGTCTCAACATCAGAGCTCTCAGTTAGCTTCAAAAGAAGGGAGAATACTCCTAGCTATTCAAGCCTTCCGTAAAGGCCAATTTAAGAGCCTTAGAGCCGCTACGAAGGTGTACGGAGTACCTTATTCAACTGCTAGCGATCGTCTTCACGGTCGCACTCTGAAGACCGAGTTACGATCCATACACTGCAAACTCACAGAGACTGAGGAATCTAGCCTTATAAATTGGATCCTATCAATGGATGAGCGTGGTCTAGCACCTCGAGTTAATACCGTACGACAAATGGCCAATTTACTCCTTGAAAGACGCGACAAACGGAGCTCAACTTTAATGGCTACGGACCATCAAGATCTTACAGTTGGCCAGAATTGGGTCTATAAGTTCGTACGACGTCACGAAACCTTACAATCACGATTTAATCATAAATATGACTATCAGCGAGCGAAATGTGAAGATCCTACTATCATTCGAGCCTGGTTTCAACTTGTGGAGAATATACGGGCGAAATATGGGATTACAGATGATGATATATATAATTTTGATGAAACAGGATTCCAGATGGGAGTGATCACAACCGCAAGAGTGATTTGCGGGTCTGAAAGAGCTTGAAAGCCAGTTACTCTCCAGCCAGGGAATCGGGAGTGGGTAACAGTTATTGAGGGCATTTGCACAGATGGTTGGAGCACGCCTCCAATGGTGATATTCGAAGGGAAGCTTCATCAATCCACTTGGTACACTAAGTCTCTTCCACTGAATTGGGTGATTGGTGTTAGTGAAAACAGTTGGACGAACGATACCCTTGGCTTTACATGGCTTACGGAGGTATTTGAGAAGCATACAAGAGATTGTACGAAAGGAGTATACAGACTCCTAATTCTAGATGGTCATGGAAGCCACAGTACTCCTGAATTCGACTTATTCTGCAAGGAACACTCAATTATTACGCTTTGTATGCCGCCGCATTCGTCACACCTATTACAGCCTTTAGATGTTGGTTGCTTTGCGGCTGTAAAACGGATTTACGGACGGCAGATTGAAAACCTTATGCGTAATGGTCTTAACCATATCGACAAGCCCGACTTCCTTAGAGCTTATTTAAGTACTCGACTAGAGGCTCTAAATACAAACAATATTCGAAATAGCTTTATGGCTGCTGGGCTTGTTCCGTACAATCCAAGTTACGTACTTGAAAAGCTTCATATTACTTTACGGACACCAACTCCACCTATAAACCATCCGCAAAGCTCTCCTTGGAAACCTGAGACTCCGCATAATATTCGAGAGCTTGAGCGTCAAACACAAACGATTAAGGAGTACATTCAACGTCGTACGCATAGTCCACCAAGTCTTACAGAGGTTGCACTTAATCAACTAGTCAAGGGTTGTCAAATGGCTATGCATAGTGCTGTGCTTCTTACGGAGGAGAACCGCCAATTACGGGCCGAAAACGAGAGGCAGAAGAAGAAGAGAGTAAAGCGGAGGTCATATATAGCTACAGGAGGAGTTCTTACAGTTCAAGAAGGGTTGAATCGCTCCCAAATGGTTGATATTCAGCATGTTGAGGAGCTAACGAGCATTCTGCAAGAGCCACGAATACGCGCACCCCCTAGGTGCAGTATATGTTCATCACTTGAGCATAATGCTCGAGTATGCCCTCAGAAGGTTAATTGTAATTAATTCAATTCCAAAGTAATCAATTCAATTCAATTCAATTCATTTTGTAATTTACGGATGGTTTGTGGGTTGATTTTCGACGCGATTACCGGCTTACGGGTGTTACCGGCTTACTGGTGGAATACGTTAGTCATGATTATTATGATTATTTGTGCTAACCCTGATGGGAACTTGCAAATGGAATGTAGAGAATGTCACTCTGCAATCTTCCTAACATGAAACCACAGTAGAGATGGAATTAAAAAATGGGAAGTTAAGTTGACAAGTAGGAGGAGGTGGAATTGATTAGTATCATTATCAAAAGAAGATTCTCATTCCAAAACTCTTCCCATTACAAAAGAGTGTATAGAAAGCCGTCCTAATACTCTTATGTAAGAGGATAATGCGCCATTACATAGCCATTATATATAACAACGGGTATTTGATCTTTATGAGATTAAACGAATATTTTAGTGTGTTAATTCACCTAACCTTAACACAATTGAGCCATGTTAGCCATAGATGAAGCGACGGACTACACAGAAGGGAGCACCTAAAAGCCTTATAGAGGTAGTACGGGCGTGGGAGGGCTGCTAGGAAGACCTTCTACAATCTCAAATCCAAGCGTGGATTAAGAGGATTCCTCGGCATATATAGAAGGTCATTGAACTTGAAGGCCGTAACGAGTATAAGGAGGGGCGGGCAGATTGAATAACTCGGTATGAATTGAATTATGAATCGTGGCGTTATTAGCGTAGGACAAAACTTTTGAAAGCCACCTCCGCTACAATATGGCCTCCTTACTTGTGCCCAAACCATCCCTTCCATTAGGCCTACCCTGTCTGGTTGGTACAACATATAGACCACAATCCATTCTCATATCTGCCCCCCTGACGTCACAGGCTCTGTTCATCAACGCCCTCCACCATACTATACACTCTCTAATCTCAGTCCCCCATCCCATCCCATCCCATCACTCCGAGTCATAGTCCACCAGCCCCTTGCTAGCCGTGCCTGTTGCCGCTGCTGCAGTCTCTATCGTCGCTCCCTCTCCCCCAGCATTAACTTCACCTCCGCCTTCAATCTCCCCACTGCCCCCCTCAACCCCCACCCCACGCTTCCGCTTAACCCCCAACACCGCCCTCCCGCCCGCCACCCGCCCACCATCCAGAAACGGATCCATCCTCTCCCGCGTATTCCTCCCCACCGTCCTTGCCAACATCTCCTTTCTCTCGTCCGGCCCCGGTTTCTTCTTCTTCTTCCCTTTCAACCGTCCCTCCCCCCTCTCCCTCTCCCCCCCCCCCCCCCCCCCCGGCTCTCCCCTTATCAACATCAGCAAACGCCAACTCCGCCCTCAACCCATCCTCCCTCGTCCCGGGCAAAACCTCCATTTCACTCCCCCCCAACCCCAACCTCGTCTTCATCCCCTCCACCCTCCTCGCCTCGCCCTCCCTCGCTTTTCTCCCCTCCCTAAACGCACCCCGTAGTCGGCAATTCGCCTCATAAGGATCGTCCCACCCCCTCCTCCCTTCCACCAGCTCCGCAATCCGCTCCCTCGCCCCCGCCACCCTCTCCCTCTCCTCTACTTTCCCTTCAAGTCCCATAAAAGCGTTCCCCCTCCTCTCCTCCCTCTCCCTCTCCGTCAGCACCACCACATCCCCCTCCCCAACCCTCTCCTCCCCTAAATCCCTCTTCCTCGCCCCCTCCGTAACAACATACGCCGTATTCGCTGGATCGGTCCTTATCTCAATCGCCCCTCCACACGCAGCGTGTTTAATCCCAAACGCCCAGATCGGTGTGCTGTGGTACATCCCGACCTTGCGCTTCTGCGCATTAAACCGTACGCCCTGCCCGATTATGGTGGGTTTGGGGCAGTGCGTGCACCAGATGGGGAAGGGCATTTCGAAACGGACTGTTAGGATGCCGAGATGTGCTTTTGAACCCCGCGAGCCGAGGGGGTGCTTTTTTTGGAGGGTGTTGGCCGAAGTGACGCCTTCGTGTTCGGGGGGGACGTAGCGGCCCATGTTGAAACCTTGCATTTTGGCGGGAGGGGGACCGTGAGGCAGCGCAAGTGGTGGTGGTGTGTGTAGTGGTTGTAGGAGGTGTTGTAGATGTTCCTGATGAGGATGTCGTCGGTGAGGTGATTGTGGTGGCGGTTATATGGTAGTTGGCCGAGGGTGGCGGGTAGACGTCCAGCGCCGTTGCCGTGGCCGTTTAATCGTGTTCTTGTGGATATATTCAAAGCACAGCGCCTGGCACCACGCTGTCGTTTGGGTTGCCCCTTGCTCCTCCTTCCACCAAGGCAGACGTCGAGGTTGAAGTTGAGGCGACGGATAACAGCCACAGGCGATATCGATAAGATTCTGCCGCCCCCCCCCGCCCTCCTAATATACTTTTTTTTTTACTTTAGTACTAGTGCAACCCAGAAGTCCGAGGAGGTGCATAGTCGCACCGCGTTGACAGTGACTATCAGTAAAATAAACTCTATTAATCATTCCAAGCTATAATTATCCAAGCTATCCATTCCAATTTTACATTCAATATAAATATACTCCATCAGCTTAACTATTGATCTCATTTCCAAGCTATAGACGGCTCCCGGGGGCACGACTACTACCGAACTCTATCCCCATTTGGCCCGTGCACCATCCACTAGCATCGCGCCTACGACCTACCATCTCCCCCACCCCAAACCACAAGCTCAGGAACCATTACCTCACCTCACCTCTCCTTATCTTCCCCTACAAAAAACCAGACAAACCCTTATATATAAATCCACAAAGTCCACACACCAATCCAAACACCTCACCGCGCGCCCCCAACAGCAGGGTACAAAACCCCACGATGGACGCCTACGACCATATCCAGGAATCGGCGCTGGCGCCCGAGGGGGCCTCGGCGGGGGACAACAATAACGGTGGGAATGGGGAGGGGAAACAGATGGCGCAGAATACGTTGAATGCGGATTTTCAGGATGCGTATAAGGCGATTAGCTCGAGTCCTTGGGGGGCGAGGTTGGGGGGGTTCTTGGGGAGTGTGGTTAAGCAGGTCAGTGCTGTCCCGTTCGGTTACGTCGGCGTGGGGCGATGGGAGGGGAAGGGAGAAGATGGAGCGGAGAAGGGTAAGAAGCTAATGGATGCAGGGTGAGCATGTCTACAAAGAAGCTTCCCAAGAACTCAGCGCTGTTGGCCAAGAAGCTACCAAGGGCCTCGCAGACCTCCGATCCTCTCTCGTTGGGCAAACCAAGAAATCCGAAGCCAGCATCGACGACACCACCGCCAAAGACGGCGAGACCCCCGCCGCTGACATGCCCAGCGAAGGCGTCCTCGCCCGCCTACGCACCGAAGCCGCAAAACGACTCAAGGACATCGAGCGCGCCGAAGATGCCGCTGACGAAGCCCTCCTCCGTTTTGGTACCGGCCTCCGCGATTTCCTTCGCGAGGCTGTGAGTATCGCACCCGCTGGCACGGAGGAGGGTGGACAGGAGGGGGGATTCGAGAGTAAAGACGCAGCGGGGAAGCGGGTGATTCACTCAACCCGTTTCGAGGCGCAGATGCACGCTATCCACTGTAATGCGGAGAGCTTCACTAAGGACTCCGAGGGGGAGGAGTGGTCGGAGTGGAGGAAGGAGTTTGATGCCGAGGGGCGAACGGGGGAGATTAGTGCGGATCTGGAGAGGTTTGGGGAGTTGAGGGGGATGATGGAGAGTTTGGTGCCGAGGGAGATCAAGTATAAGGATTTTTGGGCGAGGTATTACTTTTTGAGGCATAGTATTGAGACGGCGGAGAAGAGGAGGAAGGAGTTGCTCAAGGGTGTGTATATGTCTTTTATTCTGTGTTGTCTTCTTCTATTTCTATTTTACCTTTCTTCTGTCCTATCTCAGAGGACCAAGCTAACGAAACCTAGGCGCCGCAGCAGACGCAGAGGAAGAAGTAGGCTGGGACGAAGACTCCGACGACGAAGCCGCCACCGCCTCTGCATCCGCCTCCGCAGCCACAAAGAATAAACCCACATCCTCCGTCGCCTCCTCGCAGACCATCAACCCCCCCGCCACCGCATCGCGCGACGACTCCCGCCTCGACCCCGCAGACGCAAAGCGCCAGACTAGCGCTGACGGACGTAGCGTCGCGGACAGCGAGGCGAGCTATGATGTCGTTGGCGCGCGCAGCGGAGTACCGAGCGCGGCGCCGGGGAGTCCGAGGCAGGAAGGGAAGAAGGGGGAGGAGAGCGATGAGGATTGGGAGTAGAGGATGCGAGGTGGGGCTGGGTTGGGTGGGGCTGGGTTGGCGTTTGGAGGTGGGGTAGGGTATTTGGTTGTGTAGCTCGGGCGTTGGGGTGGGTAGTTGTTTGAATGGATGAAGTGGTATCCCCTTCTCTGTCTCTCTCTCTCTCTCTCTCTCCGTATTCCCAGTTCCGAGATGCTGTGCATCGTGTGTGTGTGATTCGTAACCCCGCCCTTTACCTCTTCTTCCTACTAACCACCGTCTCAAACCCATCCTCATCAATCTGCGGCGCCGCCCTCTCCCTCGGCGCCACCGGCTCTCCCATCTCCACATCATCATCCTCCTCCTCACCCTCACTCTCACTCTCCTCCCCCTCCCCCCCTTTACCTCCTGCATCACAACCGCCCTCCCCTCCCCCCCTCCCACCTCCTCCTCAACTCCTCCACCCCCCCAAAATTCCCTCTCTCACACTCCCCCCTAACCCTAATAATATCATCCGCCACATCCCCGGCACTCCCATCATCAACCGCAACCTCGAATTCATCAAGCATCACCTGCACCAACATTGCTTCCACATCTTCCTCGTTCACTTCGGTGCTCGAGGTCACATACTCGGAAATCGCGCCGCCGAACCAGTCGCGCTTGTCGGAGGAGGAGGGGCCGCCCCAGTTGTTTTGCACGGCGAGGGTGAGGGCCGGCCAGAGGGCGAGGGAGAGGGAGATTCCGAGGTCGAGTTGGGCGCATTTTTGCTCTGGAAGAGGGGGGTTAGTGCGGGGTCTTTTTTGGTGGTGGGGGAGGGGAGGAGAGGGGCAGTACCTGGGGTGGGTGAAGCCATGGTTGGGATGTGATCGGATCGGGGCTTGATTGAGGGATTAAAATTGTGAGGACGTAGGAGTATGGGCGTTCTGCGCGCGTACTGTTGACTTCGTGGTTGTTGCAATCTACGAAATTAATTTTCAAAAAAAAAGTTGAGATGACCTAATCCAGTCCCTCGCACGTGCCGCCCCCGTGCGTTGGGTGTGGGGCACGGACTAGGGCTGGATGTGGAATCTCTGGCAACTGGGAATCTCTTTTGGGACGGATGGATCGATTGTGGTGGTCTTAGATTGGCTGAGGCTGCTGTTGTGATATAAAGACGCCTTTGTTCGCTGTCTGGGCGGTTAATGTCGAATCCTCACTGCTCCTATATTCTGAGCAGTGAGGGTTTTGTTTGAGTAGATGCTCTGTTGGGATTATTATACTCGTTAGGAGGGGGATATTAACTTTCACCTCGACTGTTGGATAAGCTGTTATATACTTGGCGCCATGCCTTTCAACACCGCGACGGTGGGCACGGCAGTTACGCCTACTGTCATTGCCACACTTATATCTCATGTACGCCCATCCCCCCCGGCTCATATCACAAATACACTGCTAACACTCCCCCAGTACCTCAATCGCAAAAAGAGAAAAACCCGGGCTCTCAAACCAACAGCCCACATCTCCTACGACGAAGGCCTTGCCCTTATCCGGCAATTCCTCCTCTACGCCTCCCACCACACCGTCGAAGAGCTCCAGGGCTTCACCTCCCAGAAAGTGGGTCAAGATGAAAGAAGTCAAGATCCCCGCGGCTCAGATCGCCCAGGCCGCCACAACAATCCAAACGCAACTCGGCCCCGAGGGCATCGAGCAAGTCGGCGGCAAGACATGGTGGCAATGGCGACGCCCCGGCAGCGAGCTAAAAGCCGAATGGATCGAGATGCGCGCCGACTACCTTGCGCGCAAGAAATCAGCCGATAAGGGCCGCCGCGTTATGTTCTACGTGCACGGCGGCGCCTAATTCTTCGGCAGCGTCGACGTGCACAGATACCAGCTCCAGCGACACGCGCGCAAGCTCAACGCCCGCGTCTTCGCCCCGCGGTACCGACTCGCGCCACAATTCCCGTTCCCAGCACCGCTGCAGGATTGCCTCGCTGCGTACCTGTATCTGCTGGAGTCGGGGCAGGATGCGTCGACGATTGTTATGGCGGGGGATTCGGCGGGTGGGGGGATGGTGCTTAGCTTGTTGTGTATGCTAAGGGATCAGGGGTTGCCGTTGCCAGCGGGGGCGGTGCTGATATCGCCGTGGGTGGATCTGACGCAGTCGTTTCCGAGTGTGGCGGGGGATAGTACGTTTGATTATGTGCCGCCTCATGGGTTTCATCAGCGGCCGTCGCCGTCGTGGCCCCCGCCGAACTCGGATGATATTGATGCGATAATGGAGGCTCTGGCGACGCAGCAGGCGGAGAAGATGAAGCACGTTCAGGAGAATGACAGGGCTTCGGTCGTGGGGTACCATGTCCAGGAGTCATCAATGGGGAACCAAGATCCAGCCACGGCACGACTTACAAGCGTCCCTGGAAAGGGGCCGAACATTTCTGTCGCCGTCGACGGGAAAATCGTCGAGGTTATTGATCAGATTCATATGTGTACTACCAACGCCCTTCTTTCGCACCCGCTTGTTTCGCCTGTTCTCCAACCTTCTCTCGGCGGCCTCACACCTCTCCAAGCCCGCAAAACACATGTACCGCTCTACAGCGCAATTCAGCGCCTGGGAACTTGCCCGTGCCCAAAAGCGTGAAATAGAAAGCCTCGACGACGACGCTGTGAGCGTGATATCGCGATCCACTTCCGAAGATGGCGTCTCACCGATCGAAAACGAGCTGGCAAAAGGCGCAGTGGGTAAGGCAGGCGACCCATTACCGCCCTTCCATCACCATATGATCCAGCACCGCGTAGACCGACACGGAAACATCTTCGAGCTCGCGCATGCGTCCGAATTGCCGGGTTGCACGATGCCGCGCGAGGAGATCGGGAGCGTCAAGCCCGGTCCGGCGCGCCGCTGGATGGCGGCGAAGGCGAAATTCGACCAGCGCTTCGCGCGGGAGAAGCGGAAGATGCAGAGGCGGCGGATTCGCGAGATGGGCGAGGGCTACGAGGTGTTTGTCGGAGAAACGCCTCCTCCGAGTGCGCTGGCAGGGCGCAGGGTGAAGGGCAAGGAGGCTGCGGAGCGCAAGAGAAAGACGGGATGGGGTCTGGGTATGTGGAGTTTGTGGGGCTCCGAGCATGATAAGCAGACTATCCAGCGAGAGTTGAATGCCACGAATGTGGATACGGCGGCTGCTTCCCCGGATGATGGGGCGGGGGCGGCGACACGAGGTGATGCGCTGGGAAAATCGTCGCTGCCTGTGATTACCGATGCGATTCACCTTGAAGAGCGGGAGCACTCGCGGAGCCGTAGCAACTCGCGCAGGGTTTCGGTAATGGATCGGAATCAGACGGGGGAGCGGGATGATGTGGATGAGGATACCCCCGCTGCGGACCTGGTAGCCATGCAGCAGGGGCCGAATGAGAGGGCGGTGGTGAATCAGTATCTCACGCCTGAGTTTGCGGCTAGGAGGGGGGCGGCGGATGGCGCGGGGAGAGGGGAGAGGGATGGGAAGCCGGTGAGGCCGAAGGCGGGGGGGAAGGCGTTTCCGTTTAGTGCGAGGGGGGCGGAGGGGGAGAGGCCGGAGAGTGCCGCGAGTATGGCTACGCTGATTAGTGAGATGGGGGTGAGGCCTGTGGGGGAGGTTGAGCAGTAGATATTGGGAAGGTGTGTAGGATTATACAGTGTGAATGTCAGATACCAAAATCTGTTGTAAATGTTGAAATATCACCATAAACTTCTTGGTGTCCCCTTTGTGATGCGGTGGAAATATGAGATTCTCATATTTCCCCACCTTGTTCCGGGCTTGGATATGCGGAGATAAACCGGCATAGCAATTTTTTTTTCGTTCCCTTTCGCTATATATTGTAACAGTTTGCTTTGTCCACGCTGTATATTTGCAAAGCCCATTAATTCAAATGCTTGTAAACCAATATCGAGACAGTAGGTTGCATGCACGTTTGTAGGCAAATGCCAAGACGTGATTGGTCTTGGCACGTGCTCTGGAAACGTAAAAGTTAATCGCCACGTGACGACGATAAGCCTTGTTTGGCTCTGCCTCCACTGGCCAACTCAAACCTCACTTCACTTTCTTCTGTCAACAGTTGTGAACTACTATATTTTACTTCACTGTCTGTGTTTGTTGCATATTTATACTGTGTACATTCAAACCCTTTGATCTAAGAGCTTGGAACCACTGTACAGCTATCGATTTCGGAGGCGAAGCTTGTTAGATTGAGATCTAAACTCACGTAAGGCGGGGACTGGTAGCGACGATGAGTAGTGAAATTGCCGCTCTGGAGGCAGAGATCAAGGAGTACAGGCTTCAGGTATGTCTTTGCCTCCCTTTTATGTGGCTGTTCTGCGGCAAGCCCTCATTGCTGGCGTCCACTGTCGACTGCGGCGGCGTATTACTAACCACATCATCCACAACCGTCAGAACGCATGCTAACTCAAGACCCCCACAGCTTGAGACTGTGCAATTAGGTCTCCAATCTGACCCCAGCAATGCCGAACTCCTCGAGCTAAAGAATGAACTCGACCAAGTAATCGCCCTCTCCCAATCCGCCATCGCCGATATTGCGCCTCCCTCCGCACCACCAAAAGCCCAGCACAAAGCCTCCCCGGCACCAGCTGTACCCTCCGCACCCGAAAAATGGAAACGCGAGAACCATCCCAAGTTCCGCGATGCAGCGCCAGCGGCGGCGGAGGAGGAGGAGGCGCGCGAGAAGCCGAATTTCCAGGTCAATGATATGGTGTTGGCGAAGTGGCATTCGGGAGATAAGGGGTTCTATCCTGCGAGGATCACGAGTATTACGGGAAGCAGTGTCGATCCGGTGTACATCGTCAAGTTCAAGTCCTACGATACAGTAGAGACGCTGCGGGGTCGGGATGTGAGAGCGATTTCCACCGCAGCGAAGCGGAAGGCTGACGGGACACCCATTTCCTCGTCAGGGGAGAGAAGAGAGAGCGCGAGAGGCGTGATAAGTGCAGAGGCGGAGATTGATAAAGATGCGCAACTGACGCGGGAGAGGGAGGTGAGTAAAGTTGGGGATGGACCGGTGAGACCGGAAAGGGCGCCGAAGAAGATCAAGGCGAATAAGGAGCTGGAGAAGGGGAAGTCGAAGTGGCAGGATTGGGCGGCGAAGGGGATGGGGAAGAAGGGGACGCCGGGGGTGAAGAAGAAAGAGAGTATGTTTCGCACGCCGGAGGGGGTGCATGGACGAGGTATGTTTTGTTCATTCTCTTGGTTTTGTTACCTAATCCAGTCGATGGAATATTAACTTTTTGCTTCTAGTGGGATTCACGGGGTCGGGACAGACTATGAGGAAGGATCTGTCGAGGAGCCGACATATTTACCAGACCAACGGTGATGAAGAGGGGCTGCAGTGAGGTGAATTGGGGATATGAAGTCAGGGGATCACAGGTCTGTGCCAGTATTACCCATTCTCCTGGAGCGGCGGTTGTCGGGCGCATGTATGATGTTCAGGTGGGGCTGCTTCTTCGATTGTGTAATATGAAACTACCACGCCCATAAATAAGACCGCGCTCACGCTCTTGCAATATTAGGAAATACCAAATGTTAGGAAATACGAAACAAGTACAAAAACCACGGACTGGACGTCGTGTATTGTGTCAACTCCTGAGTAGACGCCCGGAGTTCCAAATGAATGCATGCTGATCCGACTTTATCAGGGGTAATTGAATCCTACTCGCTCGTTGTAAGATGGCCCTCGGCGCCTCGAAGTAAGTTGCCAAATATTTTGGTATTCCCCGTATTATCTCTCCGTCTTCAGTTTCTCCCCATGTTTGTTTTTGAACGCCATCATAATTCCGGTGTTTATACTTGGTCATTTCATTCGTTTCCATCATTTGCTACCTGCAACCGCACTTGATACTTTTTGGGTATTTCTTGCAGTAAAAAGGCAACGCCTAGATCAGCGAAAAATGCCCCGCAACCAGTATCGCCACATATATCCAATGGGCGAGCATAAACCCAACCAACATCGCGTCCTTCTGTCCCCAGACCTTCCTCATCCAAGCCCGGACGTCCGCCACCAACATTAGCTCTCCCCTATCTCGTCGGGCAGACTTGAGCCCGGCGAGTCCGTCTAAGCTGTCATGGTTATTGTTTTGCTGGTACTCAAATAATGCGTTCTTGTCCATCTTCTTCTTCGCCCAGTGGCCGATGGTATCACGGTCTTCAAAGCCATACTCACACCCCGCGGCTTTCTCCTCGTCATCCGCAGAGCCGGAAATCTTAACCAGCTTGGGGACACCAAATCCGCACGAAGTTTGCACCTGCATCGCGTTAGAATTCCAAATCCTTCGACAAACAGGTCACAGAGTTAGCACCAGCCTTAAAAACATCCAGCACAATCACCGCTCTCGCTCCCAAGATCTTCTTATTCCCCATCTTCGCCAGCCACGAATCAAACTCCTTGTCGTCCCACTCAATCACCCTCCCAGTGCAGAAGAACCGCATAATCCTCGGCGCAGCATCAAAACTGCAAAACATGATCGTCACGCGCCCATTCTCGTAGATGTGCGAAATGGTCTCGTTGCCGGAACCCGTCGCGTCGACATAGGCGACCTGGTTCGGCGACAGGATCGCGAGGGAGGAGGAGGGGAGGCCCTTGGGGGATACGTTTACGTGTTTTCCGGAGGTGGGGGCGGAGGCGGTGAAGAAGACGGATTGGGCGACGGCCCATTCGGAGAGATTGTCGTCGATTTGGTCGTAGAATTTACCCATTGTGAGAAATGATTGGGAGAGTTATGTAAGAAGTAAATGCTGTAATTGATTGTAATATTGGCTATGATAATTTTCGCGTAACAGTTGCTAAACAAATTGCTTTAATAAAGCAATTTAGCAACTGTTACTGTCACACGTTTAGCGTGCAACAGTAACATATTTGGTAAGGCGTACCTAATGCCAAGGTGCCCACTCCGGCCCCACGTGCCCAAATAGGAAAGGGGACTGTCGCACTGTGACAGAGCCATTTCTGGCCTAGTAAATTAGTAGTGTATCGTATGTAGTTAGCCATAATCAACAATTTGAATGACATCCTATGCTTGAAATAGCTGAATACTATATATTACTCTATGATAACTATGGAAACTGACCCTAATAGCATCTAGCAAATGGCCTAGCTTGGTATGCGGATAGCAAGCTCTCTAAACCTATTAGAGAGTCTATTAAGAGCCCTACCCCTGGCCTCATGTCATGACACTCCTTCGATATTTGTGTCACGACCCTTCGATTCGCTTTAGTCTCTAGTACTTATTTCACTATGTCATTCACTTCACCTGCTTCGCTCACTTCGCTCACTTCGCTTCACTTCGCTTCACTTGCTGACCTAGATCAGCCCAAATGTTGACTACTGGCTTAGGCTCTCTGTTATTGGCTTGCTGCACTAGGGCTCGCTTAGCTAGGGTTCAGTTAATTAGTGCCTTCGCTTATTTGGCACTAGGGATTTTTACTGTTATATAAGCACTTATTGCTCATGTCTCTTATTGATCTTTAGCTAGCAAATTATATACTACTTGGCCTTCTTGCAATTCCTCCTGCTTCGACTTACTTTGCATTCCCTTACTTCGAGTCGAACCACTTGGCCAACCTGTTAGTCTCACCACTTGACCCCTGTGGTATAAAGTATATGCTTTGGAGCCTGAACTACTATACCTTGTCCTACTGCTTCGAGTATCGAAGTCTTCACATTATACTTCGGATACTTCTGCAGACTTGAAGGTCAGCCTCAGTTCGAACTGTCCTTACACCTCGGGCAGCTTAGCCTGTAAGGACACAGGGCACCCAGCTCACAGTAATAGCATATGAGAGTGCGAGTCGGAGGCTAAACGGATGCTATCCTATGTAACGCTGACTTCTAAACGATAGAAGACACAGAGGTTTCTTGCGTAAGGTTGACTTGACAGAGGAGGCAGGGGATTAGACACAAAGGCTTTCCAAGTAACACGTTACAGTATTGTAAGAATACTATATTGTGTTGAGCACGAAGCTCCTATCTAAGGAAATACTATCTACTTATATAGTGGCGTCATGCCTCATGGGTAATCTGGATAGTTGGCGGATAGCTAGATATTCAGGATAGTTCGTGGATAGCTCAACTATCCAATATCCACTAGTTTCTGCAACTATCCATTAGCCCCGTCACATGGCAGCCTACCCCGCTTGCCCCCTGTGACTCACACGTCACGTTACTAGGCCCTGGTCCTGTAACCATGATGTCACGTTACCATAGCCATAACATCCTATAGGTCTACTACGAAGGATACAAAAAAGATGATGGGGGAACCCCGTGAGTCGATTGTCTCAAGTACCCGAAACCCATCCGACTCGGTTCCGACTCGGTTAGCCCACCCAAATGATCACACGTGACCCCGCGGCTAACCAGAGTCTACTCCCTAGAATGAGAGACGAGAAGGCATCGTTACACTACTGAGAGACGAGAAGGCATCCTTACAAGTGAGCAGCAGACGACTATTCAACAGCCATGGACGTTTACTGTAAAGGAAGGGGACGTTCGGTGTATTGCTCATATTATCAATCTTGCAGTTCAAGCTGCTCTAAAGAGCTTGAAAGCCAGCCCAGATAGAGAAACAGAGGCGTACTGGTGTCAGCAAGGACTTGCCCGGATTCCGCAGCATATTGATAACTCTTCTACTGAAGTATCAGCTACACTTGAGAAGCTCCGAAGGCATATTTATGTCTTTCGAAACCGAAGAGCATGGAAGGATGTGTTACAGAAGCAGATGAAAGCTGCAGGCCAGAAGCCACGCCAGTTATCACTTGATATGCCTGTACGCTGGAATTCAATGTACTATATGCTTGAAACAGCTATAAAGCTTCGAATACTGATTACTGCAGTATGCTCTACAGAAGCTTGATATTAGTATGAAGGATATGCGTTAACAAGCAATGATTGGGCTATTATCGAAGCTCTCGAACGATTATTCTTGGTATTCTTAAAGCCGTCAAGACGGCTACAAAGCGATTCATATCCAACGCTTAACTTTACTATTCCTCTTTACTTGAAGATGATAAATAAGGTCACATCGCTACAAGAGGAGCTTGGTAGAAGCTCTGTGATCGGAGTAGCTTGTGGAGCTGCACTTCAAAAGCTCAATGAGTATTATACTCTTACAACGAATCAGCAGTGTAAGCACTCAGCTGTTGCTACAATTTGCGACCCACAAATGAATCATACAGTATTCAAGAAGATATATCCAAATGCTATAGACGATACACGAAGATCATGAGCAAGAGCGCAGTTCGAAGACGTTTGTAGAACGTACCAAAAGCGAGAGTATCACCTCGATACAGAGCGAATTACTCACGAAACAGCTCTTGCAGAAGCAATAGGTGCTACTGCTACAATAGATCAAGAACCCAATTCCGATGAAGATCTATTTGCGTCAGAAGGCTTGCTTTTCAAGAGCCAGAATGGAGGCGCTGGATGCTTGAACCACGGCCCGGTGAGCATACTGATATTCTCAAATATTGGTGCGCAAAGCAATACCAATATCCAGTTATTGCCCGTATTGCTCGTGACCATTTAGCTATTCCAGCAACATCTGCAGCATCGGAACGAGTATTTAGTAATGGTAGTGATATTATTACAAAGAAGCAGAATAGGTTATCACCGCCAACTATTAGATATTTACTTTGCTTACGGAATTGGGGTAAAATACGGGAGGCTGATAGCGACGGCGATGATGCTGACGATGAAGCACCTAAATAGGGGCTTACGGAAAGGGGGCTCGCAGAAATGGGGGGTCTCACGGAAAGGCAAGGTCTCATGGAAAGGGGGCTCGCGGAAAGGGGTTTACTACTGTTATCAAAAGCTTCATTTTTTTTTATATACGCTATTCTATTTTTATATACAATATTCAGCCTCATGTATCCGGATATATACCCTACTCTACCCGTCAGATCGTCGCCGGGTATATACCCTACCTGTGAGCTTCACGGATACTACCCGGATATGTATCCGCCGAACACTGATGAGATGACGGCAAGTGGTTATTAATGGCAGGATTTAAATATAACAGTAGTGCTTGGAATTCCTCAACATCAATTATATAGAAAGGGATACTGTAAGCTATACAGAACTTTAAGAAGTAATCCATCGAGTGTACTAGCATGTGTTGTTGATAAATCCCGTCGATTGTAGTCACTTACTACACCTATGCGCTAGAAAGCATCACTTATATTATCTTGACGTGATATTGTCCGTAATTCTTGCCTAGAGTTGATGTTAATACCGTGAGTTGGAAGATGTGTAACTGCGACTTTTGTGCCGCTTGATTCAAGATACTCCTTTCGACAGAACTTGCATACTCCCAAATTTTAGAGCTCCGCTGATGCTTTCTAGTCCCAGCTGATGAAGACACAGTTGATGTAACAGTCGGTGTAGTGGTAGAGGTAATATTAGTATTAGTAGTAGGCTGCGCACTACTCGCTCAATACTCGGCTCACTCGCTCAGTGGGTTACTCAGCTGGGTGAGTAGCTGAACCTTTTACTCGACTCGGTGAGTGAGGTCAATACTCAGTTACTCTGTAAAAACCCGGTGAGTACTCGGCTATCACGTGTAAGATTTATGCATCATGTGAACAGTCCCTCATACGATTAATACTGTTTTATGGTTAAGTTAAAGTATTACATCTATTAGCATCACTCTCGCCATCTCTAGTAAGCTGTGAGAACGAATCATGTATATTCCTCTATCTAAGTACCATGATTATCAGAAGATTATTAGAATGCTATTATCTATTATATATGCTTAAGAACGTCCCTCCACCTTGCTTGATGAGGCCGGCCAGACCTACTAATACCTAAAGTATTTATAGGGTCTTGATGAGGATCCTCGACTGAGCGGAACGAGCTATGAGTCAAGATAACTGTGTATAGAACTTGTTCATAAAATGTCTCTTGTGTGAGAATATGATCTTATTATAGGTATTAACCTACATAATTCTGGTAATAATCTGGTAATCCTTACTTGTTGAGGTTGCATTTGATTGATTCGCATTTGATAGAGACTATCCTTCCCATCTGTGACTTCTTTTTGCAAATGTCTGATGCAAGATGTGTTGCCATAGACTTTGGGCCAGCAGACTTGATTGCAGGATGCGTAAGGGCCTTCGAACAATAAGTACAAATAACACATGGTTCTCCAGAAAGCCGGTCTGCTCCTTGGTGATAACTTCTCCAGTATTGAGAACTCCAGTTGGTTGAATCCCATGCAATCTTCATAAGGAGTTTTGTAGTATGATCTGAGTGTTGTTCATACCATCGTGATAGCTTCCACCACTCAATGAATATATCGTGTGTATCCTTAGTCCATTTGACGAATTGGTTTAACTTGCCAATATATTCAAGGCCTGCAGGGACTTTGTAAGGATGCCTGTCCCTCAGTGATGGAAAGGATCTGAGTTGGGCAGGTTACGGTCACATGATAAGAGTTAAGGCAGGTTAGGCTGAGTCGGACCCGTTTCGGGTACTTAAGGAGATTGACCCAACGGGGGTTCCTCTCTTCATCTTTTTTGTATCCTTCGTAGTAGACCTATAGGATAGCATCCGTTTAGCCTCTGACTCGCACTCTCATATGCTATTACTGTGAGCTGGGTGCCCTGTGTCCTTACAGACTTGATTTAATGAGGATAGTCGTTGAGAAGACAGAAAAGAGTCTGAGAATACTGTCAGAATCAAACAACTCTGAGTAGTGAGATGGCATTTGGCAAATTGCTCGATTATCAGAAGGTTACCAGAAGTCTGGCTACGATGAAGTACTTAAATACCTGGTTTTCCAACGCGAAAGGTACTCCAGCGCTATAACTTTAGCAACTCAAGTTCTCCTCTACTCTAGCTCCAGGAACAACATATCCTGTGCAGCTGATACCTTAGCCCACTTTTCCTTATCAAACTTCTTAGAGTAGACAAGTAAGAACGCCTCTTTGAAGCTAGAACTATGAGTGGATATTTGCAACCATCCATTGTCGACAAGATTGTAAGACTTTGGGTACCACTGCACAGGTCCTGGTAATTAGGCCCACTTTCCAAACTGCCTGCTCGTACAAACAGAAATATTTATGTGGTGGGATAACCTCGTGAAAAGTGCTATAATAAACAATTAGTATTGCCAGAAGATTGCTAGGATGATCAGAGACGTACCCTTCCTCTACATCAATCCACGGCATATACTCAAAGAGACGCTCAGGCTTCTTTCTCAGCTTTCCAGCCTTTCTCGTATATGAGTGGATACAGCTATCCCAGAAATGTTGCCACTTGCGGAAATTGGACTCTTCATGGGCCTATCAACTATTAGTATCACCAGAAGATTACCAGATTGAGGTAGCATACATCAATGTGCGCTTGAGTTAAGAGAGCCTGGGTGCTAGTGATCTCTTCATCGGAAAGCTCATCTGGTAGAACAGCCTCGTCATTTAAAATATCTCGCGCTGTAACATAAGCTCCAACTCCAAATCGTCTTCAACCTCAGTATCCTCCCATTCGCTGTTATGATTGTCATCGATTGGAATACTTGAGATACCCTCAAATGCAGCAAGCTCAGACAGAAGTTGTTTGGGCGGAGTAGATGGTGGGGCTTGTGGAGAAGAAGAGGCGCTAATATTCTTGACTTTCTGATTCGCAATGCAAGATGCATGGGTACCCTTCTCAGTCCTGTTTATAGTTAGATTGAGGCTACCAGAGATTACCAGAAGGAACTTACCGAACACAAATACACTCAACCTTCAATTCATTCTGTAGACGTGTCTTGTCTTCAGTAGAGGCAGCGATATACTTTGTGTAATGACACAGGGCACCCAGCTCACAGTAATAGCATATGAGAGTGCGAGTTGGAGGCTAAAAGGATGCTATCCTATAGGTCTACTACGAAGGATACAAAAAAGATGAAGGGGGAACCCCGTTAAGTTTGTTTCCTTAAGTACCCGAAACGGGCCCGACTCGGTTATCCCAACCCTAGCCCTGAACCTTCCACCGCAACAGGTCCGCATCGACCCTGAACCCTACACCCTTACTGTCCCCCACTATAGTGTAACTCGCTATGTCCTCCTCTACTGGTCCGAAACCACACCGAGTCGGATTTCATGCTTGTGGTGACCGTAACAGCTCTGAGGCGGGTTCTTCGAGTATCTAGGTAAGGAGGCATCCTTACACTTTGCAGACTTATATAACTTCTTTAAGTAGTAGCTCAGATCAGCATGGTCAGCCTTGAGTGCTAAGTGAACAGCCTTCTCATCTTCAGTAAGGTTGGAGACGCAGTTGCGAGCTTTGATAGTATTCGCATTAGTGGAGAGTTCTTCATGTGCCTTGAGTTTCGCCATACTAACTAAACACGTGATTAGCAGAGATCTCCAGAAGTTCTGGCTATAGAATCAAGATAATAAACTTAGTTGAAGTCCTAGTGAAGAGGTAAAGGCTCAAAAGGGAAGAAGAATGTGTAGATCGGAGAGTAACCAAGGAAGGTGGTTCTAAGGTCGTGGTTATTTTAAAGTTGCAAACAAAAATATTTGTGAAGGAATATTCACCTACAAAGAATTACTGTTCCAAAAACAACACCACAATGCGCACCTTCATATAAAACACATACCTTTCAACCTCTACCTCTTTACTATACTCTTCTTCTGCAATATTCTTTCTACAAACTCACTGTAAGTACACATATCTTTTGATCTACTTCTTTATCTTGTGTTTACTTTACTAACTCACCTTGATATTAGCAAATGACTCGTACCAAGCAAACTGCTAGGAGATCAACTGGCGGCATAGCACCAAGGATGCCACTTGGATTACGGGCTGGCTCTGGGCTTGGCGGAAAGGGACAGGAAAAGGCTGTGGGCACAGCAAGAAAAGCTCCAGTTTGCTCATCTCAAGCTAGCAACAATCATGCTCAGAAGGCCACGCGCTGCACAAAGTCTAGTAAGAGGATTACCAGAGGATTACCAGAACTCTCTAATAAACATATAGGCACCAAGGCTCTCCGCGATATCAGAAGACAGCAACTTGATACTAGCTCCCATTCCAGCGTCTTGTTAGGGAAATCACAGAAGACTTCAAGTCCAATCTTCGCTTCCAGCAATCTGCTATCCTAGCTCTTTAGGAAGCTGCTGAATGCTTCCTCATTCGAGAATTTGAGAGTATGATGTTTAAACATAGTGACAGGGACATACTAACAGTTATAGTGACAAACCTCCTCGCTATTCATGCGAAGAGAGTGACAATTCAGGCAAAGGGTATGATATTGGTTCGGCGTTTGCAGGATATGATGTTTAAGCTGTGGGCTTAATCGATGGAAATGTCTCTCACCCAGGAATGAAGGTCAGATGAGTTCTGGCAACCATCTGGTAACCTGGTACCTAAAGGCCAAAGGTTATAGTGTGGAATAGGACATCAACAATATGGGAATGGAGTTGGAGTTATGGCGTCTTGATCAATGAAGTCGCACCCCGTTTTTAACATAAGTAATGGCTAATCAAACACGTGATATAACTGAGTTGCCAAGACCCATACTAGGTACTCAGCAAGTGAGTAATCCTCATTCAACAATACTCGGGACATGAGCGAGTAACTCAGCTGGGTGAGTAAAAATTCTACTACTCGACTCGTGAGTACCCAGTGCGCAGCCTAATTAGTAGTAGCTTCGGTTTAAACCGCTCGCCGTCAAGTACTGACAGCTGGGAAGTTATACCGTTGATCACACATCTACAGTCACACACAGTCACACACAGTTGCAGAGTTTTTACCGTGCAATTATCACGTGTATTATGCAGTTCAAACTGACAGTTTGAAACTGCATAAACTGGTTACATACATCGCACTGGTAGTTTTAAACTCCAGTGCGATAAGAACTGCAGTTTTACGCAATTCGCCAAACCAACTGCTAAAACTGCAGTTTGAACTGTTAAACTGACTAACTACTGCCAACACTGCTAGTTTCATTTCATTGTATCATAACTGTCTTAACCGTGGAGAAGTAAACCGCGTTACAGAGGCCAGTGGGGTTCCGAAGAAAACCCACAAGTTTGATAACGATGGTGGTAATCAAACGCAGAGAGAATACCAAACAGATGAACCACAGTTGCAAGGACGACCAGAATATGAAAAATCTGATGCGAGCATCCGAAGATATCAAACCTGCCAGGCTTGAAGGACTCCGGAATCCGCAACTTGAGAAATGAATTAGTATCCTTCTCATGTCACACATATTATTTGGGACTTCAATACTAACAGTGTAGAAAAGCGTGCCCAATATCAACAATAGACCTTCCGCGAGGTAATATGGCATACCGGACTGATTCAGCATTTGGGAGAAGCCAAGGATCTTGACCCCGTGGGCGAGAGGCAGGAAGCCGGAAAGTCCGGTACAAACAAATGTGCAGACACGGAACGTACGCCAACGGTCACTCTGAAACCTGGGGTTTAGGAGTATGAATATTGATGCAGAGCAGAGGCTGATGATCTGCGCAAATATTAGCCCGAACGTGTCAAGACAGGGTTGTCACATGTACCATGGTAAAATATGTCTTTTGTAAAGCCGGTTCACAGTAGAAACCTACGTAGATCGCAGATACAAAGTCTCCAAGGATCAAAACAATAATCCCGACAAAATCAAGTTGTAGCCATACGTGCGACATGAGCTCTGAGTGGCTCAGAAAGGTATGGAACATTGCCGACAAGCCCAGGCATGTGACGGCCGTTAGAAGAAAGAAGGCAAATATCAAACGGTCGGAAACTGTGGCCACTGGATACCTGGCGTCAAAGTACTGGTAGATCATGACTTCGCCGGCCAGAAAGAGAATCCCGGGGATCAAATGTGTGTAAATGTTGACACTCTCATTGTGCAGGTAGAGCCAACTGGCGAAGCATGCTTGAGCGGAGTTTGATTCTGGGCGATAGCCAAAGCGAATAAATGGACTGTCTTTCTGCCATTCTGGCAACTCGTCGAAGGTGAGGAGGGTAGGACGAAAATATTCAAATTTGTCGGTCAAGGGTGTTACCAGCTGCTCCTCCGAGAGCTCCGTTTGGATGGACGCATACTGCTTCCGTAGACGCGAAAATGAAGCCATTTAGGAACGGAAACTTGATAAAACAACGCTGGACAATCTGGTCTTTTTGATCTCTTGTCTAGTTTGCTCATTCACCATGTTTGTCAACAGAAATAAAGCCTAGAAAGGTTTTGTCGGTGAAACAGGACAGGACTTCCCCCCTTCGTACAAGCATATCGCGCTTAAAACGGATGTACTGGCGCACATAAAATATAAGGCGAGGTACAAGGACCAGAATTCTGTGCGAGTCAACATTAATGAGTGAGAGACATTTGTGATCACCCCCTTGCTTGTGAGGCTTGTCCGGCCTCGGGCCGTGCTCCCATGTGCTACATGTGATTGATGCCATTATTGGTAGGCTGCGTCCCCATCGGTTGACCGACCCCAGACCAGACCATGGTCCGGTCCGGTCCCAAATCTTCAGACCCTATATACGGAGGTTATGTTCATAGGTTTTGTGAGTGGGGGGGGCTATAAAAGCCACGTACAGGGCTGCGCGCAAATCGATGATGTCTCGCCTCATATTTTATATCTGATCGATACATGAGTTTATGCTGTTGTGCACAAATTCTGGGGTCCCATGCTCGATCCACTCACAAAACTTTTGAACATTACCTCCGTAGCTACTCCATATAACTACAGTATAGTAAATATAATAGTAAAATATTATCATGTGACCGGTTTCTTGGCAGACCGGTGGGGGACCACACCGGTCTGGGTTGGAAAATCTTCAGACCGGCGGTTCGGGACCGACGGTCCCCCATGACGCACACTAGCCCATTGGGCGCTACTAAGCCGATCAATTATCACATTTTAATCGCGACAACCGCGCAATTACACCAGACTGCTGTCTGTATATACTCTATATTATACAGTAGATAATTGATATGGCATCTTGTTTCAAAGTGCACGGACTCGAGGATGACTTAAGCTTTTCTTGCAACTGTCAATGTGTCGGATCCACTTTGATAAAGCTTACTAACGACATGACATGGCAATGTCAGACGCATACGAGCTTTACCTCTCAGGAATTGGCACTCTACGTCCGTAATTCATGAAAGCTCATATAGGTAAATATGAGCCATGGCGCGGGCCACCCGTGAGCACTAATGCTATGAACTGCCGGGGCTGACCCTATTTTTCTCTAGCGAGGAAATTATAATAGCTGCGTATACGAGGATGATAGCCATGGAGTCAATATTCTCACCAGAAACCCGAGCCCATGGAAGCTTTCAATGGCTATAAAAGCTGCAGACCCGGATGGTGTTGATACCATCCATCCGGTAGCTTTTCCTGTGCTATTATACTTGGGTTCAACTAAATATACTGTCATGCCAAGCGTGAGAAATACTTATGAAGCAGGAATTCGATTACGTTGAGCGAAGGGAAAGTTTGGTGACGATGTTACTTAAATGCTAGTCCATCTTGCGCTCGTGCGCATTAATGATAACCGCCGCACAACATATATGCACGAGTGCTGTAGCCACCACTCTGTTAATGCTTCTCCTCCTGCTTCCCCTCCTCCTCCTATGTATAATGTTGAGAAGCCTTTATGATCCATTTGAGGCAGCGCCGGCGGGCAAGGGACACACACACATGAGAGAAGCCTCGACGAGGGCAAAGGGGGCCACAATAACCCAAGACTGTTCAGCCTAAGAACCCCATCACCAAATCTCCAAGACAAGCCCATCACAGAATCCCCAAGCCACCACAATAATGAGGTTTCTTGCTCTAAGCTCGACAGCCTTGAGCGCTGCTCTGTTCTGCTCGGGTGTTGCATACAGTCTGCCATCCACGGTCAATGGCCATGTAGTGCATGAGAAACGGGATACTGCCGCCAGTTGCTAGACCAAAATCTCACATGCCAGTGCCGCTACGCCTCTGAACTTACGCATCGGCCTGAAGCAACTCAATCTCGACCAGGCGGAGGAGCTTGTCAATGCCGTGTCACATCCGCGATCAGAAAAATATGGCCAGTACTGGACACCACAGCAGTTTCTGGAGATGTTCGGGCCATCCAGTGACGCTGTGTCTGACACGATTGCCTGGTTACTGAAGGCAGGTGTGCCCAGAAAGAGCATAGCTCTGAGTGCTGGGAAGAACTGGATCAAAGTTGACACGACTGTTAGGCTTGCGGAGTTTCTGCTTGATACAACGTACAGCGTGTATGAGAGTGCCATCGAGCTTGTTGCCTGCGAAACATACAGCGTTCCTGCGGATGTTCGGCGCCATATATCGACCTTGTGACGCCAACCATACATTTTGATACCAGGGGGGCTATTATCCGTCAGCACCGTAATAAGAGAGACGTGCTGTCACCAAACTCACGAAAGCTGCCCGCTTGGCATAAAGGCCATAAAGCTGAATCACTAGAGAATTGCAGTGAGGTAACAACCCCTGCATGTCTTTGAGCCTTGTAAGTCGTCTATTCTGCGGGATGTACACATGACTAACTGGACCTGTCAGATATAATATTCCGGAGAAGGGGGAGTCTGTGGAGGGAAACAGCTATGGTATTGTAGAGTATGCGCCACAGAGCTATAACCAGGAGGACCTCAACGGTTTCTTCAGCGTCTCCGGCAACATCCCAAACGACACAGCCCCATCCTCGAGCGCATTGATGGCGGCTATCTTTCCAACGAAACCGGGTCCGGAACCCGCTGTAAGGACACAGGGCACCGTATCACGAGAAGTGGCATATGGGAGTGCGAGTCGGATATGAGTCGGTACAATCCTATAGGTCTACTACGAAGGATACAAAAAAGATGAAGGGGGAACCCCGTCAGTCGAACTGTCTATATATCGAAACGGGTCCGACTCAGCCAATACTGCGCTAGTCCCAAAACCTACTACCGTAACACCCCCGAATTGACCCTGAGCCCCTAAGCTCTTATCCCTTTCACCTGAGGCGTGACTTGCTATGCCTAATGGTACTAGTCCGCAACAGTGCCGACTCTGGTTCCCTTTGCGTGCTGCCGTAACGGCGCCGAGTAAGGAGGCATCCTTACACTACCCCCCGCCTTGAGAGAGTGCTTTGTCCTCAAAGTGCGTGGCCTAGGGACAGGACCGCGACCCCTCCGAGTAGTTGTGGTAGGCGGAGCGGTCTTTGTCATCAGATATCGTGGCCGCATGCGTTCGTGGAATGCGAGTGTGGGGTTTTTGCTTTGTCGGGGTGAATTGTATTCTTGAAGGTCCGGATTGGTATCGTAAAGCATCTGGGTGTCGTCTGCGTCGAGCATTGCAGGCTCGTTGAAAGAGAACGGGAGTTGCGCTAAGCCCGATTAGGCGTTCATTGTTGTAAGCCAAATATCATAGAGAGCTTCGCCCACGAATTTTGTTGTTTCGTTCAACAACAAACGCCCCGAAGACCCCCTCCCGAGACTAGTAAGTGTCACCCCCGTTCGTATAGCTGTATACTAACTAATTGTTATTAGAAAAACAATTCAAACACAAGCGGTAGGTGACGGGAGCGCGCTGGCGCGTAGGTGATAACTTTCGGAGCTGGGCTGACGGATCTTGTAGATCTACGAAAAGATGCCGATCCCTCCGCCTTGCGGCGCCCTTGCGGGTGCTTTCCGCGTCCTCTGTCTGCGGTGCCTTCGGGCAAAAGCTCGTGGTCTGGAGGACCACGAATGTGTCTGGCCTCCGGCCAGCTCAAAGTGCGAGTACTGCACTGGGCAACATGCCCCGTGTGTCTCGGTGAGTTTTCTTGTGGTTTTCGGGCTTGTGGTTTGGTTGGTCGCCGCTGACCTGTGCGTGAATAGCTCCCTTGGTTCCTGGGCCCCGAGTTCCGCGCCCTCCTCGACGCCGAGGCGTCAACCAACCCCGACCCCGCCGCCATCAAGGCTGCTGCTGCGGAGGCAGCCCGGGTCGTCACCCTTGCGGGCCAGTCGGCCCCAAAGTTTCGCTCCGCGGCGGAAGCCGCCTCCTACGAGGAGGCCCGCGCGATGCGCGCCGCCCTCGAGGAGGGTCTCGGCGTGAGTATTGTCTCCCCTTGTGTTTTTGGTTTCGGTGCTGACGCGGAGTAGGGAATTCGTGCGTCGCTGGCCCGCCTCGAGGCGGGGCAGGCGACTGTCCCGTCCGTCGTGGCGGGCGCCGTGGCGGACGTGGTGGCCGCCGTGGGCAAACTGCCCGCAGCGGTCGCCACGACCCCGTCCCGCGGCGGTCGCGGTGGGAGGAAGGGGGGTGAGCCGGCTGGAGAGCCGGAGGGGGGCTTCGGCCCGGACTATGCGGAGGAGTAGGGAGGAGGCCCTGTGCCGGAGGGAACCCGGGCCTAGCTTTTCGCGTGGGGTCACTTCGACCCTTCGTCTCTCATGGTGGTAGCCGCTTGTTGCGACGCCGGTGAGACGTTTAGGAAGGGTGGCCTCCGCAAGGGCTACGGTTCTGGGTGTGCCCTGGCTGAGAGGGTATTCAGTTTAGTGTCGTAGGTAGCAACGACGCTGTTTTCTCCGCTTTGTCTTCCCTTTCGTGATCGTAGTTTGGCTCGCCCGTCTCCCATGCCGTAACCCATCCGGGTAGGTCCGCTGGCGGGCCAGGTAGATTGGGGTATTCCGCGTGGAACTCTCGGAGTTTGTAAGGAGAGTTCTCGAAGTTCGCTGCGGGATACCACTCTGGGTCTGGGTCGAATCCTACCCACGACACCTGGTATTGAATCTGTTTACGCCGAAGTCTCACGGCGAGGATCTTTTCCACTTGCCATTCCTCTTGGCCGTTAATGACTTCGCTACTAGGCTCTGGTGTTGTCTGTCCGGGTAGGGGGTTATTCGGAGCTTTAATGAGAACGTCCGGCGAGAATACGTCGTGTATTTGAGAACCCTTAGGTAGTTCCAATCGGAACGCATGTCCGATCCGTTCTAGTACCGTGTAGGGTCCGACCCATTGTTGACCTAACTTGCGGCTAGGGCGAGAGGTTTTCAGGTTCTTCATTGACAGGTATACCCTGTCGCCTACGTCCCAGTCAATGGCCCTTCGGCGTCGATTCGCGTGCTTCGACATTTCCCCTTGGGCTCTTGTCATGTTCTCTTTGGCGTGGGCCCATGCGGTGTGCATTCGTTCGGCAACCGCTTTGGCTTCGTTGCGGTTCAGAGTTTCTCGGGGGTTGGTACCCTTCGGGGTATTCCAGTCCCAACTGGTGCGTGGGTCGGTTCCGTACTTGAGTCGGTAGGGCGTTATTCCAATAGAGGCGTGGGGGAGAGTCATCTGTACCCGGTCCATGATGGGAATGAGCTCGCTCCAGTTATCCTGATAGTAGGATACGAATGGCCTCAGTCTCTGGTCGATGTAGCGATTCATGATTTCCGTCTGTCCATCCGTCTGCTTATGGTAGGCCGTCGACAGCTTAACCTTTACGCCTATGATTCGGCAGAACTCTTGCCAGAATGAGGACACGAATTGCGGTCCGCGATCGCTAATTATAGTTTCCGGGGTATGCCCGAATCGGTATATCCACTCGATGAATAGCTGCGCCATTTGTCGTGCATCCGTAGTCTTGTGGCAAGGTATGGTCACCGAACTCTTCCCGAGGCGGTCCATGAACACCAGGATGCTGTCATATCCGTGCTTGTCCCTAGGGAACTCCTTAAAGTCCATCGTAAGGTGTTGCATAGGGTAGTCGGGGACTGGTAGGGGGTGAAGGAAACCCTGTTGCTTCGTGACATTGGTGTGCGATAGGCGGCATGTCACGCAATTGCGTACGTACCGTGAGCAGTCCGCTTCCATACCGACCCAATGATACTTTAGGGCGAGCAACTGGTAGGTTTTCCTGCCACTTGGGTGCGCGGTCGACACTTGGTCGTGTGCCTCCCGGATGAGTTTCGTACAAAGCTCTGTGTGACGGTTCACACATAGGCGGTCTCTGTACAGGAGGAGTTGGTCGGCTAGGGCGTACCCATCCGGTAAGGGTTGTTTCGCGCGTGTCTCGGCGAACGACTTCCGGTTGTCTACGCATAGTGCCTCAATCAGATCGAAGGGCATCTGCGCCTTTGGGGGGTCGATGGCATTGATCGATGCTACATAACTGTCGGTCAACTCGGCGCTGATTCGGGGGTGTAGCCGGGCGGGGCCTAGCAATACCCTCGCACGACTATCAAGTTTGACCTTCTGTTGCATCACTAGGTCTTGGTCTCTTCGGCTCAGAATATCCGCCTTCTGGTTATTCTTTCCTGCCGTATACGTAATGCAGAAGTTGAAGTCAGAGAGTAGTTCCATCCACCGCACCTGCTTCGCTGTGAGAACCTTCGTCGACATGAAGTATTCGAGCGATCGGTGGTCGGTGTAAACGTCGACTCGGTGTCGTACCGAAGCCAACTCGGGCCTCCACTTCGCAAAGGCTTTCACGATCGCAAAAAGCTCCTTATCGTGGATCTCCCAATTGATCTCGTGTCCGGTAAGGACGTGACTATAGAAGCTTACGGGATACCATCGCTTGTCAGGGTGTTCTTGGGACAGAACTCCAGCTACTACCCCATCGGAGGAATCGGTCTCCAGCTTCGTAGGCAATTCGGGGTCGAAGTGGTGAAGTGCCTGGACTGTCAAGAGTTGTCGTCGCAATTCCTCAAAAGCAGCCTCGCATTCGTCCGTCCATAGGAACGGCTCCGAGGGGCTTGTGATAGTGGTTAGGGGCTTAGCTATTTTCCCGAAGTTCCGTATGAACTGGCGGTAGAAACCACAGAAGCCTAGGTAAGACTTCACACCGGTGACGGTGGTCGGTCGGATCCAGTTACGAAGCGGTTCGATTTTGTCGGGGTCCGCTTCGACACCGGAAGTAGTGAGAATATAACCTAAGTACTTTGTCCTAGTAACATTGAACTCGCATTTCTTTATATCGGCTTGGAGTCCGGCTTCTCGTAGACGCTGTAAAACTTTATGTACGTGATCTACGTGTTCCGAAGGGTCTTCGGAGTATATTAGGATGTCATCTAGGTAGGCAGTACAGAAATCATCCAAGTATGACATGAGAACGTCGTTCATGTACCTCTGATAGGTTGCGGGACCGTTGGTTAGGCCAAACGGTAGCACTTTGCATTTGTAGGATCCGTACCGAGTCCGAAAGGTCGTGTACTCTTCGGAGTCGGGATGCATTCGTATACGATGGAAAGCTTGCCGGATGTCTAGTTTCGTGAAGATCTTTGCTTTCGACACCCGCCCTAGTAATTCGTCGATACGCGGAATAGGGTAGGGGTCGTTACGGGTGAGGCCGTTCAGCTTGCGGTAATCAATGCAGAACCTCAGTTTGCCGTCCGCTTTCTTAACGAAGAGTATAGGGGACGCAAAGGGGCTATTGCTATTGACGATGAAGCCTTTCTCCAGGTTCTCCAGCAGGTATTGCTTGGTAGCCTTAAGCTCTTTGGTGCCTTGCCGGTAGAGCGGGGAGAAAGCGTTTGGTAACGGCGCCTCTAGCTGTATCTTATGATCGTATACCCGGTGTGGTGGTAATTTATCAGATTCCGATTTTGAGAAGACGTCGGTGTACTTTCGGTGCACAGGCGGGAGTTTCTCCTGGATGAGTGATATCGTCTCGTCATCCTCTTCGGATTCTTTTTCCCGAATGATCTGATCGATCTCGTAAAGGCTGGTCTGGAAGAACTCGGCATCGCTTCGCATCATCTCGTGGTGGAAGGCGTTTGCACCGATCTCGCAGATGTGCACCGGCGTGAAGCTTGGTACAGGCTTCGCCGGTGGCAAGAAAGGTACCTCTGGGATCTGAGGTGTACTCGGGGCAGTGTCGGTGGTCATTCCGGAGTCCGAAATTATCACTTTCATTTCCATCGAGCGTCCGCCTGCGCGGCGTCTGTCTTCGTGGTGGATTGCGGCATCCCTACGATTCGCATCCGACTGGTGAGAAGGATGTCGAATGGACGTTTCGCGCGAGTGGTAGGGCAAGGTGATCTCCTTGCTCCAGCTAGGAGTAGGCGGGTACTCCTTTGGCCATACTAGCCGGCTCTTTGCAGAGTCGAGTAGTATTCGGAAGCGGCTGAAAAGCTTCCTCCCAATTATCACATCTTGCGCTCCGAGGTCCAGGAGCACAAAAGGGCAGTTATATATTCGGCGTCCTTCGACTGTTAAGTGCAACCGAATATACTCCGATACGTGACTTTGGATTTTTCGCTGAAAACCACGTATGGGTACAGAGTAGGGCAGTTTCCGTATGGGGCTCTGAAGCGCCTTCGACAGTCGTAGCGCGAAGGGCTTGTTGATGATGAGGTATCCGTTTGCTCCTGTGTCTGCGAGAGCCTTCGTTTGCACACCGAGTCCGTTCAGACTCAGCGTCGTGTCGACTAAGAACTGGGTTCCGCCCAAGAGTTCTTGTAGGTCGAGATCTCGCAGATCACATTTGCGTAGACCTAGGAAGGAGCCTTTCCCTAGGCCTCGTCGTTTTCCTCCAGGGACGCATCCGATTGGAGTTCGACTGCCTCCTCCCACTGTTCTTCTGCCTCGGGATCGTTACGGTCGATCTCCTTAACAGTAGCATTGAGTGGGCATTTGTCCTGGAAATGGCCGGGCTTGCCGCACTTGAAACAGTTCCCAGGCGCAGCCGGCACGGCGGTTCTTACACGTTCCGGAATGGCGGGCTTAGGGAGGAACGTGGTTCTGGTAAACGGGGCAGGTGTGGTTCGCATTGGTTTCGACGCGGACGCCTTGGCCGTATCGGTAGAACGGGTAGAAGTCCTTGCGAGGGCAGGCAGTGGGCTCAATTCGTTGTTCCGGCGTCGTTCTTGATCGAAAGCGGTGAGTTCTCGGACCATAGTGTAGTAGTCTCCCTTCCATTGGCTTTTGATAACCGCGACGCGGCTACGGAATTGAGGGGTTAACTTATTCCACATGTACCGAAACCATTCCGACTCATTGACTTGTCCTGTGATAGCCGCACTTTGGAAGCGGGCTTTGAACTCTGGGAAGGTTTCGCTTACGTGTCCTTTCTCTCCCATCTGTAGGTCGTCGAAGAGGTTCCTGGCCTGTTCCGTCTCATTGCCGGTGAGGAAGTATGAACCTAACAGGTCCATCATCTCGTCGGCACTGCGAAACGCATGTGTAGCGGATAGGTATTGTGGTTCCAAGTATTTCTTCGCTAGACCCGTTGTAGTTCCCCATATCAACGCTCTTCTAGAGACGTCGGTAGGATAGTGGTCCTCATTGACTACAAGTCGGTCTCGGATCGACGCGCTCCATTGCATAAAGGTATGTTCTATCCCATCGCTAAGCGGCGTAATCTTCTCAGAGATGGTGGATTTCTTGTAGCGATTCGGAGGGTCCTCGGAATACATCCTTGGAATCGATGGAGAACGAGTGTTTCGAAGGGGCGGCAACTGAACTGTCTCGGGGGTGTTTCGCATAGGAGAAGTTCGTCGCTCCGCAACTTCGACTGTAGGTATAGGGGTGTCCACTGGTGGCGTGGACGGGATTCTGGTCTGGGTTGCCGCTAGGGTGACTAGTAGATCCTTAATCTCTTGCACTTGTGCCTCGAGGAATGCCATTCGATCCGGTATGTCTTCGGATGGCACAGCGGTCGTGGCTGCGGCAGTGGTTTGTCTGGTAGTCATTCTGGACGGTTGACCATCGTTGTCTTGGGGGATGTTTGAGGTCGTCTTCCTCATATTGGTTCGGGGGTGTATCGAGTCGCAGTCGATACTGAAGAGTCTGACTTCCGGTAGCTTGAGCTATCAGCACTCTTGTTCGCAATTGCCTCTGCGCTTGAGGGGGTTCTTAAGGATCTCGTATCCTATTCGGCGCCAACGCGTCGGCGACTTTACCAGCTTGCTCTGCAGGATCAAACCCTGATCCACTGGCTGTCCGTGAGATCTCCGGAATCACGGCTATTTGAAGTCGTCAGGTCTCTTCTCCGAAATGGCACCGAGTCGCAGTCGGTGGGGTAACGGTAGTTCTCCTGAGTCGTTCTGGTTGTGGGATATTATTTGAGTACGGCCGTCCCCGGCAGGCGTGATCTTTTTTGTATAATGTAAGGACACAGGGCACCGTATCACGAGAAGTGGCATATGGGAGTGCGAGTCGGATATGAGTCGGTACAATCCTATAGGTCTACTACGAAGGATACAAAAAAGATGAAGGGGGAACCCCGTCAGTCGAACTGTCTATATATCGAAACGGGTCCGACTCAGCCAATACTGCGCTAGTCCCAAAACCTACTACCGTAACACCCCCGAATTGACCCTGAGCCCCTAAGCTCTTATCCCTTTCACCTGAGGCGTGACTTGCTATGCCTAATGGTACTAGTCCGCAACAGTGCCGACTCTGGTTCCCTTTGCGTGCTGCCGTAACGGCGCCGAGTAAGGAGGCATCCTTACACCCGCATCGAGTCAAATCTCGACCTTTGTTACTCCATGGCACTCGTGTATCCCTAAAACGTCACATTATTCTAGGTAGGCGACGCAAGGGCAGTCTAGTCGAGCCTGATTTTTCTGTTTTCTGCCTCTCTGACCTTGCTGACCTTGTTGTAGGTTGTTCGTACGGCCTTGGAGCGTTGGCTGTAGGTCGCTATTGTCATCCTCTTGTAGTGCGAAAACTCCATGTTCCCCCCTAGGTTTCTGGGTGAATCTCTCTTGCCTACGGTTGGTTCTATACTGTCGTAGGACCTCCTCAAATTCGTACGACTTTGTCTGCTTCTCTAGCTTGTGTTTCCATGGTCCTCAGAATTCGCAAGGTCCTATTGCATCAAGGAAGGTATAGATAGCGTCGTGAGGGTCGATAACCTCTGTTGCCTGTAGCGTACGGCCTTGAGTGTATAGATTCTCCCAGTTTAGGAGCCAGTCTTCAAGGTCCTTGCCTCTTTGCATTTTCGCAGCCTTTTGCCATTCTAGTCTCCATTCTCCGATTCTAGCTCTTTGAGTAGGTGCGAACCAGTCTCGTAGCTTTCTAAGCATATCGTACGGAGTATCGCAATTGTAGGTATAGGGTAGGAAGTCGCGTTTGATGGTTTCTTGGATCTTCCCTGAATTGCTTCCTCCTGCTTTTCCCACACCTTGCGCTCATATTGGAAATCAGCTTGTAGGTTTCGAAGCTGTTCCTTCTGATCTTCTGTAAGAGATGCGTACGTAATTGGCATTAATTGCTCTTGGCCTTCTACTGAAGGTTGGATGGTCTGGCTACCTGAAGCTCTTGTTGACACTCCAGGTCTTGTTTGAGCAGTAACACCACCACCAGCTTGCGTGGCACTCCGTACGAACTCAGGAATAGGTCGAACGGGCTGTAGGAGTGTAGGAGGGTCCTCGATTAATGGATCGATATACCCCCATACTCCTGCCTTCATTGAAGCAGTTTTGATAGTCTCTATCCACTCGTCCCAGTCTCTAGGGCTTGTGAGGACCACCCCCGCCTTCTGTAGGGTCGCCATAATGATGGTTTTTTCGACTCCAGGACACAGGACTTGATTTTGGTCCGTTCGGGTTTCTATAGGCTTCAAAATGCGTCTTGGAGTTGCTCTGGGCTCATAACTGTTGAGTAATATGCGTGTGTATTCCTGTCTATCTATTGCTGCCTGAAATTGCGGGGAAGTGGTGCTGAGATCATGTGACATATTACAACACGAACCGAATCACGTGCGGGCAATACTCACGTGCCCTTCAGTGCCAAGACGGAGGCATGTCGGTCCGGACAGGACACGTAGAACTATATAGTAGGAACGCGGACCTTCGGAGGAAGGTCAGCGTTCAGTCTTCATATCAATAGACCAGGATTCTACGTATATTCCATCCCGTGACTTCCCACTGCCCTACTCGCCAAGAAGTCCTTTACAGTAGGGTAAGTGTAGTAGGCTCTGTAGGCTGCATAGGCTGTGTAGGCTGCGAGTACGTACGTAGCTTATCAAGTGCTGTATTACAGCTTATAGGCCAGATTCCAGCTTTCCGGAACACTGATTGTATAGTAGATTCCTTGAAGGTTTGCTCCCGCATCTGTGGGAGATCTCTCATAAATAGGGGTAGGTTGTAGGTGATATCCATCTCTCATATGGCACGGAGCACAGCCTGCTTATGCCAGCTTATATGGTTGGAATATTCCCACATCTAATGGCTGTAAAACGTGTGTAAGGTGACTGGGAAACGCCCATAAGATGATGTGATATTTAGCAGCCAGAATGATGAAATCATGGCTCGTATAGCTCACATGGGAATCAAGGAGTAGAACCTTGGGATTTCCCGGATCATGAGGAGCTGTAAGCTGCACGAAGTGCTGTAGCCACTGTAGAGCAAGCTGGCTATTAGAATAGCCAGTCTCAGAGAGCAATATCAGCTCATTCCCATGGAGGTTTTCAGGGTACCATGCCTCCATATGAATTTTACCCGGTACAACAAGTACCGGTGCAATCTTCTGTCCAGCTGCAGATACTGCCTCTATAATCATAATAGATATATGATTCTCAGGGCTCAGAGTGTAGAGCTGCTTTACAGCTCGGGGGACTATAACTCTCTCACCCCCTGGAATTCCTACCCTGAATCCAGTTTCATCCATATTCCAGATTGACTCTGGATTTATACTACGCTGTAGTACTAATTCCATGTACTTTTCAAACCACTTAATAACAGCAGGCTCCTGTTGAGCTTTCGTACACTGCTGCACAATAGGCTTTGTAGTAATAAAGTAGAAATCCATAAGCTCATTCCGTATATATTTAGTGAGCCAGCTCTGTGATGGTGGAGGCAGTGGGCTCCGTAGGTGGCATACTGCCCCATAAACCATATGCCTATTAGCCCCTAATCCTAGGTAATACTGCTCTAAGATCCATTTCTTCAGGGCTTCCGTCTGAGCTATAGAAAGCAACCTATTCTGACCTCCATGGGTGTAAGGATGCCTTCTCGTCTCTCATTCTAGGGAGTAGACTCTGGGTAGCTGCGGGGTCACATGTGATCATTTGGGTGGGCTAACTGAGTCAGAACCGAGTCGGATGGGTTTCGGGTGTTACGATTATAGCTTACGGTTGTTACGGTTGTTATGGTTGTTATGGTTGTTACCGTTGTTACGGGTGCAGCCTTAGCCACCAAGGCTACAACCGCTAAGTGGACAACTGTATATTACGAGGAATAGCCTCACCTTCCTTCCTTCTTCTTCTTCTTCTCTCTTTAGATTCAATCTAGCTTATTATTCTCCGGACTGGCTTCTTGACCTCCGTGACCATCGTAACACTTCGTTCTCGAATAGAACAAGAACCTGGGGCGGCATTTTGTGGGGAAGATGGTGGGGAAGATGGATGGACGTGGCAGAGAGCTACTTTTAACGCATCGGCGCTTCGCGTAGACCACGTGCTAAAGTGTCGGGCGAATGTTGTGCCGACCTAAACAATGCACTTGTCCTAAGTTTGGCATTATAGTTTTCCCGTATACCGACACTACTGAAAGCTTACATTGTAATGCTCACCTGTCTGAGGACAGGTTCTTAAAACCAGCTTGTTGCTATGCCTACTACACTCGAATTCCACAGTTGCAAACCCATCACATTCGAATCTGCTGAAAAAGCAGAAGCCAACATCATTCACCAGCTGGGTTACGCTCCTGCAGCAGCAAGCTCCAGCAGGAACTCTGGAAGAAAAGAAGAGAAATTGAAGCCCTTGCTAAACATCACCTTGGACTAGGAAGCTACACCATCCTCGAGCAGTCGACATGGATCCAAGGCGGCTTCAATATTTGCGTACCTATTGAGGCAAATCTTGGAAAGTTATCGAAGAAACTTATCTTTCGATGCCCGATGCCACACAAGCTTGCCGAAAGCATATACCCTGGCACGGTAGATGAGAAGCTCAGCTGTGAGTTAGGAGCATATATGTGGATGCAGGATAAGTGCCCTGATATCCGTATTCCTCACTTATACGGTTTTGTCCTATACTACTTCTTAGCCTCTAATGTCTACTTTTGAGGGTGTTTCTGTTCTGTTACGGCCATCTACGGTTGTCTACGGGTGTTGTTGTCACCTATCCTTAAGAACCTATCCTTAACTATCCGTAAGACTTCACATCACATTTCTAATCATAATATACAGCACATGTGAGCTACCTTTCTAGTCTATCCCATGCCGTTCCTAATATATTTGGAGTCTAGTTCGCCCAGTTTACCCACACAGATCACCGACCTCTCTATGTGCGCCTCTCCCGCCTGTTCTGGTGGTGCTTTTATAGCCTCTTTCAATATCCTGTCCTATCACAATATACCCTCCACTTGGGGAGGAGCGATTTCCGAACGCCGTACATGCTGCTCGAGTATATAGACTCTAACATGGGTGATATGCTTTCAAACACGTGGAAGGAGCAGCAAGAAGGCCCAGCTTGTAGGAGGAGGTTGTTCCAAGGCATGTCACGCATAATCCTGTCTCTCGCCCGTATACCTCAGCCGAGAATAGGATCGTTTCAATTCAACGACGATTGTACTGTGACACTAACAAACCGACCGCTTACATGCACCATGGTAACACTAGAGAATGAGGGCACAGAGAGGATAACACAAAAGGATGACACATATGCGTCTACTGAGCCTTTTGTATCCGACATGATTACCTTCCATGACGAGCGCCTTCTTAGCAACCCGAACGCAGTATACGACACTGGAGACTGCCGTACCCAGATGACCCAGAGGATACTACTCCGGGTGCTCTCGCATCAATATATCAACCGTGCTCGCCGTAATGGGCCGTTTCTGCTGCAGCTTACCGACGTTAATCCCTCCAACATCTTTGTCAACAAGGAATGCAACCTTACTTGTCTTGTCGACCTTGAGTGGATATGCGCTCTTCCTGCGGAAATGCTTGCAGTACCATACTGGCTTACTGGAAGTCACATCGACAGGATAGAAGATAATCACTTAATTAAGTTCAACGAAATACGACGGGAGTTCATGGATATATTAGAGGAAGAAGAGCAGGGTCTCAGAGAACACAACATTTCAATATCAGGAGCTATGAATGACACGTGGGATTCGAAAGGAGTTTGGTATTGGTATTGTATATCGTCGGCAAATTCTATGCTTACTCTTCTTGAGGACCACATCTGCCCTGCATTTTCAGCGGTACTACATTCAGACTTCGAGGAGGTTCTGTCAAAGTTTTGGTGTGAGAATGCAGAGGACGTTTCAACAGAAGGTTGATGATAATATCAAATATAATGAGGAGCTCTGACAGCGATTCGGAGGCACTGGTCGGATAAAATGAAAGATCCATCTTCAACAGTGCCCTCTAACCACTATCAACTCGATTATTCGTTATGTTTTTCCTTTAGCCTTCTTCTGTGTGCCGCCTCCTTTTTAGCCGTTCTCTCAGCTCTGTCCCTCTTGATGTTATCGCCAGAGGAGATGACTATCCCTATATCGCGCCCCTTGCCAGGCGATTTGGCGATGGTGATTTCCTCAATGACCCTGCAAACTGCGCACTCAATTTGTACTTCCTGGCACAATTAGCCTGTTCAAAATTTGTTATCATAAAGGTTATTTATCCTTTATTTCCATCTTTCACAAGATGGTTCAGACTATTTCTTCATTTCTTTTTATAATCTAGATCGTGGTGTTCGAGCTTCGGGTTTAGCGCCCGCCCTAATCGGGCAACGCGCATGGACGGGCCTGCCGCCGCTTTCAACTTCTATAAAAGGGCCACTCCCTTCCCCCCGACTGTCCATCTCCACCGTCGCTCCTCCCTCCCAACATTATCGCACCTGCTATGCTTCATCGTGCGACGCTTGGCCCCTCCGCCCCCTCCAAACTACATGGCCCCGCCCAACGGATCCCCCTGCCCGGCCTCGCCGCAGCTGAAAACCTGAAGTGGCACATGAACGCTTCGCAGAGCCACAACCTCGAGTTACGCCCTCCGATGACTGCGCCTTCCATGCCACCGAGCTCCTCGCGATGGCAACGAGCCCTTTGAGCATCGACGTCTGGTCGTTGGATCAGTCAAGGTGCAAGAACGAGCTAAGCTGCGTTCCACTCGACCTGCCTCTCTTGCGCCCTTCCTCGTCGCCGCGCGCATCTGAAGCCTCTTGCGACAGTGGCATGCGCAATCTGCCTCGAGAGTGCCTTGCACTACGACCTAGCCAATCGCAAAAATGCCTCGCCGTGACGTGGCTGGCCCTTGCGTAGACCGCCGCGCGGCACCTTTTGCGACATTGCGAGTTACGTGCACTGAGCAGCGACGGTTGCCTCAGTCTAGGCTGATCTTTGAGAGAAGGGCTGATTTCTGCTTGCGAGTCTAGCTTCTTGGGCCTTATACTCACATCCTGGAGATCGAAGGTGGATATCCCCTCTCGAAGGCCATCGCGGCCGCGACCATCCATGCGTTGAAGGCTGCAGTTCGCCTTCAATTCGAGGGGAATACTACCAGGATTGCGGACAAATGGATATAGGGAGTGGGGAGTGGACAACTATTGCAATCTGGTAGAGTCATCTGACCTAGGCTTTCACGGCGATCGCCTTCACAGCACGCATAGTCCGGACATGATTTCTCCTTTTGGCAGCAGAGGGCAGCGCTACACTTTCAGCTGAAACTGAGACCCCGCTCTTGAGACCGCTCAAGTTGCAACAACCCAATCACCATAATGCATCGGAATACGATGTGTCTTGCCTCTCTTGGACGCATATGTCTAGTTGGTGGAATCGGGGTCAAGCATGTGGTGGAAAGTGCACTGCCTGGCTACGGAGCACGGAAAAGGATGAGGGGACACACGGAGCGTGTAGACCAGCTTGGCAGTGAAGGCTGCATCTTTAGCAGGGAAGCAAGGGGGGCTCGCAAATTCTAGCGACTCAACAGCGGAGCGACCGTCCGAATCTATATAACTCCTTGATTCCGCTCGAGAGTCTCGTTCTAGAAAACCATTCTCCCACTCATGTCCTATTCTGTGTCAGCATGGCTACTGTGAACATGAACTGCGTTGAATTCTATAACCCCAACCCCAAACCTACCTTCAAGGCCTCACACGCTCAGCCGACGAAGTCGGTGTTGAACAATCACCGGCTGCCTCTACAACCCAGCAGATCGCCATCTGCAAAGTTAGCGGGTGATGTTCAAGATAACGACTCGTTAGATGACTCTCTTCTGTTGCTTGAAGAGCTGCTCCGCCCTCCCCAAAACGGAGACTTCCCTCGGGTGCCACATCAAAACCACAAGCCCCTCCATATCTCGAAGTGCCAACTGATTGACGAGGGCCGTCTGCTTACTGATGCCACAACCCTGAACTCGGCCTATGTGCCAGGAAATACTCAAAGTAGGTTTCTTAGCTCGCTTTTGTATGTGCATACACCTTACTAATTCCACGCAGGAGACCCCCTAATCATCGAAGATGACAGCGACGATGAAAGCGATGACGAAGCTGAGGTTGGATTTGCCTCGAGCGATCTCCTTGCCAGTATCAGGGACCAAGACGTGAGCGAGACTGGCCTGGCCACTCAAGATACCGCCTCGACCCCGAGCAGCCTATTTGGCCCGTCCACTCCTCGAGACTTGGAATACCTCAATGCCGATTCTTTCTCTAGGGATGGACAACAACGCCTGTCTTTCGCAGAGCTAGACTCGACATTCCCTGTTCACGTTCGCCTACCTTCCCCAAGTTGCTCTGAGCTATCTGAGACAACGAGTCATGATCAAATTCACCAGGGTGTTGAGAAGGCCATAGTCGACGAAATGAGGCCTTCTCCACTACGCGAGAGGGCTGGTGGATCGTGCGCCTGTGGCAGCGTCGGCGATATCGAGGATGAACTACGACAAACTTCAGCAGAAGCGGGGGGATTGCCGCCTTCAAGCTCAGCTCATTCCCAATACAATCAGATGGACCACGAAAGTCAAAATAATACAGACGTTCAAGGTATTTCGAGCGACGAACGATTGTGGGAAAAGACGATTGAACAGCAGCATTGCCAACAAAAAGAGCAAGAAGATGAAGACGAGGACGACATAGAGGCGACCAGCGGCAAGGATAAGGGCCCGATTAGCCTCTGCCAGCAAGTAAATGAGAGCCTTCAACTCCCACAAGTGGAAGACGAGACCATAGTTGTGGCCCATCTCTCACAAGACCGCCAACACAGTGTCAAACCATATCAAAAGGACAACGAGGATAATGTATATGACGAGGATGAGGAGGATGAGGATGAGGACGTGCGGCCTCCAAGACGATGAAAGCGGCGCTGCATAGATTCTGACGTGACTGAAACCGCCACGCGCAAGAAGGTCCACACGCGCTCATCCACTATAGCCCAAGCCCAAACCTGCACTACTCGAGGTTCTACAGTTTCTCAGAGTTCACCAGACGATGCGGAGTCAATTCTAGGCGCGGACTACCAAGAATATCCTCTTCAGGGATTTCTCAAGTGTGTGAGGATTGGACGTGAGACGACTTACAACCTAGAGTTCAGGCTGCTAGATCTTCCAGATTCGTTCATACCATCAATCGGTCTCCACATATCAAATTCCACGTCTAGCGGGGAATTAGCTGAAAAATCAGCTCACTCACGGGTTTGCGCATCTCATGCAAAGAGGTCAAGTCCCGCTCTACAGAAGCAAAGAAAGCATGGACATCTCCAATATACAGCGCAAGAAGATAATTTGCTGATGCGCCTCAAGAAGAAGGGCTTGCTGTGGAAAGAGATACATAGGGCTTTCATCCGTGATTTTTCAGACAGGAGTATCGGATCGCTTCAAGTATGCTATTGCAACGAGTTGAAGGACAGAGACTCTGAATCTGATGACGAATAGAATTATTTGTTAATTGTATGGGTTCTATCTTCCGTGAATTCCCTTGTTCTACGTAAATTATCAAGACGTTACCAAGACGCTCGTAACCCTAGTAACTTTGCGATTTAGCTAACTCCCGTCAAGCCGACGCCAGCTTCGAACCATCCGCCAATAACGCTAACAATCTTGTATGCCTCTCAAGTGTATGTTTTAGTGTCTGTTGCACTGTGTTAATTGCCTGCATTTCAGGTATGAGTATCCCTGTGCAACGTGGATTCGATTGTCCACAACCTGTGTCCCTGTACATCACGTGAGCAAGGTGGCGTTCCCCGAGCTTTTAGTACACCGACATTTTCGTACGAGACAGTGCTAACTCGGCGCACGAGTTCAATAGACACAAATGACGAGTTCGATGCAGGAAGCCACCTCATTCCACAATTTTGACGTCAATTCCGGATGTGAATAACGCGGTGAGATCTGGTGGATACTCGTCGAACGAGGGTTACTGGATTGACGAGGCTCATCAGTGACGACTTCCGGAGCGAGTTCATCCTGCTATCAGACTTCTTCCGCTCCTCATACGCGTTCCGGGCCGAGTTAGGTCGGCATCTGTAGAAGCGACTACTCCCTGCTTCACCACCAATCTCGCTAGCTCTGTCTTCGCTTGATGTATCTCTGATGCAGGTGTCTTCTTGGTGTCCTTTCCATACTGACACTTTCCTCCCTCGTGAGACCAGCTACCTTTCCGTTTCCGATTTGGAGATAGACTTCCTAATACCGCTCGTGGACGTATAAACTCAGCTCGTTCAAAGTCAATCCAGGTATTTGATAGTGCTTTATTATCTTCACTGGTTGATCACAATCTGGGTTATTCGTCGTTATCCATTCTGAGTTGCATTCAACCATGAGAGAGTAGTTGGCGAGAATCGAAAGCGGTCTCGGGAGCGCCTTAGGAAATGCTGGGACGTTTCTAAGGAGCTCTATTAGCTGAATGACCATGTCGATGGGTTCTGAATCCTGCTTGGCACGGAGAGCAGAGTCTGCCATGACTCCCTGCTTTTAGTCGTGACCTCTTGATATTGTTCATGGTGTCTGGACAGACACCGTCGCCCAGGAGTGGATCGCGTTGAGGTCTCAACTGTGCAGCGAGTGTCACGGTTCACCAAGGCATAGGGCGCCAGTTGGGTATTATGAATTAAACTCAATCTAGAGAAGAAAGGAAAGAGAAGAGGAGCACTCGAGCAGTGGCTCAATCTATATACAGCTATGTTGTTGTGGAGTGAATTCTCTTTAGCGAGACTAGTTCTGAGAATTCTCTCCACAACTGAAAACTTCGCTCCAACCCCGGAAAGCTCCCCACACCCCTGAACCCCCACTCGAGCTGCAAGGCGCACTTGATATCGTAACAGCGAGAACCTTTTGATGTTTCTCCAGGGTTTCAACAAAATGCTGCTGCAGAGCCGCCAGTTCTCCGAGGCCCGCATTGCACCACATTACAATCTACGGAGAGATATAGGACAAAGAGGATCAAAACTAAATATATGTCACTGGATTAGTCAGCGTCGCTTGGAAAAACAAAATCACGTGCAGTTATGTGCTAGTTGATGAGCCGGACGCATTCCGTTTAGACTCCATTCATTGTATAAGTAATAATATCTCCATACAGTCATAATCCGTTAAGTCGATACGCGTTTACCCGATATTTACAATATCTCGATATATTTTGCGGGATCCATCCTTTTTACATACAAACCCCGATATACATGATATCGTGCCTTTCCTTCAGATTATCGACTTATGCTAACCTCTTCTTCACTTTACAGGATGCCTCCAAAGAAGCTCAATTCGATGACTCTCGACCAACGACATACTCTCCGGCGCTGGCACTGTGAACAACGCCCTCGACCTTCGCAGAAAGCTTGCATCGCATGGTTCCAAGACCAATACCAGACTCGAGTCAGCCAATCTACTGTCTCCGAATCTCTTAGCGCTCGATTTGCCTACCTCAACGGCACCCCACAAGCAGACGATCAAGAATCTCGACGACGACGACGTGACGCTGCTTGGCCACAGCTAGAAGCTATCCTTTTCGACTGGCAGAAGCTTATTGAACGAAGAGGAGGGGTCACAACAGGTGAGGTTTTGCAAGAGAAGGCAAAGCAGATCTGGGCACAATTACCACAACACGAAGGGGAAGCAGTCCCAGAGTTCAGCTTAGGGTGGGTCACAAGGTTTTGACAACGTCATAAGATTCTTAATCAAGTTCGACACGGTGAAGCTGGATCAGTTCCAGCTATAGCAGAGAAAGAGATGCGAGCAATTCAAACAGTCGCAGGGGAATACTTAGAGGAGGATATATATAACATGGACGAGACAGGACTATACTGGAAGATGACACCATCAAGGGGCTTTATGACAGCAGAGGCAGCTATAGGTCAGAAAAGAGAGAAGGCAAGAATATCAGTAGTTGTTTGTGTTAATTCAACTGGCACAGATCGATTTCCTCTATGGTTTATTGGAAAGGCAAAGACACCACGAGCCCTTCGAAATGTTGAAGTCATAGCAATGGGAGGGGTTTGGAGATGGAATAAAAGGCCTTGGATGAATCAGTTCATTATGGCAGAATGGTTAGAGGCCTTCTATTTACGGGTAGGCACATCTCGATCAATACTCCTAACGATGGATAACTTCTCAGCGCATATCGCCGCCATTGAATCAACTCCTCCTCCCCCAAACATCCGCATCATCTGGCTTCCTCCAAATGCAACAAGTCGATTTCAACCTCTTGATCAAGGCATCATCGCTGCCCTTAAAGCATACTACCGGCAACAATGGCTCCACTATATGCTTGAATGTTATAAAGCAAATAGAGACCCTGTCCAAGCAATGAATGTCCGACTCGCCATTCGATGGCTCATTCGATCATGGGCTCACGATGTTACAAACATAACTATCTATAACTGCTTTCGAAAAAGCACAATTCTCCAACGCCCAATTCAGCTTCCAATACATCCTCTTCCTAATATGAACGACCTTTATCAACAAGTACAACAAGTTGGCCACATCCGCGATGCTATGGATCTCTCAAAGTTCTTAAATCCAGTGGAGGAGGACATAAAGACGATGGAGGAGAGCATTATGGAGCCTATAGGAGAGGATATGCTGCTAGAGCAGGTCATTGCACAATATATACCAGATTATGAGGCTCAAGATGATGACGAGGATGAAGAGCTTAATCCACAGCCTGTGCTAACCCCACAAGCTGCACATCAAGCTATACAACGTCTGATTGAGTTCACAGAATCTGGGAATAGTGGCACGAATGAGGCAGCAGTGTATTTACGGTCCTTTGAGAAGTTTCAGAGAGAGTTAGGGCTTACAGTAGCCAATTCTAAGGCACAGGGAACCTTGGATGGCTGGTTTATGTAAATAGCCTCATTTTAAATAGCTGTCACGTGAATCTCGATATCTCGATATTTACGTTATCTCGATATTATTTACGGGAGCCGAGCTATCGACTTAACGGATTATGATTGTAGCTCCATCCATGCCTTCCTTGACCTTATAAAGGACCCAATCACCAATCCGGCTCGCCTTCATCGGCGTGATGTGGACATTTTGCAGATCCGGTAATGGACCCCACCACAGTTCCCAGCAACCTAACAACGCTTCCAACGTTTCCCATCCTAGTGCACGGCACTGTTTGACCTTGTTTGTGTTCATTGTTCGGATGTTGACAGTTCTCGTTTTTGCAGTACCCTGATACACCTGAACTTGTTGTCATTATCGCAGAGTCCTATTGATGTTAGGATTAGATGTATCACTATATGTGTTACGTACGTCAATAAACTGCCTACGTGAACTTGGAGCTTTATATTGGCTGTGTGGCCGGCCTTTGTTTGCTGAAGATTATGCGAATGTCGACTTGAAGGCGAGTACGTTCAATTTATACATGGAGCCAACTCTGCTGCCTAAATTCACCGACGAAGCTCCCATAAAATTCGACTTTGCAGTATGCGACTCGTTGAATCTGGTCGAGTCGACATATTTCGTGGCTGTTAAATGCGGCACCATATTGGTCCATGTGATGGTGGTTGCTGTCCCATATCTGTGGAATCAGTCACGAAGAGATCGTTTGTCTATGGCTGCGACGAGTTTCAAGTCTGGTGATGTGCCAAGCTCCTGATGTAGTTAGGCCCGGAAAGAGAATTCCGTAGTATAAGACTCTCGAGGGAAGCTTCCGTAATATTTAATCTTGGGAGAAACTTCCGTAATCTTAGACAAGCACAACGCAAGCCGTCTCTATGCCTCCCAATCCAATACTCAGATGCGATGAGTTAATTAAGCTGGTTGAAGAGCAAAAAAGCTCTTTTACAGAGGAATTTCGAACATTAACTCCAAAGGAAGAAACAAGGCGCACAAAAGCCGATGACCTCGTCTCGAAAGGACCAAAAGGTTTGAACGACAAACAGAGAAAAGCACGCACTATTCTTCGAAATCTCAAACTCAATGTTGGTCATGAGGTCTTTTTACTCTGTGCTTTGGCGACGACACCTACGGGGCTTGGCGTCTCGCAGCTAGGGGATTACATTGGAATGCTCTCAAAATGGTGGGAAGCGACCGACCATCCAGGCGGCTTGCGACTTGTTGCATCAAGGAAGTATGACGAGTTTAGTATGACTGCCCCAATCGACTACTTCTTTATTGGAGCAATGTATTAACAAGTTACAGGACCCCTGCTTCCATCTTTGGATCGTCCAGCACATCAACCTCATGTTTTAAAGCCTCAGGAAGATAGAGAGCAAACCTATCTCCGAAAACCGGGTCACGTTAGGCATACACCTCCACCTAGGAAATCACCGCCAGCAGAGACCGGTGAATTAGCTACAGAATTGCTACCGGCGCAGACAGACAGGCGTATGCAAGATCTCATTACACAAGATAATGCTAAAATATCTACTACAGAAATCGACTATACAGTCTCAGGGGCAATAATTAGCCTGATGCCACTCTTGGGCGACCCGTTATATGATGCTGTCTCGGCCAGCAAGCAGTGGAAATGGGAAAGGTCTGTGGGAGGCCTGACAACAGATTGTCTGAATGCAATAGTCCCCGAGGATCCGAGCCAAGACATCTCTATCACCTTGTCCGTTGGCCACAAGATGGGACTTGACTTGATCCGCAAATTCAAGCTAACGCCTACATGAACTTCACGTATCCCCCAATCACGCGAACCACATATCCAGCAGGGACGGTACCTTCGCCGACTATATTAACGTCGTGATGTTCATAGTGTGGCGGATTCTCTGGTGTATCAGGATGATATACTCGGATCGATTGACCTTTGCATATTATTTTCCTCTCATCGTCTACTGCAGCAAATAATTCAACGCCTATTTTTTCTTGACCTGCAAACACGTCCTCGGGCATTGTTATGACTTGTGATGTGCTGTGAAATGACCTTATGCCACGAACGATCTATTCCACGTCAGCAGAATACTTTCTGTGTTGGACTAAACCCTGATTCTTACCAGGATGATCTCGCCCGACCGAGAACGATGTAGAGTCGTAAATTCGTATATAAAAGAGAATGAGCGGCCAGAAACTTTGAAGAGTCGATATGATCGTATCTGTTCGCGCGATGGCCTCAAGATCCTGCCTGATTCTAGATACCCACCAGTTAGTGAGAAGAATGTGAGTATGGAACGTCAAAGACACTCTGCACCTTTAATAGTATATGATAGAATATGATATGTGAAATGGACAGAATGAACTAACGGCGTGGGTCGAAGTAAAAGAGCGAGATGGTAATTATCGCGCGAGTCGATTAGATTACTTGGGCTCTCGTTAGGTGGTGGGGCTCAATACCATGTGATTTGCTCAGCAAAACCTTAGGCTCCAGTGCTTTCGGGCTGCGAGGTTCAACACTGGACACGGGACCCTTTGCCCTTAGGCCAATCTAATTGCTCCATAAATCTCCAGATATCGCGGGGTTAATCAACCCAGCCTTTGCCCTTTGCGAGAGTCCGGTGGCCTCACTATTTCCATAGGTTTGTAGTAATGTACCAGTTATGGGCTGAACTCACCTCCCCTTACAAATTTACACGCCAAGGAAATTGGGCCATACCCAAATGTCGGCATTGTGGTTTCCCCGCATGCCGGGGTTTGCCAGTATAAGTCAGGACCCATCAATTTTGCCATCCCTCAAACCGCACCATCCAGTGTCTTCACAAACACTCGTCAGGAATGGCTTCTTCATTTACGGCGACAATCTACGCGACAGTTTTGTTTACTATTTTCATTGTATAATTATATAAACTGAAACCTGAACCTATCTCTCTAGTGAATAGCGCAGCCCAACTCTTCGATAAGATCTAAACGCCATGACGAAGGATTCTGGAAACAATACTCGAGTGCGTAGTATATCTCTGATGACGTCTTGAAAGGAATGGAGCTTGAGGAAACTGATATAAGAAGACGCTATAAGCCCAACTAAATCGTCCCTCGAATACATCTAGACAATTAAAGCCCGCATACAGAACCCTGGCTTTGGGGCGCTATTTCGTTCTATCGCAAAGCCGAAATTTGCGACACAGTTGCAAAATTCAGGAACGTATCCAGCAGGCATGAGAATTTCCCATACATTCTCATCAACAGAGAAGATTGCGAGGACCTTGTGCTTTCTGAACAAAGGGGAAGCCTGGAGGCCAGAGTAGAGCTCGGAAGCAGTTGAGCAGAACTCGCCAGTGTATAGGTAAATTATGCGATACAATTCATGGGTTGACCCAGCCTAGCAGAGTAAGCTTTTCCACTTTTTAGCTTTGCCTCTTGACAACTTACGGGCCAACAATCACCAGTGGTGGCGCTCAAGCCGTGGGAACTTGACGTCGGACACAGATGTACATCTGTCGAACTTGGAATTAAATTGTCACTACGGATCTGATGTAGATCCGATATTGAAGTGGCCGCGGTGCTTGGAGGCGAGATACTGTCAGATCTCATTGTGGTATTTGCGCTCCAGTTCTGATGTAGAGTCAAGGTCGAGGTCTTCTCGGTGTCCAAAGGCGAGATACCGTCCATCCTTGACGTCGAATTGCTATTCTGGGTAGCTGATGGTACATCAATATCACAGTCGTCAGTCCAGCTCCACTCGACAAGCTGGTCAAACACTGACCATCTCCATGACTGTGAGTGGTCAGCAATGGCAGAGGTACGCAGAGAGATAATCCAAGCCTTGGAAGAAAACCGTAGACCTAAGGAGTTGGGTGGTGAAATTGGGACATCAAGTTCTCTGCCATTTTTTGCTCCTCCATCGCTCGCAGCTCGAATTCCAGGCATGTTTGTACTGGAACGTAAGGCAGCCGAATAGAAAACTGTCATGATGCAGCAGGATGCTTGAGCGGTGAAGGGTATGTTTATACTCATCATAGAAACAATGGAAACTAGCCGTTCTGAATTGAGATTGTTAATGGCCAACCATGTCATGTCTGAGGAGTCTCGATTCACGTTAACTTTGCGTAAACTTACAGAAACATACGGAAACTTCCAGAAGTTATGGCCCAACCACACTGTCCCATAATTTCTTGGAAACTTCCGTTAACTTACGGAAGTTCCAGTGGTCCAATTATAGTTGGACGACAGGGTAGCAGCCGACCGCGAGGTTACAGAAGGTTACGGAAGTTTAGAAACTGTTCTGAGACTCTTTCTGCAATGCGATCGACACTGGTGAAGCCATTATGATTATCTATGGGCCAGCGCTTCCTGCTACCTTGCGATGAGTATCGCTCCCCTACACTACTGCATTGTGAATCGATCTCGCCAGCATCTTCTCCAACACTGTCCCGCAGATATGTGCTTCATCCCCGCGTTATTTGCATGATGCACCCTTGGACCTTCTTTTGAATATTCAATCGGCCAATGCATGGCGATGGGCTGCTGGTGATCCTGAGCGAGAAGGACCGGCTTCCCCCAATTCCCAGGCCGTTGTTGGTTTCAGGGGGGCTGGTCTTCCATTGATATGATGGCCAACGAGTTGAGATTATATAAGGGCTTGCGATTCCCCAGAAATTCAATCATAAATCTTTGCAGTCTTCAAATCATCAATTATCTTCAGGGTTCTTACTTCTGTCTGTATCTCCCAACGACCATATCAAACCACCTGACAACACTCTACATTGATCATGGTTCAAGAAATGATTCAAATCGGCCTTTCACTGGGCAGTTCACGGCCAGCCACGCCACCCAGAACCCCGACGATGAGCGATGAGGATGCTAGTGAGATTCTCACCGCTATGAAGATGCACCCAACCTCTCCAAACCCTCACTGTTATCGGTCTGAGTTGTTGCCTTTCGCCCAACAGTTCATAGACGTTGTCAAGTCTCTCAGTGCCACCCAGAGCACCCCTGCTGCCCTTGCTGCCGCAGACGAAGTCAAAGCCGAAGACCCTCCAGAAAGGATTCAAACATACAAGACAGTCAATGAGGTGTAAGTCTTCCTGCCGCGGAGGCCTTCCCTTGGCTCACAAGATACTGGTGCAGTTGGGATGAAAAGGCGTACAAGTATGTCATCGAGGAACAACACCAACCGGAAGAAAAAGTTACAGTCAAAAAAACCGAAATACCAGTGGTCTATATTGACATCAAGTCGAAATTGCTCCGAGATACCTGGAGAGTTATACTTGCACAAGCTCCTGGGATTAGTCTCAACGAGGAAAGCCTCTCCGTAACTATGCCCTATCCAACAATCACGATCGACTTTCTCACTTTTTCAAAAGCTCGAACGAAATATCCTCTTCCACTATCTCCCAGATCTCGAGGCGTCCCGCAAATGGAATCGCGTTGATCCCCAGGACAGCATCATCCGGGAGCACATTGCCCTCCTTATCGATCACATTAATTTATCCTACAAGGAGACGAAAGTAAGGCTTGCCTCGTTGCTGAAAACGGGAGAGATAACTTACGATCTACTCCCGTTTCTGTTCAAGCCGAACGAATTTGTGTATACCACTTGTCGCGGGACGAAAAAACCAAGATGCATCAGATATGAATCTGGCGAAGCGAAAGTAACAACAAATGGAGTTGAATATTTCCACATCAAAGGAAAGTATTTGGAATTTGACGGGAAGATGCTTGGGAAAGTTCCAATCGAAACTGCAATTCTCGGGTTCCGCGGGTCGAGAAATATCAACTCTCTCGAGGCATTTCCTCTTCCAATATCACGAATCAGAGAAGAGTATCAGAGAAACACTTGTCGAAAGCGGTCGCAAGTTCTGCTTCTCTTTAATCGGCACGCAACATCGGCAATATAGAGGCAGGGCCTTTCAGATGAAGAAAAAGAAACCCGTTGAGATATTCATCAACAGTAGAATTATGATTGATGCCGCATCATTTCAGGAGATCAATCCCAACTACACCAGACCAAGCATCTTCAAGGGCTCTGACAGTATTGATTTGTGGCTGATAGTAGATCCGGCTTCTAGCAACCAGATCGATGAATCGGCTATGAAGAGCAGTATGGACCTTGATGCGCTGACCGATGAAGATTTTCTAATCTGTAGCCCGACTGTGCTGGGCTTCAGTCTGAATGACAAATTATGGTGTAAGACATGTGCTCTGCTGTTGCGACATTGCTGATCACGTACTAGTGGAATTTGCGGTTGCAGACATTTCGGAAATTTCCTGGAATGAGTCGCTCTTCAATCAAGTGGCTATACCGTCTAGGTCAAAGAAGCTCATTGAAGCTCTGACCACATTCCAGTCTGGTGGAAAAGCTAAATATACGTTTGATGATTTTGTGGAGGGAAAAGGCCGTGGCTTGATTATGCTACTCTAGTATGTTCATGGTAGCAACGATCGAGGTGTATAAGTCTGACACCGTCAATAGTGGTCCACCAGGTGTAGGAAAGACAATGACTGCAGAAGGACTGTCGGAACACCTCAAGAGGCCTCTGCACAGTAAGCACTTCCACATCAACCTGGCACAGGTTTGTACTGACTTAGTGAGGTCTCTGCCGGAAAGTTAAGCAACGATGCGAAACATCTCGAGGTGCAATTGTGTGGGATGTTTGAGGTTGCAGAAAACTGGAAGGCTTTACTTCTCCTCGATGAAGCCGACGACTTTCTGTGCAGGCGCTCATATGACTCCAATACAACTCTCTCGTCTCGGTCTTTTTACGGAAGCTCGAGTATTATAATGGCATTATGTTGCTTACCACCAACCGGGTTAGAGACTTTGATGAAGCAGTGCAGAGCAGAATACACATTGGTGTTAAGTATAGCCCCTTAGGCGTTGACACGAGAAAAGCGATCTGGAGGAGTTTTCTCGGGAAGGCAAAAACGGAGAACGGGGATGCAGCGTATAGTGACAAGCAGTTGAACGTCCTGGCCAAGCACAGTCTCAATGGTAGACAGGCAAGTGTTCCTAGGTACCGTCGAATGGAGCTATTTTGCTAATATTGTCGCACAGATTAAGAACGCAGTGCGTTCAGCACATGCCATAGCAAGCAGCGATGGAACACATCTATGCTATTCTCACTTAGAGACAGTCCTCGAGGTTGGAAAGGAGTTTGAAAATGATTTCAGAGGATCAGGAGAAATGGCAAACATGCTCTCCTACGCCTGATCTGTCAATTAATCGAACGAAGCTGCATGGCTTATCCTAAAGCAGCTGAATTTTCTTTGTACTCCGTACGCTGTTCATATTGTTAGCACAATTCCACCCATGACTTGATTCCCGAGTCAATGTCGGCGACTTGGTTCCAGCATTGAAATTTTGTCATGATGAACCCACAGACGTGGATGATTGCAGCAGCTCACACTCCGCCGCCATCGGGATGCTACTATAGCGAAGTCGCTCCGTCTTCCTCGCGCGTATATCACGTACTCCGTTGCGCAGTGGATTCGTGAATGCGCGGCCCCTCCATTAATGAGGTGCCGCGCATCCGCGATCCATGTACACTGCGTACACTACGGCGCCAAAAGCAGAATAGAAGAAGCTAGTGGCCCCGAACAAGCATGAATTCATCAGCAAGTCTATGGTCTTTCGGGCGCACAGGTGTCAAGAGCTCCCGTTTCTATATCCCACATATTTCAAGTTGATGTAGTAGTCCACAGTGCGCCCGTCAGTACTACGTATATTGGTGGATCCGTGGATCGCGGCCCGTCAATTTAGTGAGGGGATACCGGATCCTCCACGGTGAATCGAGCAAAGCTATTAAGATCTAGCTTCGAACCCTCTGGCGCCGGCGAACAGCTTCCCCTGACTCTTCTAGTGTATGTAGGGAGGTAAAATGTCGTTCAAGGACGAATTCTGAATCCATCAAATCTTGCCACGTCCGTGCCTGCTCCGCATCAAATTCTGGCCATGGCAAGATTCGATCAGGCCGCGGTTTGTTGTCTGCGTTTGCGGCATCGCCTTGCGTGGACTGTGTGGTATCTGGTTGGATGGTCAGACCTAGGCAAAGATGATTATGGCATGCATCGAGGAACTCGGGCAGCGTTGTCTTTCCGGTCCTCTGTTCGTAGCGCTGTCGTTCATATTCGCGGAGACGTTCTGCTTCTTCGCGGAGTCGTTGCTCTTCTTCGCGGAGTCGTTCTGCTTCTTGCTCACGCCGCTGTGCTGCGCGAAGTTGATTCCGCAGTGCCTCAAGCTCTGAAGACATATTCGAGAACTGAACAAAAGAGTTAGCTCTTCTCTGTCGTTCTATGGCGGAAACGGAATTCCTACCCTTCTACTCCGTAGCTATGCCGCAGTTGCCGAAGTGTCAGTCCACTTGAGCACCTGCGCCTCAACTGGACGAGCACGCATTTATTTATAAGGGTAATGCCGACAAGCAGATCTTGCAGACATTGCTGGAGCGCTGGAGCCCTTCGACGGATCGTACCACTCAAGAAGCTGTGAGGTATTATCGCGTATGGAAACCAAAGTACGCGACAGAGGACACCTCGCGGAAAGGAGCGAACTAGTCAGTTGTGAACTAATCCGTATTAGGCATGGTGTTGAATGGATATCCTGACGTTCCAGTTTACCTTACCGGCGCACCATCTATTTTGGTAAGGGTGGTGGGTGGGTTGTGAGACTGTGGATTATTCATTCACCGTGTAGAGCTTCGACCGTGCTCCCTCAGCGATGCTACGGTTGACTACCTCGACCGGGCATGGCCAGCGACGGTCGAATGAAGCCTTGGCAGTATATGCCACTACACGGTCATATATAACTAGACTGTATAATTGAAGCCGCTGTAAATCTTGTGATCCTCCGCAGTGCTTCGTATGCCGCGGATGAAAAGCGACTGTTGTAAGGCGGTGATTTGTACCAACAACGATGTAGCCGGCCACTCCCCAGTAGTACGGCAGTGTTGATGGCGGTCAGGTCATGGTGGACAGGATCATCAATGGTAAATAGTGTAATATACCGTATATTATATTCTACTCTATCTACCAGTAGCTACTGCCCCGAGCTCATCCAAGTTTAATCATACTCGCTCACGTTTCACCGCTGTTCTTTACTCTCACCGAGTGCACGCTCGTTTGATACTACATGCAAGCCTTGTCTATCTTCATTGGTACCTATCCTGCATACCGCCACTCCTCGGTGAGCCTTTGTAGGTGAAGCATCTACCACTTTTCGCCTCACTCATATCTTACATGGTTCATGCACAACTCTCACCGGTCCACGTTCGTTGACGCATTGGCATTGTGCATCCTGCACGCAGCTCCTATTAGATTTGGTCTCTGATCAGGCATTTCATAATCATGGCACCATCGAAGCCTTATTATCACGTTACACATGACTATCGGCCTGAGACATCTATATCATCGAAGGTTGAGATATGTATACCGAAGGGACAAAGCCCACCTGAGCGTATAGCCATGCCTTTTGTCCCTTCATTAAAAGATCTCAGCGAAGGGGATAATGATAAGCTGCTATCATTTATCCAGTCTCTGTGTCAACACAAACAAGTTATGGCCGATCTCAACAATGCATCACTCAACCAGGATATCGCCGATCTCGACGATGCATCACATACGTACAGCGACGATGGAGATAAGGGCAACGTAACATTCCTTTCCATTATAAGGAAGTGGCTGTGTTGCGTCTGTCTAAGAAGGATGACATCTAAGGCGTATGTCATGTGCTGATTCTCGTTCACTTCTGGTAAAGTGACATATCGTCGTTATGTTGCAAGCGGCCTTTCGGCGATAACGAGTTTCGAACAGTCCTGCTGTCCCAGACTTCTCTTTTGTTTTAGCATATTTTCGAGCGTTATTTATGTAAGTAATACAAACAAACGTTTCTTTCTGCTACCAATAATCAATCTTCTAGCGTACATGAAATGCGAGAAGGCGCAGTATGTTGAGTCCATAAGTGAATCAACTAATGAGTTCTTCGAGGCACTGGGCGTATAACACACAGCAGTTATGGGCGTGGCGTCTATGGGAGCGGAATCGTGAGCAGCTTCCCAACTTTAGCTATGCGACATACAATGATTAGCTGACATTTGGGATATTCTTAGTATCGGAGGTTGAGGATGGACACATCAAAGTCTGCACAAATAGCTACCCAGCTATATGCTTCAATGATACGTCCGTGTACTGCCCTGCTTGTCTGAACAGGCCAAATCATGACTTCGAAGGTGTAGTCCCTTTCATACATATCGTTCTTCGCTCAACTACACGTCATCTTCATCCTTTATTTTACTTGGAGGTATTTGGAATCCTTTATATTTTGACATATCAGTCCCTACATCACAATCGCAAGCCACCACTCTTGAACTATAGTCGCCGCTATGGAAGAGCGACCCTTTTCTGGGCCCAAACCAAGCGCTCTGGTTTGATCCACTGTATGATCTTCTATCTTGTATGGCCTTTGGAATACTAACGTCTGTTATGTTATAGGCTACTGCAACCATTCTAGCTTCCGACAAACGCGATGCTTCCGAAGACCCCCGCAGCTGCAAACGTGAGCACGATCGAAAGATGGACCAAGAAAAACGCCATCAACAAAAAGAATACATTCGTTCTCTTGAGGAGCAGAGGGCTTCTTTGGTAGAGAAACATATTACGATGATGGAGCTCTCGAGGCGGAATAAACAACTAGAGGATTAGAAAGCACAGCTGGAGGGAAAATTAAGTATGCTGCAGAGGGAAGGAATGGTGCAAAATCATACATTGGACTCCGACATAGCGAATATGCATTGGCCTCTTATTGATGGGTAGCACCGGAAAGCTATCCCTTATCGTCATGGCCTCTGACTCGGCAACGAACGAAAGAACACATTGGGAGCCGCCTTATCTTTGAGCTGCATATCGCGAAACGTTTTGATAAACTAGATGAGGTCTGATATTGAAATAGGCACCTTTGGCCCTTTACATATTTATTTCCCTTCCTTAAAAACATTTCCTTGCCTCACCCGTCAATCGTTCGGGTCCGTGACTTAGTTGAATATCAAAAGACTGCGAGTCTAAGGAGGATGACGTATATAAATCCTCATGTGGGAGGCTGTCAAACTTATCAGTCCTCATGAGGCAATGATAGAATACCAAACGTACAGAGACAGTCAACGTGACGAGAGGTCGACTGCGCGGCTTTAACAGAAAATGAGTTTTGACCTCTCGCAACCTCTCTTGGGCATTTCGCAGGCCAATGATATCGTCCTTGTGAGATTTGTGGATGTCATCTGGCTGCTGGATCTGAGCGTGAGACTTGATATTCTCGACAGACGTAAATGTTTCCGGACACCATTTACAGGTCCAAAAAGCGTCATTGTATCGAGATATGAACAATGAAGAGTTCAGGGGCATTGCAAGTCCTCGAATTTGCTTGCGGTCAGCGGCGTTGCCTCCGCCTTTATATCTCTATTGCTGGTTCCGGAGAGCTTGCATTATTCCCGCTTATGATCAGCGCTGTCTCAAAAACAAGCCCTAAGAGATTCCGAGGTCAGAATATCCCCCCATAAAACCTCATCAAATCAATAACCAAGCTAGCGTTGCTGGTAGAGCAGCATATAAAGCCATTACATTCCCGCTCGTCCCGTCTCGTTGTGGCCTTCTATCTACGCAGACTACCTTTATTCCTCAAGCTATATATCAAATTCGAAATGGCCTTCTTGTACCCTGACGACAAGCGTACTTTGTTGAAACGACCAAGTGATGGTGATATTGGCGGGGATTTGAGGAACAGAGAGAAATATTTGGAACGGAGCGATGAGATGCATATGCTCCGTGTAAGTTAACAGCCTCCTTTCGGTTCGTGTTTCTAATAATAAAAGGATCGTTATCCGGACTATGATCCGACAACTGCGCAAAAATTAAAGGAGACCCAGAGCGCAATAGACGAATGGTTGGTTACTTCGGAAAAACTCAGACAAACGGCGAACATCTGGGAGGCGAAAGACATCGTTGACAAGCTTCTCAAGTCGATCAACAATCTCGGATACGTTATCTCAAAGGTGCTTAAGGAGAGAAAGGAATTTGATATGCATAAACGAATAAATCGGACGGTTGATTCCAGTCAGAGCCAAAGCAATACTGTTAAACCAGACCCCTTGTTCGACTTCGGCGTTCTGCTCAAGAAACTCGAACAGCTTCGGAAGGTCGTGGAGGAAGCAGGCATCCAGTCATTTCGGAAGGGCCACTGCGACGTTGAAGATATCATGAAAGAGCTAAACGAAGTCATGAGCGTTATCCCTAACGTAGCTCCTTCACAGGGCATTCTTACCTGTCTCGACTCCAGTGCTATGGATGTGCCGGCCCACAAACATGATCGAACCAGTCCAGACGATGAGCTAGAGAAGCACCCGTCCCGACCAGATGCGATCAACTCAAAGCCCAAGCGAGGAAAAGCCGAAGTTGACAAATTGGAGTGTGCCGCCATCTCTTTGTTGACTATGCCAGCTACCGAAGAACCAGAGAACGAGCACGCAGTCACCACCTGGGAGTGTGCTGCCATGTCTTTGTTAACGATGCAACCGCCCGAACTGATCCTTGACGATGTCACCAAATCTAACATCTGGAAGCTTGCTGCTAGGTATATGTTAGAAATACAACCGAGTCATGAAAGCGAAGGAACTTTGCCTGGAATTGGTTTTATAACCATTCAAATTGAACAGAGGGGACTTAATGGGATCAAGGTAGTTCCCTTGCAGCAGATGGAGCGACTACTCTCTGGAATACCTGATGCTCAAACTGTGGCTGTTTTTATACTGACCCACTTACCGGATGAACATCACGCTCTGCTTTCGTGTACCACAATATTCGCAGTAGAAAATACCCCTATCTGGCGTGGTCATGTTTTGTTTGAGGAGTGGTCAGAAGAAGAAAACGTCGCTTTTGCTTGCGAATTTTCTCGTCTCGTTCATGAACCATCGGCCACAACTTTCGTGCTGCAGAAATGGCATGGACTTCTTGAGGTAAGTTAGCATGAACAGTTCTCTTACACCAAAGACTAATAAGCCGTACAGGTTCTGAATCCGATAATGATTTCAATCTCTTCTTTGTGTTTTGCTCAGACTTGATAAAAACTACAACGCTTGTCTAGTCATGGTAGTTTACAGTATCATGCACCAACATCCGCATCTCACCGACAGAGTAAAGCAGATGTACTTTGACATGAAGGCAGGGTTGTATCTTTCATGAAAAAGACAAGTCGGACCCTATCTGTTGACATCGAGTTCGATGAGACATCATGGTATATCTTCAATCTCTAATACTCCTCTGGACATGCCACTAACAATACGTTCTGCAGCCTCCGGCGTATCCTCGCGCACTCTCTCGAATCTCTCCGCCGCCTAACTCAGCCGCAAACGAAAGAACAATCGAGAAGCCCAACGTGCGATTCGGCAATGGACCAAGGCACATATCGAGCGACTTGAGCAGCGCAATCGAGAGCTAGAGGATATGGTAGGTTTGCTGAAGGTGAAGTTGACGGCGAAGAATGCTACCGACAACAACGTCAGCTTCGGCATGCCAATCGATCTGGGCCAGAATATGGGCGCTAACACGACGAATATGAAGTGGGCGATAAACACAGATAAGAATATGACCGGTATAGTGAGTGCGTCTGGGAATGAAACGTCGACGGGAGATATCTACAACATCGATGAGGAAGGTGGTTATCAAGGCAGTGCTTTCGGACCTCACTTCACGCAGCATCCATGGGCATGCTTGAACGTATTGTCGACTACAGTAGCCTCAGGCAATCTATATACGACCGATCTGATTAACAGCTTTTATGGCGAACTCCGGGCAGTGCCTCAAATACCGCCGCCTTATGCCTATCTCCAAAGGAGGAACGAGACCCATATGTTGCTATTTGACACTCCATCTGTGCAGTCGATGAGCGACGATAATTCCGCAACAATCACAACAGTGGTCTCGTACCCAAACGCCGAACAGCTGCAATAACTTCAAGGACGGAGTCGATTGCAAGGATAAGTCAGTGGATACCTGGTGTGGGGTCATTGAGGCCCTCGGGTGAGACCATCGGGTGGTGACCCTCAAGTTTGGGAGGGATTAGATATTTCACATCATAAATGCCAGTGACAGTCTACAACTATCTATTTCTAGTTTATAACTGTCAAAGTTACAAGAGACATCACACCCCTCTGTGCCTAATAGACTCTATCGCAACATGAGCAACGTACGGAAACGCCAATGCCAGAATGCATCTAGAAGGAGAAGCACTTTGACTAACAAGGCATATGAGTACGCGGAACTATACGGTGCAGATGTTGCCTTGATCATCTATCAGAAGGGGCGCTATTATACTTACGTATCTCCTGGCAAGCCATGTTTTCCACCAACCAAGAAAGAAATCGTAGGTTCTCTTCTGACGCCGATGACATTATACTAAATGGTGGCAAGATGAATTCTTTTCCAATCCCTATAACTATGTTGCCACATGACGCCGACGCGAAATATCAACGGAAATGCAATCCAGAAGATCCAGAGCAAGTGGGGTGTAAAGAGAAGGGGTGCGCAGATACAAATATTGCCACGGCGCCAAGAAGACGGGATGAGGCCCTCACTCCGTGACCGATGGCATCGATGACCTCTCCTCATGAAGTGGTCCAATGAACCCTTACCAGAGTCAGGTTCATGCAAGTAAATCAAATATGTTGCTATGGTTGGCCCTAGATAGTGCAGAGGTTGTATAAGCGACTTCATTTCATATCTGGTGTTGTTCATAAGTCAAGTCATCATTAAATTTAAGACTGCCGTCTTGCATTTGTCGAAATCTGCCTGTTCAAATGTGAAGAAGAGACTGCCAACGACGGAATTCGGCAAACTAGTGAAAAATCACCTGCGCATGCGCAGGTGATTCCTCGTTTCCAACGAGAATTTTGATATATAGCCTATATAAATATCATTTTTCGGAAGTAAATTGCTCTATATAGCCTATAGTCTACTATATACTAGAAGGTATGCCACCACTGTACAGTTGGGTCAAATAAGTGTTCGTCGCTCCGAAGAACCACAACCATAAAATCAATCGTAAATAACTCAACCACAACGCTTTGGAATTGAATAAAAATTGAAATGTACTATAGCTAGAGTAATATAGATTAATATTTAATACTACCACCCTTTGCCTTAATGCATAATGCAATCCTTTTTGGCATTGAGTCAGCTAAGGTTTTGAGAAAACTAGCCTGTATACGTGACCACTCGTAGAGTACCGCCACCTCCATTTCTGCAATGTTCTTGATCCTATGCCGTCGAGTAGACACTTGTAGCTTTGCTTGCTGCCACACGTTTTCAATAGGGGCAAGGTCAGGGCTCTGTGGCGGCCATGGTAAACTCTGTACCATACAGAGCCTCTTGTAGTTTGCAGCAATAGGAGCAAAGTGGAATTTTGCTCCATCTTCTTGTATACGTACTTGTGGGCCGTACTTTGCAACCATCTTCTCGTAGAATGGGATAAAGTAGGGTTTGAGAACTAGTTCTGTGTATAGTTGCTGGTTCATCCGCTGCCCTTTAGGAAGCACAACCAACGGTCCAATCTCTGCTCCCATAAAGCAACCCCACACAGAAATTGAAGTACGGCCTGATTTGAAAGTAGGCTTTAGGTGTTTCTCCCAAAATTCTTCTCCTGGGCCTCGGGTAACCCAAAAGTTGCGACTATCATAGCCAACTTCAAATGTAGACTCATCAGACTATATAATAAGTCCAAAATCCACGTTTCTGTTTGCTTTACACCACTGTAGCCGGCCTTTCTTGTGAGCAGGCTTAAGGAACGGCTTCTTGCGTGGTTTTCTCCGTCCTTTGTTGTACTTTTTTAGAGCATTGCGTACTGTTGGTTTTGTGATCTGAGAGCCGCTCTTGCTCGGTGTGCAGAGCGCAATTAGTGGAGCTCTGCAATCTGTAACAGCAGCACGCACTAAGGCCCTCTCTGCTCGGATAGTAAGCTTCCTAGGGGCCCCCGAGCGTGCCTTGCTCTCAAACTTGACTTGCTGAGCTTGTAGGTCGGAAGCCTTTGCTCTGTGGATAATTGTAGTTACAGTAGTGCGGGGTAGGCGTTCTAGGCGGGAAATCTCAGTCACTGTCTTGCCAGCCTTGTACCAAGTCCAGCATGTTGCTCGCTTTGCAACAGAGGTCTCTCTACGAGTACTCTTCGGTAGGAGAGCCATAATAATTGATGACAGTATCTACAACTCACTATTTCTATCTACAGTCGAGTCTCGATAAGTCGATTCTCGATTCGCGGTAAGTCAATATATTTCAGTGGTCCAAAATCCCCTGTTCACTGCAAAATTACATTCGATAAGTCGATAATACCCACTTATTCTTGATAAGTCGATCAAAAATGGCAGTACGGATTACATAGACTTATCGCGACTCGACTGTATATTATCCTTTTGAAGAGGGAGTACCCCGCACTCGTTGCTTTTTTTCATGGCGTTTTGGTGGCTGAAAACGACGAACACTTATTTGACCCAACTGTACACTTCTATTATTGTTTTCTCGCCATAAACGAGCAATATCAATGTCCTTCTTCATAAGTACTGCTCTTTTCCCTCGTGCCCCACGATGCATATAAGTAGCTATAAAGTCAACCTCTTGCCTTGCTAAGTCTGCATCTGCTTTATCAGCTGCTATACGCTCCCCCCGGAGAGTACTATAGAGCCTCGTTATAGACGAGAATTCGCCATACTTCTTCCAAAATACCTCCCAGTCCCTCTGGCAGGCAACAAATGAGTAATAAACAAACTAAAATAGTCGTTAGTATCGAGGTAATAAGGTGTATTATCGTAGCTTACCCTCCAATGACACCAGTTATTCTTAATTACCTTCCAGTAAGTTGGAAGGTTGTCTTTATATAGTATCTTCCAAATACTTAAGTGGTATACTTTGGTCGTTAATAACGAGGGTTTTTCCCTCGTCCCAGTCGAGGATAAGTTGTGGTAATTCCTTGTATGCCTGATATGTTTTTGATGGTGGGATAGGAATTAAGGAAATAAGAACAAGTTCTCCTTTGTTAAGGAAATCAAGCTGTATATAACCCTCTCTGTCATTGGTAGCGACCCTTTTTGATGAGGTTGGTGGTAAGTAGAGTAGCCGAGGTCGCTGAACTATAGTAGGCGATGACCCTACTCTCTGGTTTTCCTCATTGTCAACAACCCTTTCGGCTTCTTTGTCTACTCTCTGGTTTTCCTCGTTGTCAACAACCCTTCCGGCTTCTTTGTCTGCGTTGTCCCTTTTCCTTTTTGGCTCATTTGGAATGACAAGTTTATAGGATTCCTCAATAGGACCAACGTATTTCTTACTATTATACCTTTAGCACCTATATATAAGTAAATATAGTAATATATTACCTTTCAGCTTCATATTTAGCTAGGTTAAAGGCATTGGCCCAGCTTAAAAGTCAGTTTTTCTCAGTAATTGTTCTTATATCAGAATCAATTATATTTTTAGGTGGAATAAATGATTCAATTGATGTATGGCCTGCGTCAATTTCTCGTTGTAGATGAGTGTTTGAAGACATCTTCTTTTCTCTCAATGGGAGCGATATTTTTAATATAGTTGTAGCTAAATTATTTTATGATGTTATTTAATAATAATGCCTCTATATATATTTAATAGGAGGGAACAAATGTCTCATTGTTAGTGAGGAGTTAGGGTTATTCCTCGTCCTTAGCAAGGAATCTAATGAGGCTCTACACAGATTATATAATATAGAGCGCCTTCCCTCGTACCTTTCCTTTTACCTACCTTTCCCTTTACCTACTATTAAAGCTTTAAGATGGATACACTCGCTGAGAACGAGGATTTTGAAGATAGAGAGGATCTTATTACAGCAACAGGGCAATTACTAGCTGACGAGTTACAAGCCCAGACTGCGTATGAAGAATTCAGTTTTCGTCAAAGTACAAGCCAAATTAAGCAGTCGTCAAATGCTGCTTTAGCACCTACAACACATGCTGCATATACCTCGTAGGTAACGAGTTATTATAAAATGCTCATCTCTAACGAGATATTAGGATGCATACACAATTCCTTATATTTATTAAGGCAAAGTACCCTATACAAGGTGAGGATGGGGTTAATACAGCTTCTAATAAGTGTCCACAATATATTTGTGAGTGGATTCAGGATGCTTGCGAAGTCCTAAGTACAATAGAAGGGGTAAGGAAAGTTGGAAAAGGGTCGTCCAGGACAAAGAAGCTAGTTGACTCGTCAGGAACGAAGGATCGTGCTGCTACATACTCTCATGCTCTAAAAATGAGGGCAGCTATAAGCTTTTGGTTTGCCTATATATGCCCACGTCAGTGTGGTCATGGGGAATGGCTTCAAGTTGTTGAGAGTGGTAATTGGCAAGGAAATCCCTCGTTATCAACGACAGTTTCCCGCTATATGAGAGCCCTAAATAAGATGAAGGTAAATTCTCTCATTCCCATCGAGGTATTTTATACTAATAGATTCTAGACACATGCTGGTGAAGTCTCTACAAGTGCAAGAGCTCTTACTTCATATGATTTACAGTGTATGTGGAAGTTTAACCAAGCTATTCCACAGGTTGAGTTTGGTAAAAAACTCGTTCATGACGAGCATACATATTATTGGAGTGGGCAGAAGTGTAGGATAATGCTACAAGCTATCTATACACTTGCATTTCAATGCCTACTTCGGATTGACGAGGTATTACAAATTCAAAGTCATCATATCCTCGTTATCAACGAGAAACGAGGTGAAATTCAACTTAACCTTCTCTTCCGGAAGACAAACCAATATGGAGGTGTGTACTCTACTACTTAAATTCCTCGGTACTAATGAGGAATTAGGAATTAAGCCATTTCACCTATTTCTTAACCCACAAGAACCTCACCTTGACCCTGTTCTTGCACTCTTACAATGGATAAAAGTCTCGCAGATAACGAGTGGTTTTATATTTCGTCGTATTGATGCCTATGATCGGGTTATAGCAAGTGATAAGAGCTTAGTATGAATACCTTATATATTAAAATACCTCAGTGTTAACGAGACATTAGGATGCTTCTACATTTACAGAGTATTTTCGACATAATCTCCTCGATATAGGCGTAGATTTTCGACTATATGGAACACACTCTTTCCGTAGAGGTGGCTGTCAATGGCTATATTCAGAAAAGAGATGGGGTCTACGGCAGATATGCGATTGGGGTGGATGGAGTACAAATTTTGACTCAAGCTCTATTATGCGGTATTTAGTCGGCTGGAACGATGATCCTACAAAGAAGAGAGAAGAGTTTATGAATCCTAACCAGAGTGGAGGGCTCCGGTGTATAGTATGTGGATGGGAATGCTGATATATTGGTAGATAGTAGCTCTTAGAAATACCTCGTTACAACTGAGGATTCTGTCTTGTTGCGACTGAGGATTCTGTCTTGTTGCGACCGAGGATTCTTGTTGTGACTGAGATCACTAACGAGAATTAAGGCTCCCCCAAACACCCTCACCTGCACCCACCGCTGCGTGCTCTGGGAGATGTTGCAATACCTCCAAGGAGGTAATATGACTGTGTTGGTAAGTTGTATATAGCTGTAAAATAGTTCAGTGCTAACAAGGAAAAGGACTTGGTAGATGGAACTCGCTGTGCCAACACCACCCTTGCAGCTGTGGCCTCTGGCCACAATATCTAGAAGTCTCAGCAACAACGAGCTTCTTGTAAAATAGAATAATACAAAATTTGCTTTCCTTCCTTTCTCCTTGTCTTATGTGGTTGTAATGTACTGTAACGAGAGCTCTCTTAGTAGGGCTCTCTACATAAAACCCTCGGTCGCAACGAGGAAACCCCCTGCTATAGTGGTTACAGTAGTGCTCTCAGTCGCAGGCTCGTAGGCTATCAGTCGCACTATAGGCTCTAAGATTAAGAGCAGGGAACCCTCGGTTACAACGAGGAAACCCCCTGCCGTAGTGGTTGAGGTAGTGCTCTCGGTAAGGGCTCTTAGTCGCAGGCTCTCTACACAACAGAATCCTCAGTTGCAAAACAACAACACAGAATCCAAAACAACAAGACAGAATCCTCGGTCACAACAACAAGACAGAATCCTCGGTCGTAACAAGACAGAATCCTCAGTCGTAACAAGACAGAATCCTCAGTCGTAACAAGACAGAATCCTCAGTCGCAAAACAACAAGACAGAATCAAAACAAGACAGAATTCTCAGTCGCAACAAGACAGAATCCAAAACAACAACACAGAATCCTCAGTCGCAACAAGACAGAATCCTCAGTCACAACAAGACAGAATCCTCAGTCGCAACAAGAGAGAATCAAAACAACAGAATCCTCGGTCACGACAGACAGAATCCTCAGTCGCAACAAGACGGAATCCAAAACAACAACACAGAAACCTCGGTCGCAACAACACAGAATCCTCAGTCACGACAGACAGAATCCTCAGTCGCAACAAGACAGAATCCAAAACAACAACACAGAAACCTCGGTCGAACAACACAGAAACCTCGGTCGAACAACACAGAATCCTCGGTCGCAACAACAAAGAATCCTCGGTCACAACAAGCCAGAATCAAAACAACAGAATCCTCAGTCGCAAAACAAGACAGAATCCACGGTCACAACAAGACAGAATCAAAACAACAGAATCCTCAGTCGCAACAACACAGAATCCTCAGTCACAACAACACATAATCCTCAGTCGCAACAAGAATCCTCGGTCGCAACAAGAATCCTCAGTCGCAACAAGAATCCTCAGTCGCAACAAGACATTAGTATTAGATTTCTCGTCTAATACTATACAATACTTACGTCGCCAGGAGGGAGGGTGGCAGCTGGGAGCGCCCTGCGGTAGAAAAGCAGCTCTACTGCAGTATGCTGCCACTTACAGCCGCAAGGCAGTAGGTCCTCATTGTCGAGGCCACGGGGGGTGTCTAATTCATCGTTAGGAACGAGGAATCACAGAAGGTGTACTACTTACCTTGGGGGAGCGGCATCAGCTGGTTCCCAGTGCGGCCTAAAGCTTCGTTAGCAACGAGACAAAACAAGAGATAATATAGAACACTTACAGCCATAACATTTGGCAGTGGTGCCAGCACGCACTTCACCATTGGTCTTGTGAGGCCAGCATAGGCAGCTAAAGGTTCGTTAGCAACGAGGATTATAGACTACCAATTCACTTACCGTAACTGCTCCTCTAAGCAGTTGGTGTTCTACGGGGGGCAGGCAGCGATAGTTCCCCAGCGGGCAAGGTAGGCGGTGCAGCGTTGGCTAAAGACTCGTTAGTGACGAGGATTCTAAAACCATAACTTTCACTTACGCAGGAGTGCGGTTCCTAAGGATGGCGGGATCCCATCCCACCATAGTGGTCTGGGCGGCATTGTCAAAAGTGTATTGTTGCGGCATTTTCTAAAAGTCTCGTTATTGACGAGGAAAAAAGGTTCGGTAGGGGCGAGCCTACGAGGTAGGGGGGTGATGGTGGTGGTGGTGGGTAGAAAGTCAGTAATTATTCCTAAAAGCACACTTGCGCACGCCACTTAGCCTAATTAGGGCTAAGCTCCTAGACAACAATGCTACAATAGCCACCTTGCCTAATTGGGCTAAGTGGCCTACCCCCCTACCTGCGCAAGTGATTTTTCAGGTGCGCATCGTATTTTTTCGGAATGAATGACATGTTCGCGGTGGCTAATGGCCAAAAATCGTAACCGATGGGGTGGAGGTTCAATGGGTGGAAGATTATTGGGTGGAGGTTTAATAGGCACGGCACGAGTGAGCGACGAGGACAGAATAGAGGTGGTTAGTTAACCCCTGTCGATCGAGCGGGGCCACCCTGATCCACCATAGATAGTTCTGATGGCACTCTAGAGGTACGTACTGGTACGTACTGCCTATGTCACCCTAGAGTTGCGCCTAGGAATAAACAAGGGTAAGGACAGGACTTTTGCAACCCCTTCAAGCAAAAAGGTCACAAAAGCGCGAACGTTGGTTAAGTTGCAGTGTGAGTCATATTGTTCTATTGCTTTCTATAGTTTTCTATCCCTAAGATAATTACGTCGTCTTATGAAAGCCCTTTTCCTGCACACACTTTGTTCATCGTTACTTCCTCTCTTTCTATCTCATTCTTGTCAAGCCAGTGACAAGAACTTCTGCTGTCCCAGTCCTCACCAGATGATCAAAGCAGTCACGCCAGAGAAAGTATCCCCCTCGTCTTGTTGAAAGATATTTCCCAGAATCAGCTACTCGTAGAGCCTGTGCATTGACTGCATCCTTCAAAAATGGCGCCTCATGAACTGTGACCCCCTCTTCAGAAAACGTCACGACCTGCTGCCGATTGCTAGTATGATGAGAATTTGGTATTGTAGCCTCATGTTGATTTCAGCAAAGTAATATCTACATTCACATGATCAGGCATACCTCGGGTGCTGAGTCGTTCGACATCTCGTGCCTTTGAGCGATATCATCCACCTGCTCAGCTAATCCTTCCATGTCTGTTCTAGCTATGCTACTCGGTATCGACTCGTTGACAAGAGCATAATGTGTCTCTTGGGGGGAGGCTTTGTCATCTTCTGTCCTTCGCTCTAATGCTTCCAGGATTTGGGGACCTGATGATTTCATAGTGAAAATTATGTTCTCCTCCGATATCAATAGAAAAACTCGTCGTTAGAGTAGAGGATCGGTCCGTTTCTTTAAATCCTCTAGTTATTTATATAAATTTCCATTTGGAACCACCGCATGGTTATCTGCCGGGGGGTAATTGGTATGATCAGGTGGTGCTTAATTTAAGAGGACTTGTGCCTGAAAAGGGCCATATTACGTTTCCTTCACGCTAAGCTGTCTTGAGATTGAAGATGTGTTCGCCACAAAGAACAGGTATCAATAAAGCACTCATCGCCCATACCCATGCCTTCATGAGTGCGCTTAGCCATAAGCACAAGAATTTCTCAGTCCCTAAGCAGCCACCTCTTTGCCGCCTGCCGTCACGCCGTGCCCACCCTAAGCTCTGCTCTTAGGCAGTAGCGACAACTGCCTTGCTATCACTAAATCTCCCCTTGTACCTGTGCTCTCCTACTAATTACAAGCCGGAAAGAAAAGCCCCTCGGATCCACTTGAAATAAGTTAATTTAGTGCCAAATGAACCCTCACCTGCATTTTCGAGAAAGTTTCCTTACCTGTAGCAGTCACGTGGGAAATTATGGCTCTCTTATACTTAATGTCACTCTCTAGCTATATTACTCTCTAGACGCCCCAGCAATCCTGGTTGCAAATTACTCTGCAATGTCATGATACCGGTGCCATTTTTACTATGCACCCACGTGACTCTCAGAGGAAATGGAACTTCTGACATTTTACGGTAGCTCATTCCCATCGGTGGTGACAACCATCTTCCGTGCATGGTAAGTGTGAGACAGATCTTCGGTGGCCTTGCGTTTCAAACTGATGACTCTCTTGGTTGCATCCGTGTGGAGCTTCGCTACAGATTCATGCATCCTATCAATAGCAAGCTCGTCTTCTGCAATAAGGAGGATTGTGTGTGTCCTATTATTGACAACTATCTGAAAGCATTCCTCGGGGCTAATCATTCGCATATATGTGTTGAAAGCCCTGATTCCTCTTGTCATGTAATCGTTGATCAACCGTTCGATGTTAGACGGATCCTTTGGATCGACTGCGAGTGGTGTTAGGTATTTCCAAGTATCGTCCTCCCATTTGACAAGGTTGATGTCTATCTCCTCTCCAGCCTCTCCCTCTCCAGCCTCTCCCTCTCCAGCCTTTCCTTCTCCAGCCTCTCCCTCTCCAGCCTTTCCTTCTCCAGCCTCTCCTTCTCCAGCCTCTCCTTCTCCAGCCTCTCCTTCTCCAGCCTCTCCTTCTCCAGCCTCTCCATCTCCAGCCGCTCCAACCATGCCTCCCGTCACTTTTTATGTTCCAGAAGCTTCCGCTTCCACCTTTCATTCTCAGCTGGCGTCGAGCTGCTCGTAGGCTGCTCTGGCTGTCCACCATCACCCATTCCTTCCACCTGGGTTTGGCTTGGACCTGCTTCTGGGACAAACAGGCCCCCGTCATCTTCTGCAGGTTCTAGCGCACTAGGTGGCCAGTCCGTTCGGGACCTGACCGTGTGCTGTTGAGCATCAAGGCTTGGGCCATGAGGTAAATCTCTGAAGTCTGGAACAGGAGAGAGAGATGGAGAGCGGCCATGGCTACAACCCTGGCTAGTAGGCCTCCAGGTCCGCCAGCCAAAGAAGGCGAGATAAACTTGTTTTCGGACGAAGAAGTTTGTGATGCCTTTGCCTTGCTGGTCACTCTCGTCATGGAGGTGATTGATAAACCAGAATTTCCGGTCCTCGTTGAATTTCGGCCTGAGTGGTGTGCCTCATCTACGAGCTATCTCTACTCCGGATCCTGACGTAACGAGGGGAGGATGCTCTGATGCTGGGATTTCCTCGGCGAGTGGAACAGGATACTGCTGCAAATGCTTTATCCTGGGACAGTAAACCCCAGCTGGTCTGCCAAGTCAGCAAAGCGGCGGAGGACGGCCCGATCTGCCATCACTGCAGGCTGCATCACGCAGCCCTCCTTCACTGGTTCCTTTGGCATATCTGCGAAGTGCTGCATGGCATACGCAATGATCTGCTGGTACCTGAGATCGACTTGGTCTCCGCGCATCCCCTGCCCATACAAAAAAGCATTCTCGGCGACCTGAATCTTAGCCTGGCCATCCATGATCTGAACGCGGCCGTCCTCTTGATCAACAGGGGAGAATAGTTGCTTGAAGGCATGAGAGATCTGGACATTGTCACCCGTTAGCTGCTTGACACAGTTGGCGAGGCGCTCCAAGTACCCAATGTCTTGAGATGGAATTAGGCCCTCAACGCACTTTAGCTGGCTCCAGATATCGTCGCGCTCGCTGTCGTCAAAAGCGCTGAATACCTCTCCCCCATGCACTCGAATGCGGAGGAACTCCACGTCCGCTGTTGAAGCTCATGGTGCCTTCAGCTCTAAAGCCTTCACTGTCGCTTGATCAATCTTCCCCATAGCAGCCTTATTGCCACGTACAAGATCGGACCAGACCTGCTTGATGCGGTGGAGGTAGTGTAAAAGTTCCTGTACTGTGAGAAATCAGCCAGAATCAATCATCCATGCCAGCCCTCTGCCTACTGTATCACACTTCAGAGCCATCACTCTATGCAGTGTACTGATCTTCATCCTGCCCCAGAGACCTGGGATGTCCAGCAAGCCATCGAATGCTGCCGTCAGTGCCTCATTACGGGTGAGCGTCAGCAGGTACTCCTTCCGCTTGCCTCGCAGGCGCGCCTTCCACCGCATTTCGCTGGAAATGGTAGCGCCGCATCTTGTAGTAAATCTCGCCATTGGAGGGTTTCTCCTCGTTGGCGTATTCTTCAACGAGGCATGTCTTTAGGTCGACATTCAGGTCTAGGTACTCATGCGGCCCAAAAGTTTCCACAGGGTCTGTGCACAACAGCCAATTAGATTGTAGGAATCTACCAAGCACCATGTACTTGTACCCGAGTACACGCGTAGAAAATGTACACGCGTAGAATATGAGAGTGAATGAAGCAATGAAGTAATGCTCAACAATGGCTGAAATCTCAATACCACTACGTGCTGCAATTATTACCTTGCGTGTATACATGAACGCATCATATGGAGAGATTGAAAAGAAGCTTGGAATCTCAGCTGACTCTATTGCATATATATGGCACCAAACTGTTAAAAGGGCAGGGAATACTGAAATTCACAACCTTCTCCAACACCTCGAATCAAAGCCACAAAGCGGAAGACCACAGACAATTCAAAAGGATTCTGAAGAGTCACTACGCATACGATCTTTGCTACTTGCAAATCCATTTGACACTTTTCAACAAGTTATTAATAAGGAAAATCTACCCTACGCACGATCAATTGTCGAACGAGTTGCAAAGAATCACTCAAGTGTTGAAATTCCACAACCTATTGTACGGAAAAACATCTGCCTCAAGCCCTACTTGGATAATATCATTCCTTCAGTACGATGGAAATTCTGCAAATGGGCACTATCCGAACTTGAAGCTGGATCAATTTTTATTTTCTCAGACGAATCATATATCAATTTCAGAGGGAATCCACATAAGAAACGACGGATAACAGTTCAACGGGGTCAAACAGCAGAGAGCATGGCAATTCAACAGAAGAAATCTTTATTTCAAGTTATGTTTTGGGGAGCAATGAGTTCAGAAACCTCTATCTTACGCCCTTCTCGTTCATGGATTCCTGAAAGTATAGAAGAGAAGCAGATACATGTGCAGAAACTACGAGAGATAAATGCATATTGGAAATCAAAAGCAGAGAATGAACTTGTTAGAGCAACAACAGTTGGAACTCTTGAGTACGGATATATGGAAACTCTAAATGCAGATATTCGGAATGGCAAAAGCAAATGGAAAAAGGCACGAGTTGCTTCACAAGAGTTTGGAGATATAGAGACATGGAGTAGAGGACGGCAATCAGAAGGGTGTAATGTTGGGTGCACCAGATATGAGAATCTAGCCACCCAAGGAAGGGATGATTTTACTAAGACAACACACTGTCTTAGGAAACAGAGCCAAAGGGTTGTAGCTTAGACTATTCCACAACGCAGCAATCAGGTGTGTGATGTAGTGAAGTGGTTCAGACAAGTTGCAACAAATGTTTGAGTCTGGGAACTCAGGGGTAAGTCAGAGGTTAACACCTCACTGACTTTTCAGAAACAAGGAGTAACAAGATGAATGCTTGGAAGCTTGTAAAAGACGTGGAAGTATGTGATAGTCGATTTACTGTATTGCCTGCTTGCCCTTTCTTAAGGAAAGGGCAATCCTATTTATGCCAAAGGAGTGTAGTTCTCTCATTTTCCATGACTTTCCATGACTAACCAGGCTTGGTAAATGTATTAGAAATCAAGTGCGACCCACAACTAGCTTGCTAATCATGTAGTGAACGTAAGAGAATCCCATAGAACCATCTCTTGGGTTCCTAGCCTATAGGAAGTGAAAAGGAGGTCCAAGGTCAGAGTACCTATAGACAAATTATGTCATAACTTAACCAATCTTGTGGGTAACTAAGGAGCGATGACGTGTAATGAATCATAGAGGGTTGTAGAAGCTTCTAGAGCTATCGTTCATGTTCCTAGGCCTCTAGTTGGTAGAGATATGCCATGTGGTAGTATTGGCCCACCCCCTTAAGGAGGAGATTTTCTTAATAACTTGTTCAATGAGTGTCCAAATGATATGCCGTGATGTATGTAGCATAAACAGATGTAGTAGAAGAGTTTGCAGCAATCGTTGAGTAGTATTGCTTCTGTTGTTGATGTGATAAGCCAAGATATGTATGTTGACTTGTAGGTTTGAGGAGGAGATTTCTAAGTTTGCTCTTGAGTTTGATAGCAAACTGAGTGCAATGAATGTCAGTATGACAAAGGGCAAGAAGTTTCAAAGGGCGGGATTGATTGGTTTCTATATCGAGAGATGGTTCTTATTCCTCTTCTCTTCCCCTACTTTCGAAAAGTAAAGGCTTTACATCCTACAAAACGAGTATGGTTTGTGGATGATAATGTAAGTCTTTATTTGAAGGCTCACCGATCATTGGAAGATTATATGAAGAAGGAGGGAATCTATAGAGTGAAATTTTGGCCTCCAAACTCTCCCGATTTGCACCCTATTGAGAATGCCTTTGATTATCTCAAGGATCAGGTTGATGGCTATACACCATTAAACGGAGGGAAGTTTGAGAGAGCTCATGCACGGGTATTTCTTGAGGAAGAATGGGGGAAAAAAATGGATGGGAAATCTACACAATTATGTGCTTCGTTTAAGGACAAGTTGGAGCGGTGTATTGCAGTCAATGGGGGGAACAACTTTCGTGGGTAGATCAGTACAAGTACGTAGAGTATGTACATGCATTTTCTCCAAGTACTTACACGCCCCACTTATTACACACAGACCCTGTGGAAACTTTTGGGCTGCACGAGTAGTCACACGTTAGCACGACCCACATGTGAGAAGACCTCGATCGTACCTGCGAGGTACAGATCAACCGTCCACCAATCGTCCCCAGGATGGAGAAATTCGCACCCAGCTTCGATCCTGTGCCGGCCGTGGAGACACTCAAGATGGAAGCCTGCCGGAAATACCAGCAGGGGATAGTCCGGCCCCTCATCATTAGTCAGCAAGTCGTCTGCCGTCATCCCCAACCGCTGCAATGCGGCATCGAGGCTCTCCTGATCGATGATCGCAGGGACGTGATTGCAGAGAGGCACTCAATGACATCCTTCCTTCTGAAAACAATCCACTAGGAAGTCTCCTTGTCTCTTGCTGTATTCACGTGGCTGATCTTGGCGGAAAAAGAGCACGTCGAGACTGATGCGCGCAGTACCCTTGTACTTCAGTCGCCGCTCTTCCTCGAGCATGGAGTCCTCGTTTTGGGCTCGAGACTGCTGCATACTGATGGATGAAGGCATCGGACCAGAATGGAGGCTGGAGGGAGGAGGAGAATGGTAGAAATGAATGTGCCCTGGGACGTGTGGTACTTATACCATCGGGCGATGGTATTATTACCTATTCTGGGCTCCTAAACAGGTACACCCCCCATTTGCTGGTGGTGGTCAAAGGGGTGTCCCCTTCTTTCTGACTCTAATATGTTCCAGGTCCTTTGTTCTTTCTGACATAAATACCCCGATTGCCCACCTGCTGCACACCAGTCAGAGCTACCCTTTGTTAAATCGGACTACGAATAATGGAGTCTCTCTCTGCCAAGGACCAAGAATAGTCTGCTTCAACTACTGCTGATGATGTTGAGCACAATGTTTCCATCAAGGACAATCGTATGATGAAGCTCATGTTTAGCAAGGGGGCAGACCTCGACACCAAGGAACGAGTCGACACGCCAGAGAGCGTCCCTCCTGGCTTGCTTCGCTGAACTTGAAGAAGAGAAAGATTATAGCATCGCAGGACCGCGAATCTGAGCGATGCCGCGATATAAAAGATTCCCTGGACAACCGTGAGACAGCCACTAAGTCCGGTCTCAGGAAGCTGCAGGTCGTGAAAGCTGCTCAGAGTGGTGCCAGTGTGCTCGATTGCACAGTCCAATTCGGATCGCCATGGGCCCGCTTCTGTGAGAAGTTCGAACTGAACCTCGGCGGATATGTTCCCATTGTAGCTGATCTATCTCCCCCGTATGATCTTCTCATGGTGAAGTGCCTTGAGGGACCTGACGCCGCCCAGAGGGTCCGCATGTTATGGAGAGTGCGGCACCAGAACTTCCACAACATGGTTGAGTGCTTTAACTTTGAAGGCTCTCACTATGCCGTCTTTCAGCACCTTCCTGTCACGCTTGACAATATCGTGTACTCACCTCCCTACCCTACCGAGCTTGAACTGGCTGCGGCACTGGCACAGGTGCATCCTACAACTATCATGGGTCGACTTGCTGACTGGTACAGATTGTCAAAGGGCTCAAGTATCTCGCCTCGTGCCAGCTCAAGCACGGCTCTCTTAGCTGCTCTAGCATTCTCGTAGGCACAGAAGGAGATATAAAGATTGGTGAGCTAGCTGCCTGCCCCAAGTTCCCAATCTAACAGCCATCAGCCAGTCAGGAATGCTGCAGGGAAATGACTTGTCCGGGTGGGGGAAGTTCGAGAGATATGGTGTCTCTAATGAATATTGCCACGAAGCTGATGCAGAAGAGCACCTACGAGAATGGAGCCGGCGGTGCCCACGACATGGAGCGATGGCCAGCCAACTGTAAAGCTGTTGACTTCCTGGCAAAGATCCAGGTAGCCAGGTCATTTGACGAGCTATTAGATGTGAGCAAGTCCCACTACAAGTTGTGCTACCCCTAACTCTATCAGCATCCACTTTTACAGCTCAATTGGAAAAAAGAAGACCTCAAGTGGATGGTAGCTCTGGCGGCAGTCAGTTCTCACCGAGGCTTCCGGTACCATAAACAGGCGCGAGTTATGGAAGCGTAGCTTAATAGACTCGTCTGATTTTGCTCTCCTAGTATGCGGCTTTGTCAGTGTTAGTTTTGTTTTACAGCTGTATTTGAGTTGTTTGATATGTGAATAAAGTCGGTGGATTATGTAGCAATGGAATCACATGAGCTTGGAACGTCTAGGTAGATAAGTGATAAATTGATGATATATCAAAGTAACTGTTCCCAACTCTTTCTATAACCGTGTTGTTGCAATATACGCCTGTGAATTCCATTCCCTGTACCTCTGTCTTTGCAGACTCCTAGTATAACCTTGACATAACCATATGACCTGTTCTACAGGACCTCTACAAGCGGCTTTGGTATTCCTTGATTTGGTGAAAAGTAAGGCGTTTGTAATAAAAGTGATGTAATGAAATAGAAGACATTTCTGGTGGCATTGTTGCAGCAAATGTAAGAGTTTGGCGTATGATCAGCTAGCCAGCAGCTTCCGCAAGACTTGCGAGAGACGCACGCTGCACTACGACTGGCATTATATTATGGGATAAAAGCCGATTGAAGCAAAATGACATTAGTATCGCCAAACAGTAAAATTGTCTGGGACGGAAAAGTCATACTTGGGGTCCCTAGAAGCCACTACTTGATTGTGGTAGTGCTCAAACTTGCCTTCAAAGGTATTGTATCCCACTGGAGAAGAGCCCAGAGTATCTGCTGCTGTGTCAAAGTTATCAGGGAGAGAATCTATCCTAGAGTCTACATCCATTCTTGTAGTGAGAGGCTCATCAACGTCTCGCAGTGATGATGATGAAGATGCGGGCCGCGATAGGTCCGGAGGCGGGGGTGCATCGACAGATACCTTTTCTGTTGACGGGCCTTTGCAGGGAGCGTTTGCTGCAGGCAGCTCGAGGGGTTTGAACATATCACTTAGCGACAAGCTTTTGAAACACTCCGACTCTAGCTCACTGCGGGACAGTTCTTCAAACCGTAATTTCTGTAATGGAAGTCTGCCTTTGTCAATGTAATATGAGAGATGGTCAGAAAGCCCTTGGATGTCTTGTTTCAAGCTCGGGTGTCGCTCATTGATGCGGTCTAGAAGGAGGTCAAGATTGGATTCTCTTAGTCGTCGAACACTATAGATACAATGTTATCTCTAAGGTCCTCGCGCATCTGTATAAAGGCACTTACTGATCTTCCTGCAAGGTGGGGTTGAGCAGCAGGAACACAGCTATACTGTAGCGCTTTTGCATCTCCCCCCATAGCTTCTTTTTTTGTACCTCGTTTTGAAAATGCCTCTTGGCTTGGGCACGGGCAGCAAAGGCCTGTTCAGATGCAAGCTTAGCATCTGGGATAATAGTCTCGGGGGAGCACACGTCCACGTACATTTCACTCGGATGTGGCAGGTTCCCCTTTTTCTTCCGCTTATCGAAAGCATCCCTCTCATCAGCATACTGGCCATAAAAAAGTCCTGCAAAGACTCGCTGAAGGCATTTCTCCCATCGTTCACCGTTCTTGTGGGCGCCAAGGCCATCCCACCACCTCTTCAGACCTAACTGGCAGTTCGGGTCCTGCTGCTGCGGCTCGTCCTGGTCCCTGTGATCAGCGTCTCCTCTGGTGGCAATATAATCCCGCTGTAGTGCAAATCGCTCAAGGACAAAAATTATGTCGTGGAGAGTCACAGAGTCATACATCAACTGGTTAGCCTTTGCTAGCAGCTCTTCTTGTACCCCATCTACCTGATCTGAGGTAGACCTCTTCTTGAGCCTTTTGGGTTTTCGTTTAGGAGTAGATGGATCCGGCATTCGTTTTCGACCACGAGTGTGGTGCAATTTGGCAGAGGGTTGGGAATCCGCGTTGGGGCTTGGAGGCGATGAAACATATTCCGGAGTCCGGGGCGGCTCTTTAGCGTTAACCTCCTGGGTGACGTCGAGGTCTGTGTTAGTCGGGTGCTGGACGACGCCATCGCCTGTCTCTGCTGCAACAGTCTCGTGTAGACGACCATCATGCTCCAGCCCGCCCTCTTGAACGTGACTGGGGTTCGCAACCGAGCCCTCGTTGGTGTCCGTGGGGTTAGGAGTCCCTGGGACGGAGACATCTGGCAATGGCCTTTCTTGTGAGGCGACATGGGCATGCGGTTCATCAGTCGGCAGGGTGTCGTGCTCATACCCATCTGCTGCGAGACTGTCAGATGGTATGGCCATGTCCTGGCAGATACCCATCCCCACATGTTCATCTTGTAGATGCCTCTCTGGAATGCTGGGTGATGGTGCTTGCAGAATCTGGTCGATCGAAATGGGTGTTGCGGCAGGACTGGGCGGGGCTTCGACAACAGTGAGCTTTCCCAGAGCCACCAACTGCGAGCGGGCAGAGGGTCAGCAATCTAAGAACAGAGAAATGGCAGCTTGTCTTCGGTGTAGGTGTACAAAGATGTAGGACAAAACCTGTGCAGCACTTAGTACCAAGACGACAGCAAAAGAGTCTTTTGAGGACCTTTTCATCAGGAAGATTTTCGAGCAAGTGTTCGAGGGCCTGCTCATCATGCATAGTTGTTAGTACGTTACCTTCATGCTCTTTATACAAGCCTTCACTCCCATTACTTGACACCTGTGGGCTATTCCAGTCATCAGTGGGAGTGGTGAATGCCATGGCTCAGTAAAGGCATGGAGGAGAGAAGAGTGGGTGGGTGGGTAGGCTCTCCTCTTATTGATAACAGCAATGCTTGGCATACCAATAGCCTCCCCACCCGGGTTTCTGGATGGGACAGGATCATCCACGTCTGTGCTCCATAGTTCTGACAGAGGTGCAGGTTGCAGAGATTGGACGCCTTATCGATATTGCATGGAGCTATACATTGTACTGGTCTGCCCAAATTATCTCGGATGAATCCATACAGTAAGACTCTCCGGGCATGATGCAGAATTGGTTCATCGCAATTGAATACTATACCTCCCTCTTGCCACACCAACCCACCCACGCAGGACGCAGGGGAAGACGAAGTCAACAGGCCCTGGCCAGGCAGGATACAGGGGAGGACGAAGCCGCGTGGCCCTGTCGATCAGGGACCATGCTCTCCAGGGACGGTATATAAAGGCACAACATAGCAGCTAGAAGTAAGCTGGTATAGAGAGTCCTCTCGTGCTTAGGCCTAAGCACACTATCGCACTAAACACGGCCGTTTCATTCTATCACCTTCCACAGCTTCCAACCAGTCGCCCATGGGACTACTGGCTCAGATCTCGGTCATTTATTTACCTCACCCTGTGCCCTCTCCCAACTCCACCAACTCATCGTATTCACTCGTTTCTCGCGATCTCTTCGCACTTCCCATCATGATGGATGCTATTCAAATCTATGCTATCGCCGCAGGTGGCACCCTTTGTATCTTTGCTTTCGTTAACTTGCTTCCCCTCCTAATTCCACTCGTTACCTGTGTCTCCATCTTTGTCTCGAAGCATTTTAGGTATCCATACATACTTCATCGACACCGAATCCTTGGGCCATGGACTCAGGCAGGCGTCATTATACAGCTGGTGTAACGATGCCTTCTCGTCTCTCATTCTAGGGAGTAGACTCTGGGTAGCCGTGGGGTCACGTGTGATCATTTAGGTGGGCTAACCGAGTCGGAACCGAGTCGGATGGGTTTCGGGTACTTGAGACAATCGACTCACGGGGTTCCCCCATGATCTTTTTTGTATCCTTCATAGTAGACCTATAGGATAGCATCCGTTTAGCCTCCGACTCGCACTCTCATATGCTATTACTGCGAGCTGGGTGCCCTGTGTCCTTACAGCTGGCCTACCTCGCACTCAACCTGTTCTGCGTCTTCGCTCGTGGGATGGCCTTAAAGCCGCCAACTTCTCGGACGCTGGTCGGCGAGCGGGTGCTCTAGCAGAGATCAACATGATCCCCCTCCTCGCAGGGCCTCATTTTGCTTTCCTCGCCGACTTGCTTGGGCTCTCGCTCAAGACCATCCGTGGCATTCACCGGTCCGCCGGGTGGATGACGGCCGCACTCGTTTTCCTCCATGCCATGGCCGCGGCGTCTGATGGGCCTCTCCCAATCGACGTTTCCCAGAATCTATTTGCAGTTATTGTACATTTAATCCATCACTCCCCTCTTTGTCTGACCTAAATCTCGATAGGGAGCGTCACTTGTCATACTGACATTCGTTGCACTCAGTTTGCTATCAAACTCAAGAGCAAACTTAGAAATCTCCTCCTCAAACCTACAAGTCACCATACATATCTTGGCTTATCACACCAACAACAGAAGCAATACTACTCAACGATTGCTGCAAACTCTTCTACTACATCTGTTTATGCTACATACATCACGGCATATTATTTGGACACTCATTGAACAAGTTATTAAGAAAATCTCCTCCTTAAGGGGGTGGGCCAATACTACCACATGGCATATCTCTACCAACTAGAGGCCTAGGAACATGAACGATAGCTCTAGAAGCTTCTACAACCCTCTATGATTCATTACACGTCATCGCTCCTTAGTTATCCACAAGATTGGTTAAGTTATGACATAATTTGTCTATAGGTACTCTGACCTTGGACCTCCTTTTCACTTCCTATAGGCTAGGAACCCAAGAGATGGTTCTATGGGATTCTCTTACGTTCACTACATGATTAGCAAGCTAGTTGTGGGTCGCACTTGATTTCTAATACATTTACCAAGCCTGGTTAGTCATGGAAAGTCATGGAAAATGAGAGAACTACACTCCTTTGGCATAAATAGGATTGCCCTTTCCTTAAGAAAGGGCAAGCAGACAATACAGTAAATCGACTATCACATACTTCCACGTCTTTTCCAAGCTTCCAAGCATTGATCTTGTTATTCTCTGTTTTTGAAAAGTCAGTGAGGTGCTAACCTCTGACTTACCCCTGAGTTCTCAGACTCAACATTTGTTGCAACTTGTCTAAACCACTTCACCACATCATACACCTGATTGCTGCGTTGTGGAATAGTCTAAGCTACAACCCTTTGGCTCTGTTTCCTAAGACAGTGTGTTGTCTTAGTAAAATCATCCCTTCCTTGGGTGGCTAGATTCTCACATCTGGTGCACCCACCATTACATCACTGCTTCTCGTCCTCTTGTTTCCTCTCTTCCATAAGCTCTCGTACGAGCTCTTCCTACGATTGCACCAAGCCCTTGCCTGGGGCTCCATCTATGCCGTGTGGCGACACGTTCCTTCTGACAAGTCTTCCCCGTGCGCCTATATCTATATCACTATGGGCATATTCGCAGCAACATACCTCCTGAAAACTGGCACCGTCATCATCCGAAATGGGGTCTTTCGCCACCAGCTGTCACGCGCCACTATCACGCACGATGCAGGTGCGGTCAAGATGCAGCTATGTCTATCCAAGCCTCTGACAATGGATGCTGGGCAATATATAAACCTCTGGATTCCTTCTGTCAGCTTCTGGTCTTTCCTCCAAACTCACCCGTTCACGGTCATCTCGTGGGACGCAAAGGACCAGGACAGGCTTGATCTCCTGATCGAGCCTCGGAGAGGGCTCACGCGAGAGATGTTGTACCACGCGGAGAAAGGCTACACCAACAACCTTCTCGTCATGTTCAGTGGCCCTCATGGAGGCACCCTGTCGATGGGCGAGTACGAGAGCGTCCTAATGGTGGCGAGCGGCTTTGGCATTGCTGCCTTCGTACCACACCTGAAGAAGCTAATCTACGGCTATAACACTCGCGCGGTCCGAACTCACTGCATTCATCTGGTGTGGCAGATAAAGAATGAAGGTGGGATTACCGTATGCAATATGCAAATCCGTACCAAAGCTAACAGTGTAGCCGACGGTCTTATAGTTCAGGAACCACTTAACATTGCGCTGTAGGAGGATAAATTGGATGATGGCTGTGTACGTTCAGTGGTATATGACACCCTCCAAACTGCAGCTAATGATTACCTGGACTAGATCCTCTCGATTTCGGTGTATGTTGAAACTAAGAGCTCGCCTAAAAAGCCATTTGGTGAACGAGCTACTATGTATCCGGGGCCCACTCCCTTGCCAGAGATCTTCCTTGCAGAGATCTCAGGAAATAATATCAAGGTCCACGCAGCGGAAGTCGGTGCTGAAGGGCAGAAGGCTTTGGAACAGAGCGAGTCAACATCCAGTACACTGCAGGGTGATGTTGAATCCGGGAGTAGGTGGACGGTGGCAGGAGATGGAAGGATGCTCGTTGCAGGTAAGTACTCTACGGTCCGCCATGTGGGTGGTGCTGACAGACGAAAGTGTCTAGCTCGGAGGTGATTCGAGACGATTTACGGGCGGTCATGAGGAAGTATATTCAGATGGGGGTAAGATTCATAGAACTAGATTACCAGCCAAAGTAGATAGGTCATGCTTAGATAGCAGAGGTTTTGGTAGCGTATTGTAGAGCCCTCGGAGAGTGCTCCTAGCTGGGTGGCACTCCAAAGCGTACCCTCGCGGGCAAGTGGAACGCCTAGGATTGTGGAGTCGCAGGGAGGATCCTCCTTGGATGTACGAACGCCCAGGAGGATACTCCTAGGAGCACCCACTGCCGAGGCGTATCCTCTTAGGATCCCTAGCACCCCAGGAGGATCCTCCCAGGAGGATCCTCCTGGGTGCTCGTACATCCAAGGAGTATGCTCCGAGTTTGTTTCTTCTCCATGGACAAAGCTCCTCAGAGACTCTCTCTCCTAAGAGAATACCCCCTGGAGGGCTCGACTCCTGTGAGCCCACCACCCCTGTGAGCTTTCTCTGTAGCGTATTGTTTCCTCACAAGGTCTTATGTGATGCGCGCTCATGCACAGAAGAGAGTCGGAAGGTGAAAGGTCAGATGTTGAGTGTTCCGGGTGACGACTCCCTGTAATCTGCATTGCTAATTAGGGCTGTTCATAGTTGTCTATTTAAGCTTCCCACCTGACCAGCTCGCCAGTGGCTCCACTCTTCCCCCCAGCGCAGCTAACCTTCGTACCAGCGGGCGGCGAGAAACACCCACTGAATGAACTCACCACCACCCACTTCAGAATGCTTTGGCTTCCCATTTTCTACTCGTTGCAGAGCCGTCAGTACACTACAGAAAGGGTATGGACCTCATTGTGTCTATTTCAAAACATATCTACCTACATCTATCATCTAACTTCTCACGTAACACTCGTGCACAATCTATCCACCACCGGCCTCCCTCCCTCCTCACCCCGTGCACCTGCACATTCCCCTCCTCCCCATCCCCCTTCCAAAGCTGCCAGCACCAAGAAGACATGCTGTTCGGCCCGTGCTGATCAGGATTTGCGGCCCCTCACTAAATTGAGGGGCCGCGTATCCACAGATCCACCCAATAGACGTAGTTCTGACGGGGCACTGTGGACAACTGGGTGGATGGTCTCTCATCGCCGATGGTCTCGCACCACCCGATGGTCTCGGTGAACCCTTACCATTTATCCATTGACTTATCCTTGCAGTCGATCCAGTCTTTTGAGGCTCCATGGACTTCCTCCTTTGCTTTGAATCTTTCGACTTCACATCAACGTCAACTGCCTCACCCATTGAATAAGGCTTCAATCATTTGTCTATAGGCAGATCCATCTAGTTAACCCTCCTCCCAAATCTTCCCACTTTCGTTATACCTTCCTCACCTTCCTCACCTTCCTCACCATCCTCACCTTCCTCACCTATTGTCGCTCCATACAGTATACAGATTTGTCACAGGCCCAGTGGCAGTTGAGCAAAAGAAGGAGGTTGTCTACCCTTAAGACAGGCTTCGACTTGACAGTCCTGTCCAACGGAAGCGTGTCAACGTACTGTAGATATTAGTAATTTAGATAACAGCAATGAAGAGGAAGCAGCATACTTTTAGGACCTCCTTTCTATCATTAGTATCGATCAGACGGCCATTCTCTTTGTTGTATAGCATTCCAAACTGTGCTCTGTATTGTGTCATTGCACCCCTCTTGCTCACCCGGCCTTTATCGTACATATGCTGGGTGAATGATATCATGGTCCCTCTAGAGCAGTCCTTGATAACAGAACGACAGTCCCCCAAATGCTCATCATGACAGAACCTAGGCGAGAGTTAGGAAAGGTAGGCATTCTAATGTCTCAATTTAGGCGTATTGTTCCCTTACCTTTCAAACTTGCCTCTAATAACGTCAAGGTTGCATTTCAGTCTCAGGAGCATACTCATTTTTAATAACAGTTGTTGGGTCATCATGCTTAGTTTTAAGGCTTTGGTAGTATCCAGCTGGGCGTTTGGTCTTTGGCTTTGGTTGACGAAGTTCAACACGAATATGAAGGCATCGAACTAGTTGTGGATCAACAGGGGCGTTCCTTCTTAGGGCCATAACGACGATGTGCTTGTTTCGTCGTGAGAAGGTGCGATCTTAGCCACACCGTTGTTGCAGGGAGTGGTAGGTACAGAGTAGAGTGGTGTGCTGAAAGACATAACAGTTGTATTGATGTTAGGGGGGGGGATCATCTATACACAGGTACAATTGGGAGGTTTGTGGCCAGAGGTAGAAGAGACTAGACACGGGTTTTGGTTTTGGATTTCAGGTACGATGCCTTCGGTCCGTTAATTTGCTGGTGGCCGATCATTCATAGATCGACTTGGCAGAGGTAAGGCAGTTCAGTCAGGGAATCGGGAATGGGCTACAGCGATTGCTTGTATCAACAGTGACGGCTGGAGTATTCCTCCATTTTTGGTAGTTAAAGGCAAGAATCATCTTGCAAATTGGTATACAGACGGCGGCCTTCCACACAACTGGGTTGTTAAACCGACAAGCAATGGATGGACAAACAATGAGACGGGTCTAGAATGGTTGAAACACTTCGACAAACATACTGCTGTTCGTGCAAGGGGTCCATATCGAATGCTGGTGTTAGACGTGCAATCTGAGCATGTTGGACGACACCGCTATACTCCCCCGATGAATGGTCGCCACCACTGTTGCCATCTTTAGCGTCGGCCATGATGTTGAGCTCCTGCGATGGTGCTGCTCTCTCCTCGCTCGTAAGAGGGTTCGATGGGTGAGGGAACACGTAGCGCGTATGGCGAGGAGTCTGTTTTGCTTCATCAGTACATAGAATTTAAACCAAATCGAAGACTACAATATGCGAAGTTTAGCCTATGTCCTTTTCTCTCAAGAAGCTGGGTGAGCCTCCGATACCGTGGCTATCGCGGCTGTCATATATTTGGGGGCCGTGACAACGCATACAGAACATTGGCAAACAATCATCTCGGCCACCTCATTTGTGCTAATTGTGAGACTGTGGGAGGCGAGCTAAGGCTAGGCTCTTCGGTTTTAGCTTATGTGATGTTTTATAAGGATAACTCCGTGATCCACGTCACAGCACATAAGCACCTGATTCTGCTGTTGCAGGGCGCCCAGACATTCCGTTGGTCCCACCGCTGTAGAAATATGGTGCGATTTGGGTTTGGTATCGCAATGAAGGGAAACTTACACCGATCGTGTTATGTTGTTGTGGCCACCTGACGATAAGGATAAACAAACAGCCAATAGACGTCATGTATTAGTGGCTGCCTGAGGCTAATTTTTTTGTCAGCGTCACCAAGTAAAACAACAGATAGCATGTTGCTGTGACCAAGACAACACGGCTTCTGCAGATTCTGCTTTCATACGATGAATGTGTGGACAAGAACAGTACAATCCAGGGGCCCAGGAGACTATCCTTTCATGGCTTGGTGGGCTTCAGTCACCGCCATCCTCAAGAGAGAGCTCGGCTCCTCAGAAGCGGACTCGAGGCGATAGTCCAAGTATGTCGAGGTCTCCTAAGAAACGAAAGACGAACCCCCCAACGGCACCATCGGATGCCTTGAGCGAGTACAGCCTGCCAACACCCTCCGATCGAGTTCGGGCTTCAAGCCCCCCCCGTGAACTCCGTGAGATTTACAAATATGCTCAGCCCCCAATACGCTTCCTTACTACGCCAGACGAGCATACACCTGAGACGGTACTGGAGCTCTTCAAGAATCTCCAGGAGGCAAGTAGTGCTGCAGCCATTCCTGCAATTTTTAAGGTTAATATAATTGAACTATATGCTGGTCGCCTTAGTTAACTATGAACCTCAGGCGCGAATCCACGATACCTATCCTTATCAAAGCATTCCCTTGAGCGCATTTGTGCCAACGGAACAGACACTACAATCATCAGAAGTAGAAAGCACATGGAAACTTGCTGCCTCTCTTCTGTCGAAAGCCAGGCAAGCGTTTGAAGGGAATGAGCCGGAAGGGTCCTGGATCCGCTTGGCGTCTGAGGTTTTGGATGGGGTTTTTGAGGGAAGTGAGCTCAAGCTGCTTCGCACGATGGATGTGTGAGTTGTAGGAATTACAATCGTAAAAACTGCTGCTGACATGAGCTTGATTAATGCAGGCAATATTCTGACATCAATTCCGCCACCTTACTGCCGACAGTCAATGATTTCGCTATTCCGGTCAAAAAAGCTGATCTGGCTGTAGCCATCCATAGCGCGAAACCTGCAGCAAGCATGATATATGAAAGCATTCGGAAGCAAAATCCAGCAATGAAGTTAAGCCAGATGCAAGATGCAAGCGTTTCTCGCATGGCTTTACCTATATGCGTCGAAGTGGGAGAACCTGGAAAGTCCTACAATGAAGCATCTATTCAGCTTGGCGTGTGGTGTTGCGCTGGCCTGTTGAAGCTGCATGAGCTGAGATTGCAACAAGGCGACATTGATGCAGAAGAAACTGTGCCTTTAATTGGTATGACTGCTATTGGACTGGACTGGAAATCACATGTGGCATATAAACTCCCAGATGATGGTGCTGTAGTGAGTCATTTCCACTTTCACACGCCGTATGAAGTAGATAAATCATCAGCTGACTTGCCTGGTGTTGTCAAGGTTATTCTAGGCCCTGTATCCATTGGAGGTTACGAAGACATCCGTAGCTTCTTTGTGCTTAATAGTGTCTTCAAGATCATTGCGAAATGGGCAGAGCAAGATTACTGGACACATTTTCGGGGTATTTTTGGAGTCTGATCATGCTGGAGAAGGATATGGAGGCCGAGGATCCACCAGGGCGAGCGTTAGGGCTTCAAGAGACGGTGGGTGATAGGCGCGGGTTATTATTACCTTGTCTACCTGCTTTATAGTCAAAGGTGAACTAGTCGTATGCATAGAGCAAGATCATATTCATACATCACATTAGATCTGCTCTATACTATCTATAGACGCCCGATGCACACCATAATGATGCGCACCACAATTTGGAGGCTGTAAGAGCTTTAAGTGACCTATTTTACCCTCGACTGCATTGTGCTCCAGCGCGTGCGTACTGCGCCCTTAGTCCTGCCCGGGAACTTGCTGAAGATCCACTCCCAAGACTTGCCCTCCTTCTTGTACGCTGATAAGCGCTGCTTGTCAAGCGGTGACCATTCACTATATTTCCTATCGTCCGAACGGGCCACATTATCCTCGCTCGAATATGCATCACCATCGCTACCGGTATTAGGATCACCGTCGCCAAAACCATCGGCATCGGACCTGCTTGACGCTGACCATTGACTATACAGTCAAACCCCTGTTATAACGATGTATTCTGTCCACCATTTCACTATCGTTATAACCAGTATATCGCTGTAACCAAAATATAATATATTATGTAATCCATGTATCTAATGTCCCCTGAACTAATGATGCCAGCTGAATGCCCTCAATTGCTGATTCCAACCGCTCAAGTGTCCGTAAATAATCAGAAGAAAGAGATTCTTGGCTTTCAGCAAATCCAATCAATATATGAAGAGCTTGTTTAGCATCAGCCATTGAGTACATAGGCTGTGGAAGCTGATCACGTCTTCTTCATCACTTTGAGTAGTCGGTAAACCTAAATGCTCTTGTAGCACTTCTTGTAAAACCTCATCTTCTCCTACATTCTGCTCATCCTCTCCATTGTCATCTTCGTCAACAGGGTTAAGAAAATTTGCAACTGACATAATGTCTTGTATATTTCCTGCTTCCATAACCTTTTGATATAGCTCTGTAACTCCATGAGGCATAATTGAAGTAGGAAGTGAAATAGGTGAAGAGACAAGTGTTGATTTGCGAAAGCAATTGTAGATTGTAGTATTTGTAATTTCGTTATTCCAGCTTCGTAAGATCCAACGGATTGCAAGGTGTAGATTCATTGACGACAGAGGATCTACATTTGAGTCGAAGGATTGTAAGATATATTGTAGCCAATGTCGCCAGTAGTAAGCTTTGCAATTCTGAATAATCCCTTGATCAAGAGGCTGGTAGCGACTTGTACTATTAGCAGGTAGCCAACATATTCGAATATTTGATGGAGGAGGACAAAGCTCAATTGCAGTATAATGGGCAGAGAAGTTGTCCATTGTAAGAAGAACTTGTCGTGTTGTGCCAATATGCTGATAAAAAGCTTGAAGCCACTCTGTCATAATCGTTGTATTCATCCAAGCTTTCTTATTCCACCGCCATTGCCCTCCCATTGTATGAACTGATACAAATCGCAAAGCGCGTGGTGTTTTAGCTTTGCCAATGAACCAGACTGGAAATCGATCTGTGCCAGTTGCATTGACACAAAAGACAAGAGAGATCCGAGACTTGTCTTTCTTAAACCAGCTTGATGTTGTGATGAGAGGCCTCGAGAGAGCATCATCCTCCAATAAAGGCCACTCTCGTCCATGTTGTAGATATCCTCCTCTTGATATTCCCCTGCCACAGTTTGTAAGGCTATCATTTCCTCTTCGTAGAAGCTGGGATAGATAAGGCTTCTCCATGTCGAACTTTTAATGATATCTTAAAGCGCTTCTTAAATCCCTCAAGCCATCCAATGCTGAACTCTGGGACTGGCTTGCCAGAGTGTTGTGGAAACTGGCGCCAGATATCTCTTGCCTTTGTTTGCAGAAGCTCTCCAGTTGTAAATCCCCCTCTTGCTTCAATACGCTGCTGCCATGCAAACAGAACCTTCTCTAAGTCAGGCCAGAAGCCTTCTCAAAGTCGCACGCCTTGTGGTGTATTATTCTCGTCGAGGTGGGAGAAGCGTAGACTTAAGGATTCAGAAACAGTTGACTGGCTAAGTTTGTGATTGTATTCGTGGAGGAACCATTCGATGCATTGCTTCTGTGTAGGCTTTGGGTGCTGTCGATGTGCCCAGCGACGAAGCTTTGTTCTAATGTAATACTGTGCCTCTGGCTCATGATCCTGAGAATACGTCAGACTGGATATAACGATAATCGGATGGAACTGTAACGATTATCATAGTATCATAAGTTGTGTGGAAATAGAATTGGTTCCGAAAAATATATCGCTATATCAAAAATATCCTTGTATCCAGGATCGTTATAACAGGGGTTTGACTGTACTTTCTCTTGTCGGAACATCCCAGTTCATCCTCGCTCGAACCGTCACCCAAACTATAGTCAACGATGCGGCTTGACGTCTCTCGCTGCTGTAATGGAAAAGTGCTCGCGCTGCGGCCTTTGTCTACCCAGATACGCCTTGCACTCAGCGGGATGAGGCATGCGTTTGTAGTAGACCTTACAGTCCTCCCACTTTTAGAAGGGCGGAAAGATGTACGCCGGCTAAAACCAGTCACCAAGAACAAATGTTGCTTTAGCTGCTTTATTGTGAGGTCCTTGGTATTTCCGGCATAGCTGACGCACTCGATGAGTTTAGAGAATTGGCCGAAAGTGAATTCTGGCTCATCACGATCGTCCTGAATGAATGCCGAAAAGGAATAGTAATCCGGAGAATGGGGACGGAATGTGACCTCAGTGAGTAGCGGCTGTTTGGATGATTCGCTGAGGGCGCCACAGTCCAGAGAAGAATGGGGTGGTGAAGGTAATTGGCTGTTACCGTTGCAGGCTGGGTGCCTCTGCGGGAAGCAATTTCTTCTTTGCTGGGTAGATCCCAGCTGAAGATGCTGCCTACGCGTCCGTTGCGTTGGGCCAACGTAAGATGAAAACGGCCGCTTCCGCTTGATAGGGCATCGCTGTCATACTGATATTCGTTGCACTCAGTTTGCTATCAAAGTCAAGAGCAAACTTGGAAATCTCCTCCTCAAACCTATAAGTCACTATACATATTTTGGCTTATCACACCAACAACAAGAGCAATACTACTCAACAATTGCTACAACCATCTATGATTCATTACACGTCATCGCTCCTTAGTTACTGGGCCGATATTACCACATAGCATATCTCTACAACCCTCTATGATTCATTACATGACATCACTCATACTACCACATGACATATCTCTACCAACTAGAGGCCTAGGAGCATGAACGATAGCTCTAAAAGCTCCTACGAACCTCTATGATTCATTACAGGTCATCGCTCTTTAGTTAGCCACAAGATTGGTTAAGTTATGACATAATTTGTCTATGACATAATTTGCCTATGACATAATTTGTCTATGACATAATTTGTCTATAGGGGTACTCTGACCTTGGACCTCCTTTTACTTCCTATAGGCTAGGAACCTAGGAGATGGTTCTATGGGATTCTCTTACGTCGACTACAGTTACCAAGCCTGGTTAGTCATGGAAAGTCTTGGAAAATGAGAAAACTACACTCCTTTAGCATAAATAGGATTGCCCTTTCCTTAAGAAAGGGCAAGCAGACAATACAGTAAATCGACTATCACATACTTCCACGTCTTTTCCAAGCTTCCAAGCATTGATCTTGTTACTCCTTGTTTCTGAAAAGTCAGTGAGGTGCTAACCTCTGACTTACCCCTGAGTTCCCAGACTCAACATTTGTTGCAACTTGTCTGAACCACTTCACTACATCACACACCTGATTGCTGCGTTGTGGAATAGTCTAAGCTACAACCCTTTGGCTCTGTTTCCTAAGACAGTGTGTTGTCTTAGTAAATTCATCCCTTCCTTGGGTGGCTAGATTCTCACATCTGGTGCACCCACCATTACAATCGCCTTCGGTCGCTCTCATCTGACTCAGCTTCGGTGGTACTGAGCTTGTCGTCGCTGTAATTGTAGCTGTTGCTTGTCGCTTGTTCTAGGCTTGGCTCCAGGGATGGACTGCGGGGGTGGAGGATCCTGTGGCGCTTGGCTAAGCTGGTCCTTCTAATCACACTTGCGGGGAGATGGAGTTCGTCGCCCATTTCAGTTATTGGCGCTACCCTCGCCGTATTTTCGTCTGACTGTTGTATTCCATTGCCATCGCTATTGATATTATCTTCTTCGTCTTGCTGCTGCGGCAGCATCTCCTCAGGGGTATTATTATCGAATTCAGGCTTAGCTTGCCTGCGATAGGCACAATCTTCCTGACTGATTCGGCCTTGTTGTGATGATCTAGGCCGGCGTGGAGACTGGTCGCGATCACTACAGCAGAAGCTACAGTGAGGTTACTACTCCAGCATGTATGGAAACACCATGGTTTACCAAATTCCATCATCTCAGACAGAGGGCCCCAGTTTGTAGCTGTAGTGTGGAAAATCCTCTGCAAAGTTGGAAAGTTACAATCAAATTTTCTACAGCCTTCCACCCAGAAACGGACGGGCAAACTGAAAGGTTTAATGCAGAACTCGAGCGATATTTATGGGCTCATGTCAACTATCTCCAAGACAACTGGGTTGAATATCTTTGCATGGCTGAATTCGCAGCAAATGCCTGTAACGCTGACTTCTAAACGATAGAAGACACAGAGGTTCTCTTGCGTAAAGGTTTACTTATCAGAGGAGGCAGGGGATCAGACACAAAGGCTTCAAGTAACACGTTACTAGTATATAACAAATACTGTATTGAGTTGAGCACGAAGCTCCTATCTAAGGAAATACTATCTACTTATATAGTGGCGTCGTGCCTAGTGGACTCTTGGGAACTCACTTGAGTCCTCGGAGTCCTGGACTCTTAGGACTCTTCTCATCATCCTGCGAGTCCATCACGTGCCTAGTGGACTCCTGGGAACTCACTCGAGTCCTCGGAGTCCTGGACTCTTAGGACTCTTCTCATCATCCTGCGAGTCCGTCACGTGATACTTTCGGAACTACTATTCCCCGCTGCCCCTCCAGGTACCAGGGCCGGTCTCATGCGACCTCCCTCCTTCCTGTCCTGTAGTTGGCCAGCCTTCTTGTTCCGTCGTAACAATGCCCTTCCATCAGACTCAACAAAAGTTAGCCCATTTTTTGCAAACAAGGGTTTCGAGCCAAGAATGAGCTTTGATATAGAGGATAGCACGTTCCAAACTGCCCTTCAAGAACATAAGGACATAGCTCAAAACATGAAAGATATTTGGGAATTCCTACAAGACCAGATCGCCCTCTCACAAAACCGAATGGAGCACTTTGCAAATCAAAACAGGAAGCCAGCACCAAGATATAAGATAGGAGACCGAGTCTGGCTTTCTACTCGGAATATCAAAACCCAACGACCCTCAAAGAAACTTGACCATAAGCAAGTTGGTCCATTTCAAATCCTTGAGCAAATTGGGAATGTTGCATACCGACTCCAGCTACCACCAAGCATGAAGATACACCCTGTGTTTCATAGCAACCTCTTACGACTTGACTCAGATGATGCTTTACAAGGCCAGCACCATGAACCACCCCTGCCAATCATTATAGAAGATGAACTTGAATGGGAAGTTGAAGAAATCCTAGATTCTAAACTCCTATGGAAGAAGCTGTTCTATATGGCAGCATGGAAGAACCACCCACTAGACAACACTTGGTATCCTGCTACAAACTTCAACAATGCACCTGAACTCACACAAGCTTTCCACTGAAAATACCCGCAGAAGCCACGATGATCTTACTCTTGATCAGGAGATCAATCTTACTAGGGGGGGGGGTAGTGTTACGATTACAGCTCACAGCTTGTCACAGCTTGTTATGGTTGTTATGGTTGTTATGGTTGTTATGGTTGTTATGGTTGTTATGGTTTGGTTATTACAGTTGTTATGGGGATTACGGGTGTAGCCTTAGCCACAAGGTTACAACCGCTAAGCAGACAACTGTATGTTATGAGGAATAGCCTCACCTTCCTTCCTTCTTCTTCTTCTTCTCTCTTTAGATTCAATCTAGATTACTTTTCCTGGACTGGCATCATGACCTCTATGACCATCGTAACACCACTGAGCCAAAAAGACTACAGTATTCCGGCTCGCCCGGAATACGCGTAACACGCTTTATATACCACATGTACTGTAACGGCGGCACCCATTACAATTACCCCCCCCTTTAGTCCGTGACGTCCCGGCACGGATGTAGAGGCTTCTAGCGTATCATCTCGTACTTGCTTCTAGGCCCGTTACTACTCAGGATGCTAAGGTGTGTATATAATAGCTTAAGCCCCCAAGGACGCCCCCTTGTCAGCCAGGTAAGGAATTACACTGATTGCTCGCTTAGCCCACCCAACAAGCGAGCCAATCAAAACCCATTGACTGGTGAGCTGGAATACTCTTGTAACGATGTACGGTTACGCTCGCGCTACATCCCACTGAGCCAAAAAGACTACAGTATTCCGGCTCACCCGGAATACGTGTAACACGCTTTATATACCATATGTACTGTAACGGCGGCACCCATTACAGTAAGTAAGAGCGTACACTTCAGCGTGAACGACGTACCACCCTCTTGCTTCGTTTTCCAGAATACCAAATTTAACAAAACAGTTGCTGCAGCTTCGTTCTCAACTGTAATATGATGTAGTTGGATCTGTAGTACCTCATCAAAGCGGAGTAAACATTGGAAGGATAGAAGGTAAATGCACTGAAGCATAGCCCGAACGCGCCCACCACCCCAAGATGAGTAGTGAACCTCATCATTAAAGTTATTAAGCTTCTCTCCAAACGAAAGGCATGGGAATTCTTTGTTAAAAACCCATAACTTCCGTAAATCTTCCTTTGTAATTGCCCGGGCACTTCTAGCAACCTCTCCAGCTCTTGTCTATCCTGTTATTAGCTTTTTCTACATTTTGTACCAAAGGAAGAGAGTATATACCTTCTTCTTCCGAAGACTCTTCATATACGTCGTTACTACTGTTGATAGCGATGGGTTTCCCCAGTTTATTCCATCTGGAAGCTTCTGCCATACCGATGGAGTCTTATCCATATACTGTACAAACCCAAAACTTAAAGCTGACCTCATTTTTACCGCATGTTAGTATGTAGCAGGCTTCCCCTTACGCATTCTCTTTGAGGAGTTCTCTATTTTTATTGGTATGTGCGTCGAATGTGTCTGGGGTAGCGATTCTACTGAAGGGTCATCAATTTGCATCGGCTTTGGGTCACAGAGAGACATTATCCACACTGCGCAAAAGTAAGGGCATGTGTCCTTACTGCCATTTAAGTCAGACATACCATTTACAGGGTGTTGTTGTGCGGTATAGGTAGTAAATTGCTTCCATAGGCTACATAATACCACATATTGTAAGCATACATTCGGTCATAATGAAGGCAAGATGTAGAGCTTTGGAGGCACCATATAGTGTATAACTTACCTCGCATAGTCTGAGATAGTCTTTGGAGCTAACGCCCCTTCCATTTACTTTTGGACTTCCTCCTTCATATAGCAGAAGGCTTGGTCAATTCTTACTTTTTCATCCTCCATATCCTCATCTACTTCGTCCTGCGTAATATCGTCGTTTAGATCGAGCGAAGCAAGCTGTTCTACGCCATAATAGTTATATAGTGCGAAGGTGGGCTACTACCAAAGAGAGGTGGTAAAGACATGGTAGTAATAATTTAGATATGGTTGTACCAACAAGATGTTATATATCCTCAATAATACCTTCTTAAACTACCTTGCGGCAAACTGGCTTCTGTTTTCGGCTGGTTTAGGCGCTGTTTTGTGCAGCCGAGTTGCCAAAATCTCACGCTGCTCTAACGCTCGGGTACGTACCTGATAGCAAAACGGCAAGACCCGGACCTAGCTGACTAATAGGAACACCAAAACCAGAGCGAGCTTGAAGCAGGAAGCTTCTCATCTTTGACTTGCAGCCGTTTTGGCCCTCAGAATATGGGTGCCCTCCAGCCCCTTGTGACTAAGTTAACGATGCCTTTCCTTATGTCTACCCTACCTTTCCTTCCCACCATACTTAATACCCTCCTCGCTCGCTCCTGTCTCTTTCCTCTTCGACAATACAGTTCCTTTGGAGCAGGTTCCTTCCAACATCTCCTACTTTCTCTTCAACACCAAGGCCGTCGTTGCCGTCGTCTCCCTTGAGTTAATATGGTATGCGGCGTCGCCAGCTCTCACGAAGCTTCTCTAGCTGCAATGTGTCAGACTCCGAGAGCTGCTTCGATGTTGAGGATAACGTTGTGGATAGCGACTCTGATACTATTCCGACAGATATTGATAGCGATGTAGAGGATAATGCTAGGGGCGGCGACTCTGATACTACAGATGTTGACACTGATGTAGAAGACCACCCGCCAGAGTACTACCTTCATCAAGAAGATGATTCTGACTCTGATGATGAGATTGAGGATTATAGAGACAGTACTCTTTGTCTTATTGGCGGAATCGAGCAACGGTTTTACCGGTTAGTCTTATACCTTCACCTATCGTCCCTCTATGTTTGTATCGCTAACCTAACTAACTCATAGGTATTGTAAATATGTCGAAAAGGACCCTATTCAGTCGATGCGAGACGTCACTCCCCGCATGATTGGGGCCTTCTTCGACTGGGTGCTAAACCAACGTCGTGGAAAGGGTGGGAGGAGGCTGAAAGGCATTAAGACAGAGAGTAGTCTTATATCGTACTACAAGAACTTTCGGATGGCCTGCGAGAAGGCGACTGGTATAAGGATTGGGGAGGGTGACATAGTTTTTAAACGCATGGTAAATCGCGTAAGTCATACCTCCACTCTACTCTGCCCTACAAGTCCACATGAGGAAGGCTTACAGAGTAACGTCTAGAAACTACGGAAGTTAGCAAAGAAGCACAAGCTTATAAGAGAGAAGCGCGAAAAGGCAGCTATAGACGTAGAGTCTCTGTCAATGATCCTTCATACCAACCTAACTACCACAAAGAAGAGGTACACACATGGCCGGCAGCGCATTGCCATCATGCTATTTCTCCTGCTTGCTGGCTTCTCTGGAAACCGGCCGCAAGCTATCCTCGACCTCTGCTACCGCCACATTATTGTGAGCCTGCTCCGGGACCCAAAGGGCGGGCCCCACCGGATTCTAATTGAGTTCACATGTGAATTCACGAAGCAGTTTCTTGGCGTAAAGGAAGCGTAAGCTCTGCACTCTACCTTCCTCCCTCCTATGATTCTACAGTTTAAGCTGACAAACTAGTAATACTTTTGTTCTGCCTGAGATAATATTCGACCCGTCCTTGCTTCTCAGCCCACACGTTTCCCTACTTGGAATGATTATAGACGATGAAGCCTTCAAAGCCCCAAATCTCACGTCTGGCGAGGCTATCAGCAAGTTAGACATTCGGCCAGGCTGCAATCAGCTGTCGTTGTTTCTAAAGCCAGAAAAGGCCAACATCCCCATCTTCCGCAAGTCCATCCGGACACCCTACGGGTGGGAGATCTCGCCTACCGAGCCGCTCCCTTATTCGACTCTCCTACGGTGGATGGAGGGCCTTGGAGTACTATCGTGCTTCCCACAGATTATCCGCCCATATGGTCTCCGGTACAACGCGGGCAACAAATTCAACAAGAGCGGTCCGTACCCTATGCAGCGCAACCTCCCCTCCCCCTATAAAGCTTAGCTAACGACTGACGGATAGGGGACGTGAGTGATGCGCTCCAGAACATGATGCTACAGCACGCTGACATGCGCACCTTCATTAATCACTATCTCTCGCGGCGGGTAGAGGCTGATACTAGGGCTATCGTGTGTGGCTACGAGCCTCAGAACCACCTCATGGAGGCAGCGTGCCGGCTACTGCGGTGGATCGATCCCTGCCGGCCGCAGGAGTTGACGACTGAGCAATCCCAGTCTGTCAATCAGTCCCCTCGTGTCCTCCGACTCGTCGCACGGCGAGAGAAATCAAAACACCGCTCTGTTGGTACAGTCACAACGCAACCCCATTACAAAGCTCTCACTAGTGATATCGCTAGGGAGAGGCAACGGCAGAGAATCGCACTCCTAAAGAAGCTTCGGGACGAGTGGGACCTAGAGAAGTCAGTCAGCGACATCGAGTTGCAGCTCTCTGGTCTAAAGTTCGACGAGGACTTAAAGACTACCCTAGACCTAGCCGATGATATGCCTCAACCTCAAAGGCGCCTAGTGGAGACAGTTATAACGCTTCCAGGGACCACTCTGGAGGAGGAAATCTGCCGGCGCAATGCGGCTATCAATGCGACCGCTGCCTACTGCAAGTTTCAGGAAGGGGGAGCTGCTCCCAGGCGCGCCCCTATCAGGCGAACGGGTTCAACCCCGGCCGACCCGCAGTTGGCGGCCGCAGAGACCGAAAAGCAAGCACTGGACGCAGCTATGTTGTCAGTATACACAGAGAACCGACCAAAGATATGCTTCATGTGCTTAGGGGAGCGAAATTTATCATTCGAAAAGCGCACTAAATCATTTGCGAGTCCAGGAGACTTAACGAAGCACTTCAAGCGGAAGCATTTGGCCAACATCAAGAAAGGAGATCGGATCGGGTGCAAGGTCTGTCGGATGTCTCTGGAGCATAAGCCGCATCTCCGGAATCATGCAGAGAGTATCCACGGGACGGTTTCTTGACCAGTTGATGCTCTACGAAAAGCGTGCGGCTCTCTGGCCGACTTTTTGTCTTTTTCGTTTTGTTTTGTTCTCGTTTTTGTCTCATAGTCATATTGATGCTTTCGCCTACGGTACTATCTTGTAGAATGTATGTATAGTATAAGTTACAGTAGAAACTCGAAATTGGTCAACCATTCAATCTAAGCTTGATTGTATTTCTGACACCCGCATTCTTAAATGCACTAACGTGACCTGCACTGGATGGTCGTGATCATCACTCACCTGGCGGTCTCGTGATCTCCCACCACCCGATGGTCCTGCTGAACCCTTGCCAGTCATCCTCTAACTTATCCTTGCAATCGACACCGTTTTGAGGCTCTATTAACTGCCTGTAGCGCTTACGCCTGACCACTCCATCCACAGAGGTTCTCTTGCGTAAAAGGCTAACTAGGAAAAGCAGGGACCAGACACAATGGCTTCAAGTTAACAGGTTACAGTCTACATTGAGTTGAACGCGAAGCTTCGTTCTAAAAAATTACTACTTGCTTATATAAAGGGTGGTGCCAAAGGTAAAGCGAGGAGAGTTGCAGTTACTCTCATCCTGGGATGAGAGTATCTACGCTGAGGAGTTCCTCGAGGAACGACTCTTCCCCCAGAGTCCCTTCAATCATGAACGCGGCGAATCTCCACGTATCATCTTCCTCCCAAGACCAAGAGTGTTTAGGAATCCAAGGTCCCTCATTATGGCTGGCATCCATGTGTACATCATACAGCCTTTCAGGCTTCCTGAGCGTAAACGGACAAAGGCCACCGTGGATGATGAAATGTTCAATCCGGCTGATTAGACAACCGTCCTGACGCGGTGGACAAACAGAACCATCCTCCCCAGCGCCGCAGGTTGACCATGCTTCGTTCGTATCTGTCGTAAAGCGACCTATGAGTTTGATCCGTTTAAGAGACATAGACTGACTTAGAAATTGTATCATCGTGATCCAGAGAGCTCGTGCACCTCCTTCAATGGTCTCGTTGCCACGCTGAAGGGCCATATCCGATAGTTCGAGCGACAGAAGGGTTGTGGAGTGTCTCTGAAGCAATTGTTGAAGATATGATGGAGATAGGGCCAGGTTTTGCAAGGACAGGTTCGTAAGGTGCTTCCAGTGCAGGGAAGTATCAAATAGCCTACTGCGAAAGGAGGTTGATATATTTTCGAGGGACCTTAAGTGATCTCCGTAAGATAGCCGCAGTGATGTGAGGTTAGGGGCACGTTTTAAAAGCGCAGCAAGACTCCGAGTCGAAGCTTGCGACATATGATCTTCAGATGTGAATTCAAGACACAGGAGTTGGATATTTTTCAAGGTGAGCTGAGGAATGGCTTTTTCGACCTTGCGCAAACTCTCATAGTCAAGCATTTCACCCCGAAGTTGCTTCACTTGCTGGGGATTCTCGCTACGAAAAACCGCACATACAAGTGCCCAGAAGTGCTTGTCCCATCTTCCCCATCCTTCCTCAGGCTCCGCTAGAGTTTCCTGTGCTAGAGGGCTGAAGAAGCTCATAGGTTGAAGCTCGCGGTCGTCGTCCTTGAAACCCTGTTCATTTTCCGCGTATTCTACGACAGAAAGCCTCGGAAATCTTCTCATAGCCTTGAGCAACCACTTTATCTCGTTGTCTCCCTGCAAGATCGGACCTTGGACGAGCCTCACATAGCGACAGAAGTTGAAATAATATTCATGTAGTTGCTGTTGTGAAAATCGAGCAAGAAATTTATCTCTCGTATCTGATAGCATGCCTATTCCTGTTGCAGCTGTGTGGTGTAACCATTCCTCGAAGGCAGAGCCTTCTGCGAACTCCAATTCCCTTCCGTCGTAGATGAAGACTTCGACATAGTGCCGAAGGGTCTCATGCTCAGATATATTTGAGAGCTTGCCAAAACTGTGGAGGTTGACCTTCAGGAAGATCGTGCGAAAGAGGATTCGTCGAGCAGCGTTATCAAAAGCTCGGTTTAGGAGTCGGACATTTCGAAGATCTTGTTGGTCAAGGCACTCGCAAAATAAGCTCAGTATTTCGGGAGGGATGTCGCGCAGAGTAAGCATTTCAAAGCCATTTATCGATGCAGTAATGCGTATTGTAAAAGATTCTCTCTATAGCTAGCCCCCTGAGGATTTCAGTAGTATCGGTAGAGCTTCTGGCATCTACTCTTGGCTGTTGGCAATAATTGGAAGCGATGAGCTACATTTGGATATGATGTCGTTAGTGGGGTAGAATATGCAGGTACCAGGGTGGCGTGCGCCACGTTTGTTTCTATCGCTTCAAGTACACTACAGTATTGCAACGAGTTAAAGAACAGAAACTCTGAATTTAGTGACGGAATAGAATTATTTGTTAATTGAATGGGTTTTATCTTCCGTTAATTCCCTTGTTCTACGTAGATTATCAAAACGTTACCATGACGCTCGTAACCCCGGACCTTTGATGATTAGCCAACTCCCGTCAAGCCGACGCCAGCTTCGAAACAACTTGTATGCTCCATTCTACAGTACAGTACAGCGCCATAAGTTACAGAGTACAGTACCAGTTGTTCTCGATACCACTTCTTTCCAAAGATACAGTTCTTCCCGAAGATACACTTCTCAGAAGATACACTTCTCGAATTCTTGCTAGTTTGGCCAAAGATTTTTCGTCCGCTAGCATTTCCTTGCGAACCTACGCACGAAACAGTGCGCCGTCGGAACTATATTGGGTGAATCACTAGATGCGCAGCCCCTCAACTTAGTGAGGGGCCGCGAATCCAACGCTGGAATCTCGCTGCGGGAGCATCGAACGAGCTAGATATAAGCAATACGTAACATGGGACGCTGCGTTTTTCCACTCTCTAATGAATTGTGAGCCTTATCGAAAGCAGTGATCAAAGGATCCTCAGCAGCATTGTTGCATTCAAGTGGTGAAGCCTGGGTCGTTCTGGGCGCAGGACGGGGTTGATAGAGACTTCGCACTATATAGAAGTTGTTAGTGTATGTGTGGCCGCTCTATCTGTAGAGAACATAGAATGACATGCTAGATGTGATCGCAGTATTTGGATAGTGATTGTGTCCATCTTATTTGTCGTGTTCTTCATCACCGTGACGCCTTTTCCCGTCTTGGTCTGTTGTTTGCAGACGGATCCTCGATCGAAGGTCGAAGACGCTTCGTGGTCATCAGCGCCTGGCAATTAATTAGCATCCCACGATAGCTCTCAATCCAGGCTATCGAACAACTCTCTCAGGATTCTAGTTAGTTATGGTTTAGTTGCGTACTTTGGAGAACCTGTTCTGCCGACGGGGAGTTGGAGTTGGAGTTGCGAGGTGACTAAAAATCACGTGACCAAAAGTAACCACCTTTTATCTCAGCTGGAGCAGCCGATTTCGCTCGGCCAATCAGACAGGCTGGGTCATTTTTGGCCCACACCTTTTCCGATCATATTCTGGCTCGTCCCAGCGATCTTTTGGCTTCAGGTGTGCGGGGTTCTGGCTCAGAATCTGGGCGTCGCGTCTTCGTTTTCACTTTCTCCTCGTCTATAGCGTCTGATTCTGCTCAAAGTTCAAATGTTGCGTTTAATTCTCCACACTCTCTGAATCTGGCCCTCGCGCCTACCGTCCAGAAGCTCCACCTTTGTCGACAACCGGCGCCTCGACAAATGAATCTCAGGGTCAAATCGATTCCCATGTTGCCACATTTCAATTCTTTTACGCTGTTAATTTTCTAGTATTTCTAATCAGTAGGTTGAATTACGTAGTCGGTCGCGCAATAGTTGAACGTTCTGATCACTCTCAACTCTTCGATGTGTAGATCAAGGCTCTAAACTGGTCAATTACGTTTTGATAACGTCCGTCCCTACATGGAGGAAAACCCACTGTGCAGGAAAAAATGATGGGTACTTTGACTTCAATCATCTCAAAATCTGCGCACGCTTTAATATCTCTTATATTTTTGTATAAGCCAAGTTCCAAGGTTACTGCTGAACACTCTGAACCACTCCTACCCAAAAATTACGTTAGTGTTGCCGCCTTTCAGCCTGATTCGCAGAGAGTCTCCATTTATAACGTAGCAGAGTTCCTCCATCATAGTCCTCCATTGAGCTCTTATCACTCTGGATACTTATAAAAGGGTCTTAACTAAGCTTTAGGGCCTGACTACGAAGCGGGAGATCGTCATCAGCCTTATGGCGGGTGTGCTGGGCAAATTCATGCATGGTCACGACGGAGATCAATACCTCAAGTCATAGAGACTAACGAGTTTTGGTTAGTGTATAGTGACCCCCACACTATACAATGATCGCGTTGTATTTCGCTTATGTCATCATGTCATTTTGGTGACGTTGTGGCTCGTCAGGACTGTGGCTCATCAGGACTGTGGCTACGTGAGGCTAAACTGGGCGTTCTTCCAGAACCTTCCATGAGCAGCCAAATGTCTGTTCTGTGCTGACCTGCCGCTCGATCGTTCCTATCTCCATTCATCATCACCGTAAGTAAGCAATACATTGGAATTGATTAGTCTCCGTCATATTCTCAGTGCAAGCGATGAAAGGGACAAATCACCGCCTGCTAGTTATCAGACTGTATTTCGAAGCAGATTGTATTTCTATAATCATATTTTATCAATGTATATAAAGAAATACTGACCGGGAGGTTGTGAGTAGTGCTTGATATAGAATTAGCTTCCTAACTCTTGCACGGCGCCCTTGCTCAGCAGCATCTCAACGAGCTTGTCGTAGCCTCCAGCTGATGCTGCCTGGAGTGCGTTTTTGTAGTGTCCTCCTTGCGCGTTGACGTCAGCGCCTTTGCTTAGAAGCACCTCGACAAGCTTGTCGTGGCCTTTGGCTGACGCCGCCTGAAGCACGTTGCCGTGATATCCTCCTTGCGCGCTAACGTCGGCACCCTTGCTCAGCAGCACCCCAACGAGCTTTTCATGGCCTCCGGCTGATGCCGCCTGGAGCGGGTTGCCGTAGACTCCTCCTTGCGCGTTAACGTCGGCGCCCTTGCTTAGTAGCACCTCGACGAGCTTGTCGCACCCTTCAAATGATGCCCCCTGGAGCACGTTGCCGTAATATCCTCCTTGCGCGTTAACGTCGGCGCCCTTGCTCAGCAGCACCTCAACGATCTTATTGTGGCCTCTAGTTGCTCCCACCAGGCCGCTTACTACTATTGATGCCGCCTGGAGCGCGTTACCGTAAAATCCTCCTTGCGCGTTGACGTCAGCGCCCTTGCTCAGTAGCACCTCGATGAGCTTGTCGTAGCCTCCAGCTGATGCTGCGTGGAGAGCGTTGCTGTAGGCTCCTCCATGCGCGTTGACGTCGGCGCCCTTGCTCAGTAGCACCCCGACGAGCTTGTCGTGGCCTTTGGCTGACGCCGCCTGAAGAGCGTTGCCGTAATATCCTCCTTGCGCGTTGACGTCGGCGCCCTTGCTCAGCAGCACCCCGACGAGCTTTTCATGGCCTCCGGCTGATGCCGCCTGAAGAGCGTTGCCGTAATGTCCTCCTTGCGCGTTGACGTCAGCGCCCTTGCTCAGTAGCACCTCGATGAGCTTGTCGTAGCCTCCAGCTGATGCTGCGTGGAGAGCGTTGCTGTAGACTCCTCCATGCGCGTTGACGTCAGCGCCCTTGCTCAGTAGCACCCCGACGAGCTTGTCGTGGCCTTTGGCTGACGCCGCCTGAAGCGCGTTGCCGTAATATCCTCCTTGCGCGTTGACGTCGGCGCCCTTGCTCAGCAGCACCCCGACGAGCTTTTCATGGCCTCCGGCTGATGCCGCCTGAAGAGCGTTGCCGTAATGTCCTCCTTGCGAGTTAACGTTGGCGTCCTCCTCAGCTAATCTGGCAGCGGTGTCAGCTATACCACCAAGTGATGCATAGTATAGTGGATTAGGACACGAGTCCAATTCTCTTCTAAAGTTAGATGTCCTCCATACGCCGTCGTCTGGGTAATGTAAACGAAGCCAGTTCAAGTAAGCATCGTCTGGGTCATGTAAACGAAGCCAGTTCAAGTAAGCACCGTCTCCTGTGGAAAGAAACTTAGTGGCCAAATAAGTCAGCTGATTATCGCCCTCCTCGCCGTTACGAGTATGGATGATCCAGTGCTCAGCTGAGTATTGAGCCAGTATATAGACTTGTTGGAAAGATATAGCAGATTCGAAACGATTAAATAATTCCTTTTCAAATTGGAGAAGATAACCAATGGATCCCTTTGCAATGTACACATGGCAGGCAGCTGGTTGCATGCTATATCGCGCGGCGCGGCCATGACAGATACGCGTAGAGACGAGGTACTCTTGAACAGAGTAATGGGCCAATGTGACAGTCTGGGATATTGTACTCAAGTGGCGATTCGGCTCACTCAAGGAAGACGTTTCTGTCATGACTACTGAGACAAGACTCATGCAAATATCCAGAACTTCCATCGGGTCTTCAAGGACCTCCTCCCGATCAAAGGCGGTCTCTCGCTCCACGTCGATAGCGACTACCTCGGCGAGCTCTTCCACTGATAGTGGCCTGGATGAAAAGGCCAGCCACTTAAGGATGCGTATAGCATACTCTGCGTCCGTGTCGCTGATTTTACACAAGATTTCTTCGTATGTCTCATCTAGTGTTGTTGGTAGCGCTTTTAGAGCCTTCCGAAGCGCTGACCGAGTGCGACACTTCCCTAATGTGTCCATCTGGCAGACAGCCCACCGGAACCTTCTGTATGTCAATATAGCATAGTTGTAATAAGAGATGAGAGACCTACATTCCGCGAGAGCCTTCCATTAGGGTAGTCTCAATCTCCCGCCTAATCTCAGCATCCTTTTGCCATTTTATTAATTCCTTGTCATCAGACAACCTCTGGCAAATGTAAGTTTGAATATCCTTGTCTACTACTTGGGGTTCGAGGTAGATGATACAGTCTCTATTTATGATGTCCTTTAGCGAGCTCTCGATGTCGCGCTCTTTCCGACTTGTAACCAGGACGCGCATATCCTCGAGCTGCCATTCGGCCATCTGTTCGAGGATTCTCGCCAACTCAGCTCGGTTCGCGCACTCATCCAAAGCATCTAGAATCAGATACGACTGTGGAAACTCTTGAAGCATATGCTGGAGAACATTCATAAGTGCATCGAGGGAAGGTTGTCGATTTCCCTTATCTGAGGATGAGTATAGTGCCTCGAGCGCCAACGGCATTTTGATGCATTGTTCCGAGAGTTGAGAGATCAGCGACCGTACCATAAGCTCAGTTTTCTGCTTATTTGCATCGGTGAAGTCGAAGTAGAAGTACGCAACTACTTTACCAGGATCGTTGGCACAGTAAAGAAAAATGTCCTCAGTGACCGTTGAAGTAAGGATAGTTTTGCCGCAGCCAGGGATGCCATACAGCCAGACAAAGGATGACGCATTTCTCTTCCACTTAGAATATACTTCACTCTCCAAAAGCCAAAGACCAGTGTCAGACTGACGGAGTTTGATTGCTTTCCGGTAATTGATTGACGGATCGGGTGGAGATAGCCATCGACGAATCTCAACAAGTTTTGTATCTATGAGTACCCGTTAGCTATAGCCCTTGATTTATCCTGAGATGCACACCTTTCATTGGCTGCAACGTCGAAGACGCAGCGGCGTGGTAGAATGTAAGGGTTGCGATATAACCACGGAGAGTCTTCGTAATGCCTTCAGCTTTGCTGTCCTGAGTTATGCTCCATAGCGCTTTTGTAGACTTCTTGAAGCGAGAGTCACCTGCCACTGGTAAGGTTTCGGCAAGGAGAGCATCGAGAGCTTCAATTTGAATCTTGCAACCTTGAACGGCTGGCAGCAACGCAGCCCTCGTTGAGTCTTCAACAGCACCATCATCGATTTTGCCTCTGGTTTGTTTGAGCGTCTCCTGCAGGACTGGCAGCTCGGCTTTAATGTGTCGAAAGGCCTTTGGAATCTCCCCGAGGCTGGATTGGAAGTCGTTGAGACGCGCTAGGACTTTCGTGCTAAAGTCGACAAGCTGGACGATGTTGGCAATGATGCCGACTATTGTGAGAGGATCAGCCATGGGAGAAGAATTTCCTATGGCCACTACTATAATGTAACCTGACTGGTATAACGGAAGGTTGCTGTGAAGGGAACGTATGGTTGAAATGCCAGAGCCTCGCGGTGCTTGCCAACAAATGACGATACCTGGTTGGATGTGACCGACACAACCCAACCTGACCACCAGAAATAGTCTTGCCGCCAAAGAAAAGACACAGGGGAAAACCACAGCATACTGTCTGTATTATCCAAGCCATCTTAATAGATAGGTTGCATAGAATTCTGGACAATTGACTGAAATTTACGATGTACTGTACAAATTGGAACCAAATTGGTAGAGTGTTCCATAAACCCATTCTCAGGCAGTAAGGGTGTTGTATCACATGACGGGTATTGAGGCAGGTGACGATCAATGCAACACTACTGTATGGCCAAAGTCATGTTCAGCAACATCAGCCTCGCAAGCCACAATCCTTAGCCACACATAGCCTTGCCAGATGATGACATAAGCGAGTTTACATCTAAGACGTGGGGGTCAACATGCACCTGGAGGTATTAACTTGCCCAGCAACCATCCATGAATTTGCGCCTTGCGGCAGCCACACGGCAAATGACAATCTCCCGCATGATTGTGAGACCCTGATCCCACGTACAATCCCGTTACATGTTTTGGGAATAGTAAGAGCTGAATGGATGGACCTGTGGTAGAGGAACTCTGTTTCGCTATAAAGGCAGGCCCTCCGCAAATCAGGCATTAGGGCAACAATGCAGACATAATTCTCTAGATGGAGGGGTGTGGGGTGTTCTGGGTAGCTATAGAATACAATTTATGCAAAAATATAGGAAATATTGATAAGTGTATAGAATACGAGATGCCAAAAGTCGAAGTATCTATCATTTTTTCCCGCACGGAGGGTTTTCCGCCACCTAGGGATGGACATTACTCCCTAGCATTTAATTTAGGTGGAGTCTCAGGTGGCGCATCTTTTGCTAGCTGTGCATGCCTCAAATGTTCTCCGATGCACTTGTTCTCATCTACTAGTAGACTTTTGTATATCTGCTTAACTACAGCTACGAGCTGCTATGATCAATATGATGTCCCCTGGCGAGATCTTCGCTTTGTAGGCTATCTTCCCGTCCAAATAACGTTCATACCTGGGGCGAGCTTTTTCCAACATGCTGCGATTAAACCACCATGCCACCAGGAGATATTGTTTGCCACTAGGATGCATCCGACACTCCAAGACCCTGCCGGGTTCGTTATGCGGCTCACCATTCTCGTCACTGACGGTAGTAATCATAACGTCGTCGACGACAGGCTATTGAGAAGCGGTACCTGGTCAGCACGTTCTCGACCTCAAAATCGAACCCTTAGGCCTTTCACATAATTTTAGTCGCTAGTAAGGCGGCTTCAATACCAACCACTTAATCAGCCTCAGCGTTCTTCTGGAACTTGTACCGCAGCACGCGACAGCACGCGACCGCGTGCTGTCGCGTGCTCCGAACCTCTCCTACAACTCTCGGTCGTGCTCTCCTTCACCACACTCTCCTCCACGGCACTCTATACACGATCTCTTGGTAAGACGAAAGCATCTCGAACCTGCCCCCATTGCGGGAAGCTCTCCGGCTCCGGACATTACCGAATAATAAGTTTACGACCGGATATGACGACGCTGCATCATAGGGCATGACGCCTAAGCATACAGAAAGCGTATGGACCTCATTGTGTCTATTTAAGGCGGGCGAGGCAGTTTGAGGTTACAGTACATTGTAGGTCGAGAGATTGAAACAAAGGAGGCAGTTCATGGGTTCTCAAAGATGAGGTTCATCGACCATCGGCTGGTACGTACCATAGGGTAAGGGATAATTAGGACTTAGTGCAGTGGCTGGCTCGGAGGGATGTCAGGCAGAGCAGGAATTTCAAGCCATTTCTAGGTACAGTAGTTCGTATTGTAAACCTATTCTCTCTATAGCTAGCCACTTGAGGATTTCAGTAGTTTAGGTACGGCTTCTGGCATCTACTCTTGGCTGTTGGCAATAATTGGAAGCGATAGCTACATTTGAATGCGATGTCGTTAGTGGAGTAGAATATGCAGGTACCAACGTGCGTGCGTGCGCCACTTTTGTTACGCTGCTTGTGTTGTTCGTCAACAACAGACCTTTCAAGATTATTATACTTTCTCAGTTCTTTCATGGAAATTACCTCAACCGGTAGGCCTGCGATACACAGCGAGAAAGCAAGTGGGAACATGAATATCACAAAATCGGGCAAGTGAGCGATATTATATATTATGTCTCATGCGGTTGTGTCAATGCTACAGTTAAAAAGCCTCCAAGACGCCTCTTCTTGCGTACTCAGGTGATTGGTGAAGTGCGAACTGCTCCTCTGAGGAGGCCACGCGAACGAGCGGCTCAAAAGGTATAATTTTGCGAATAGCCACGACAAGCACTCTCCAGATCTCACACGGACCACCCTCCACAGCTTCGTTGACACCCTCCCAAGTCAAGTACACATTAGCTGCTCCACCTGGCTGAGCGACTAGCATTTGGTTGAGGGTTCCCGTCATCTGTGAATAGTCTAACCAAAGATGCGGTGCCGGTCCGGTAATGGACTGGGCAACATTGCAGCGCTCGGAGAACCGAATTTTACCCGAGAAGATTCCCAGCACGTCGCCTGGGTCTATGGGGACAACAGGGAACACACTAACCAGCTTGGAAATGCCAGGTTGGATTGATATAAAGAATGACCTATTCGTCCCCGATTCTATGTATGCGTCTTTTGTAAGTAGTTTCGGGGTACTCTCAGCTGATGTCGCTGCGCAGTTTCTGGTAAGCTTCCAGGCCTCTTCTTCGTCATAGCAGTGCCATACATTAGACCCATTATCCCAGTTTGATTCTGATATGGTCAGTTGTTCGGTGACCTGTAGTCGGTCCAGCCAGCCCGAGTAGTTACCTTGGGCGTGGGCTATCGCCCGGAGCTCAATCTGTTTGATATGGTTCGAGTATACCGCTTCCCAGGACACGATGATATTGATCAGTTCCCGATAAGACTGCTTCCTTCTGGGGAAATCCTTGCAAAACTTATTGAACCTAGGGTTTCGGTAGAGCAGGATGCATACCACACCAGCATTTTTCATATCCGACAGATCCTTCCACCAGACGCGCCACCTGCGCTGCGTCTCTTCACTTGTCTGTTCTGTCCCATTTCCGGTCAGCTGAATGAATTCAAATGCTGCAACCTTTTCCTGCGAGGTTAATCCATCATGTGGTCCTGTAGAGATAGACATAGGGCCAAGAGTCGCCGCGTATTTCTCGATTATTTCCCAATAGCAGGCTTCCTCCCATGTTTTTTGGAGGCCAATGCCGACACTACCAGCACCCGATTTTGCTATCATGTCAGTGGCATCCTTGAATGGTAGCTCCATTAGTTTGGTGTACTCTCGAATTTTGACGGTGTTTGTGGTGGTCGTTAGGTTTACCGATTTGAAGCCAAACTTGCCTGCCTGGATCCTTACCTTCGCGGTCGTCAGCAGCACGGAGGTCATAATGTCGACAGCATCTTCGGGCCGCAGTATCTCTGACATACCGCCTTCTAGGGATTGAGTAGTTTGACAACTTGGACCGGCTCGCACTAAGGACTCAGTGGTCTCAGTCGGTGGTATTAGAGCGCTCTGAGCTTGTGGTAACGCGCTTTCCCCCACGCCCGCTGTAGAAACGGCTGGAGCCAAGTTCTTGATTGAGGCAGTGATGGACGGTAATTTTGAACTAGAACCCCCACTCTGTGCTCCAAGTTTTGGCTTCTTTTTATGCCGTCCATCCATACCCCCACCCTGTGCTCCACGTTTTCGCTTCTTTTTATGCCGTCCATCCATACCACTAAAGTTCTCGACAACACCAGATGTTCCACGCAACGAATGTCGAGACGGTGCCGGAGTGGGAGGCCGAGGCGGAGGCGGAGGAGAGGCAGGAGGAGGGGAAGGAGAGGAAGGAGGAGGCGAAGGAAGGGGCGATTGTGCTATTGAAGGGACTATAGTTTTCGTGATAACGTCGCTCATGTCGTCGTCGGCGTCGATGATCACCGGGCAGTTAGCAAAATCACCTGGCCTTCCCAGCCGGATTCGATGCGAACGTGCTGAATACAATTAGATTGAACGTAACAGGTCCACCGCTGTAGCTCACTAAATTTGAAAAACATAACCATCTCCTGCTCCAGGGTAGCCTCATCGGCATCAGCTATGCCATTCTCCGCAAGTATAGCGCGGAACATGCTCCGCGTATGATCAGTAATTCCGGTGGCTAGAGACCCAGTGTTACCTACTATTGAGGCCATTTCAACCAGGTATAAGAAGTGGTTGTGATGGTGATCGCTCCAGAGTCAAGTGAATCCCTCTGTGACTGCGAGTGGACTTCGAACCTTCTAATCTATTTGGATGCAAAAGAATCACGTGCATAATCCCTGTCATTGTAACTCCACAACGAGTGTGGAATCGCTTAAGTGCGAGTGGACTTCGATACTTCTAAGTTATTTCTGGATGCAAATCAATCACGTGCATAATCCCTGTCATTGTAACTCCACAACGAGTGTGGAATCGCTTAAGTGCGAGTGGACTTCGATACTTCTAAGTTAATCTATTTCTGGATGCAAATCAATCACGTGCATAATCCCTGTCATTGTAACTCCACAACGAGTGTGGAATTATTTCGCTCAAGGGTAAGTTACTCACCTATCACGATACAACTGTGAATACCAATACCTACATACGTTCTTGGGGTAATCTTACAATATCAATAATTGCAGTAATGAACAGAATAATAAACAGGTTTGTATGACTCTCAACCTAGCTGAAATCTCCTATCCTATCCTATACAATCACCGCTGCGGCCGGCTTCATACCTCCATCAAATGTGAAACTATTGCAGCTATCCAGAGACGTCAGTCCGATATGCCTTCCTCAACAAAAAGACTTTGTCCTTTACATCCAGCGGCTGCCCCTGGGCTCGTCTTTAACGTCACCATCCCATGGATGAAGTCGTACTTTTCGTCAACTCCTTGCTTCTCTGCCAGTATGCTATCAACAGAGTCGTTATCATCTACGATTTGAGAGGAGGCAGCGTCTTTAACAAATTGAACGTCTCTTACTGTCTCATCTCCTGAGCATTTGGATCGTAATCAAGCTCGCGCTCCTCGTCGCGACGCCTTCCACTATGAGTCCCGGCCCCAGGGTCGCTTGTGACAGCAGGTGCATAGTCAAAGGGCCTCTTTCCCTTGTTGGTGGCCGGAGACGAGCTTGCACCGTCAGAATGGGCCTCTCGCTGATGCGCCACAAAACTCTCGTGACAATCAAAACTCCGTCTGCAAAGTATGCAGTGAATTTCTTGGGAAGGACCACCATAGATCTGACGAATTATACGGCTACGTGGGGGTCCACTGAAGCGCTTCCGAAGTTGAGTCTCTGTCCCAGACCGAATAATCCAGCGAGCCGGGAGACCCGCAATCCGATCTCTGTTGGCAATCACGAACCGGGAATTTCGAGAATTTAGAACTTTGCGAATGTTATACTTTCTGTATTGGTACTCCGGATACTTTAGAGCAAGCCATTCGTGAATTTCAGCAACGGTCATTCGCGGATTTCCTGAGTTCAACAAACACGTTGCGATCAAATGGATGCCCTGTCCAGATTCCACGGGTAATGCTCTAGTAGTTTGAAGCGATTTATGCATACTTTTGAGCTGGACAGAATTCATAGTTTGAAATGATGCTTTGGGAAGGTTGGTAATGATGCAATATTGAAGTTGCAAGGTGGGACTTTGTTAGCGATCTGCAATGGCGACAATGTGACCCGATTCAAGGAGAGAAGTGTATGTACGATGATCTTGTACTGTAGTATATAAGGTGCCAGGTTTCCTGTACCTGCTACAGCGATCCACTTTTTGGCTCATTACTCAAGTCAGGATGTACATAATCGACGTCATTGGTGATCATCCAGTTTTGACCCCTGTGGAGTTTGTGGCTGCATCAACCCGCATCAACCCTGTAATAAGCTAGCGCAGCGTCAAAATTGACGACAAGGAAAATCAACCCACCTCCAAAATTGATCCCTCGAACAAAGCGAAGAAAGGATAGAATACCGCTCCAGCCAGTTGTGACTCTATGACTATGAAATGGTAAATAAGAGCAACCAAGCAGCAAGGCAGTTTTTGTCATGCCAAAACTAGAGCGCTTTTGCCCCTCAAATTCTTGCTGGTAGCGTTCTCGCATCCTTCAAGGGTCTGTTTTCAACCCTCTATTGATGTAGCAATGCGACTTTTGGCTTCTTACGTGTAACTGGTAAAGCGAATTCTGGAGAAGACATACAAAAGGCAATAACTAACTGGAAAATAGTGAGCATTCATCTATCCGGGCTACAGCGATACACTTTTACGTTCAGGCTCAAACTCTACGCGATCGGGACGTCCGATTACTCTCTAACGTAGAAGAGAGGACATTAGCACGATGAATTACACGAGTTACTAGTACTGCCCTCCCAGCAACACCTGCGTTGGCCCAAATCAATATCCTACAATTAAAGGAACGAATTCTCGACAATTAGAGTCGTTGCGGCGGCATCAAGAGGCTACATATGAGAAGATATCGCAGCGGTTTGGCAGTTTGACGAAAAGAACCAGAACTCGAGAACGTGTATAACATAGATGAGACGGGATTTGTAGTGGGAACGACGCAATCGGAAATTTAGTGGAACACTCGGGAGCAGCCTATGTATGTGTGTGGCTCACGCCCGCGGGTCTTAGGCCCATTACGCTCGAAAGCCCCCCACACCTCTAGAGACCGCCGCTTGAGGGAGCCGAGCGCCTCCCACGCCCCGCGGTCTCCAGAGCAGGGAGACTCGGGAGATTGGCTGGATCTGGCGATTTCAGGGCCCCAGAGGCGGGAGACTCGGGAGATTGGCCTGATCTGGCGATCCCAGTTCTCCAGGGAGCCGAGTTGCTCCCACGCCCCGCGGTCTCCAGAGGCGGGAGACTCGGAAGATTGGCTGGATCTGGCGATTCCAGGTCTCCAGAGGCGGGAGTCTCGGGAGATTGGCCGGATCTGGCGATCATCCCAGGTCTCCAGAAATAGTGGGCTCTAGGGAGTGGCCGGAAGCGCAATGAAGGACATATTATTATATCCTGAAGGACCATTGGGAGCTCCTAGCCTCACTGCCTGGTTGATTTATTCGATTGCAGCTATGTAAGCCGTTCTAAACTGTTTCTCCATTTTCGTTCATAGTTATCTATAGATCTAATGACTCTGAACTTGTCAGACCTTTCCTAGCCTGCCCTTACTTCTATATACAGATTTTACTCGTCTACACTACGTATATTTAGATGGACTACCCGGAATTGCTCTAGGATAACCTTGGCTGCTTGATGAGCTGCAGAAAGCGTTCGTGTCGACGCATGAGGCCTACCTACCCACATCCGGTGTCGCTCGTTCTCTACATTCCAAGAGGATGTGTCGCACCGTCTGTCGCCGGTAACCGCATTGGCATCATCTATGTCGGCCTTGTTGATGGCCTAGAGGTAGGCGCGTTGCTGATCTTTCCTGTGTGATGACCGAGGTGATCGGCCTTTGTATACCAATATGTGTGGTGAGCCGGTAAGAGGTAGTGATTTGTCTATGTATTCCGTTATAGAGTAGGTACTATTGCAGCAGCACCAAAATGATAGTTAATGTCGCTTCACCACTGCACATGCATCATGTTGTTTGAGTGCTGCTTTTGGATATTTATCACTGCGGGTGAATGGCGCTATCCACCAAAGGTGCTACAATGTGCTGCTGGAGCTACTTCAGCCGACTAAGCTAGTAGCTGCAGTTGGAGCGCTAGAAATGACTCCTCGATGCAGTATAGCCGACCTAAGGACAGAGACTTGGAATGATATTTTTAGTGATGATCTTAGGTCTAATAAATGGCTCCCGGAACGTCCAAAACAGTCCCCCTGGTGTAATGTTTTAAATGTAACAAACGGCTCCTCGAAACCAATACTCGGCTCCAGTGTTGAATACTTGAGCTGGATTGCCCTTGCGTTTTTGGCTTAAGAACCGGCCGGAATTTCTGCAGCGCAGTTGCCCTAGGAAACATTAATGGATTGCAAGGACAAGTGTGATGGTGGATAGGCATAACTACTGGATAAGCTGGTTTTGGAAGCAACGGTAATGTCATATGTGCAATTTTATGCTTACCGGGACCCCTGCTGTATGCCATGGCCGCCGAAGAGTGCTTCCCTACATACCAGACAATTCTGATGCTGATATGGCCTTTCAAAGGTAAACTGCTGCAGCCACTAAGTGCCAGCAACATCCCAACTATGTTAAAATCTAGCCCTACAATTCTTAGAATTTGAGACACATCTTCAAAGTGTCAGCTGTCGAAATACTCTATCAAATAATGGGTAAAATACAGAAGCGACAAACCCAGAATGCATCTAGGAGGAAAATCTCTTTGATCAACAAGACATATGAGTATGGGAAGCTATATGGTGCAGATGTAGCTTTAATCATCTACCAGAATGGGCGATATACAACCTATAGATCTGTCAGCAAGCCCTGTTTTCCACCTTCGATGGAAGAAATTGTGAGTCCGCCCAAGATGTTAATAGGATTATGGTTAATTACAAGTTAGATGCTTTCATATCCAGTCCCTAATAATATATTGCCAAGTGATGTTGCTGAGAAATCTCAACGGAAACGGGAGCTAAAAAATCAGGAACAAGCGGGTAGTAAGGAGGAAAGCGTAGATACATAATATCGAGTATCGCTATCTACAAATCCGCAGACTTCAGTTAAACCTTCTGAACAAGGCTCATCGGGGCTTGGATCTCTGGGTGTACAACATGTATGTGCCTTTACTACCGCCAAAATTCAACACCCGATGATCTCGAGACGGAAGACATAACGAGCGCTATCAGTGTCTGCAACATCTCATACGCACTAGCGGGACTTCACTAGCTCCGTTGTTAGCATATCCGATGTGTAAAGGCAACTGAAGGGATAGATGTGGAGTGGAAGTGAAGACTGTTTAATTTTGCTAAGTAAAGTGGTCTATAAACCAACGGCTAAAACTACTAACGTGCATCCCTGCATCACGGGACGCACTCCGTGACGGGACAAACTATTAGTACTTTGAATTCAATTGATTCTATATTTGTGAGTCCATTGAAAATTCTAATATTTTTGTGTTAGTTGTGTTGTGTGATCACTCCTGAACAGTCCAAACCCCGGCTACTTTGAAATTTACGATCACGTTGTCGCTGTCGCGCCTGGTTGCGGAGGGCGTCAATTGGTAGTATAATAGGACTCCTCGACCTACAGCACCACCACGAGGTCTTCGCGCCTTTCAAACTCATAGAACTATTTGATCTGGGTTTCCGAGCCTTAACACGGTGCTAAAAAAGTATTATTAGCCTTGTGGTGACTAGGGAGTGCTATGTCATGCGACGTTAATACATGGGTGGGTACTTCCAATCAAACGATCAAGGATCCCTAGTCATTTGGTAATAGGGCTTAGTTACGCTTGGCACGCGCTATCACTTTTAACACCCGTGCCACTGCCACTAGCAGCTGCGGCACTTTCTTTCTACGAGAACAAGAACCTCTTTTCTCCATCTTTCCTTCGTTAATTCTTCTTGTAACACAAACGAGCATTTGCACTGCACCCTTTGCATTCGCCTGTGACACCAAAAGCAAGTAGATTTTACTAAGAATAGCAGCTACGTATAATATTTATTGAAACTCCAATGACGAAAACCTTCCCAGTGGAACATCCAATAGCAAGTGTGGAGCCTGTATACGAAATACTAGAGTTATGACCCCGGAAGCCAGGTGGTAACCAAAGAAGGTTCTCGTCGTTCCATACAACCCAATGCCCGCTAATACCTAATCCTTTACGGTCACTTTTGCCACCTACCTCTTGAGAGGATGTAGGCAAGGTTAGGAACCCAGTTGTATTTACCTTAAGACAACCAATGTTTGTGATCAAGATCGAGTTAGTAATATCAAATGATAGAGTCGAGATGTAGCAATTAACTTCGAGCGTCTGCTGCAGCGTGCCTGTAGCTGCGTCCCAGACCTTGACCGTGTTGTCATACGACGCTGACGCCAGCAGCTTCGAGTCGTGTGAGAAGGCGACAGAGATGACCCCGCTGCTGTGCCCCTCGAGCGTCTGCTGCAGCGTGCCTGTAGCCGCGTCCCAGACCTTGACCGTCTTGTCATACGACGCTGACGCCAGCAGCTTCGAGTCGTGTGAGAAGGCGACAGAGATGACCGCGCCGCTGTGCCCCTCGAGCGTCTGCTGTAGCGTGCCTGTAGCTGCGTCCCAGACCTTGACCGTGTTGTCATACGACGCTGACGCCAGCAGCTTCGAGTCGTGTAAGAAGGCGACAGAGCTGACCGCGCTGCTGTGCCCCTCGAGCGTCTGCTGCAGCGTGCCTGTAGCCGCGTCCCAGACCTTGACCGTGTTGTCATGCGACGCTGACGCCAGCAGCTTCGAGTCGTGTGAGAAGGCGACAGAGATGACCCCGCTGCTGTGCCCCTCGAGCGTCTGCTGCAGCGTGCCTGTAGCCGCGTCCCAGACCTTAACCATCTTGTCATCTGACGCTGACGCCAGCAGCTTCGAGTCGTGTGAGAAGGCGACAGAGCTGACCGGGCCGCTGTGCCCCTCGAGCGTCTGCTGTAGAGTGCCTGTAGCTGCGTCCCAGACCTTGACCGTCTTGTCATACGACGCTGACGCCAGCAGCTTCGAGTCGTGTGAGAAGGCGACAGAGATGACCCCGCTGCTGTGCCCCTCGAGCGTCTGCTGCAGCGTGCCTGTAGCCGCGTCCCAGACCTTGACCGCGTTGTTATGCGACGCTGACGCCAGCAGCTTCGAGTCGTGTGAGAAGGCGACAGAGATGACCCCGCTGCTGTGCCCCTCGAGCGTCTGCTGCAGCGTGCCTGTAGCCGCGTCCCAGACCTTGACCGTCTTGTCATACGAAGCTGACGCCAGCAGCTTCGAGTCGTGTGAGAAGGCGACAGAGATGACCGCGCCGCTGTGCCCCTCGAGCGTCTGCTGCAGCGTGCCTGTAGCCGCGTCCCAGACCTTAACCATCTTGTCATCTGACGCTGACGCCAGCAGCTTCGAGTCGTGTGAGAAGGCGACAGAGCTGACCGGGCCGCTGTGCCCCTCGAGCGTCCGCTGCAGCGTGCCTGTAGCCGCGTCCCAGACCTTGACCGTCTTGTCATGCGACGCTGACGCCAGCAGCTTCGAGTCGTGTGAGAAGGCGACGGAGCTGACCGCGCTGCTGTGCCCCTCGATCGTCTGCTGCAGCGTGCCTGTAGCCGCGTCCCAGACCTTGACCGTCTTGTCATACGACGCTGACGCTAGCAGCTTCGAGTCGTGTGAGAAGGCGACAGAGTTGACCGTGCTGCTGTGCCCCTCGAGCGTCTGCTGCAGCGTGCCTGTAGCCGCGTCCCACACCTTGACTGTGTTGTCATACGACGCTGACGCCAGCAGCTTCGAGTCGTGTGAGAAGGCGATAGAGCTGACCGCGTTGCTGTGCCCCTCGAGCGTCTGCAAAACGGCATTCCATTCCAGATCTGTATTTGGCTCCTGTACGATCCAATCAGGGATATAATTCTGGAATGTATTTCGAATAATGCTTTTCTTTGGGGCGAAGGTAAGTGCAGAGGAGTAGAGTTGGAGGGGCGACAAGTCAGCTATGGAGCAGTAGCTAAGGATAAAGCGCTTTGCATCGTGAAGGAATCTAGATATTTGGCTGCTTTTTATCGGCTTAAAAATTATATTTAGTAAATACTTGCAGTTGAGATTAGTGAGTGACATACTTCTATTATAGCCATTAAGTTGTCTACCATCCCAATGCTTCCTCGTAGCCTTCCAATAAAGCTTAATGATTCAAGCCAATGGAGAAAGTGACACTTGAGAAAATTGTGGACTTCGTCGTTATCGCATATAATGCTTCCGCTTTCCTTTAAGTGGTATACCCAATACTGGCAAGCATATTGAATGTCAGATGGTAGGTGAGAATCTATCGTTTGTTTATCGACATCTGCTCGTGGCCTTTCTGGTGTCCGAAGATTGCAAATATCTTTCTTGAGATTTTCGCTTGTAGATAGGAGTTTAAGGCATCGGGTCACTAACTTGTTATGGGCATTTTTCTCATCGACCCAGAAGGGGTTCGTCTCGCGCTTCTCAGTATCAACGAGAAAGTCCCGGAACGACAAATGGAGCAGTCGTATAGGGTGATCAGGACGAGAGGGGACGCTTAGAACGGAGTGGAGGAAATCTGTTCTGCTATCAACAGTACCTTCAGGGACTCCAAGTAGTCGATCGAGAGAAGTAGCGGAGAGAGGGCTAGCGAGAATGATGATCGAGCCGATGACTTGCCGGAATTCTTCTACTAGACCTCTTCTCTCTGAAATAGTAACCCCGACGAGTAGCTGGTCCAGGACTGGGAGATACGTTGCGTCAAGTTTAGATGCTTGGCTTCTAGTCTCATACTTTAGGACCTTAGCAAGCTGATCCTTTGGTTGGCCGCATTTTCGGTCATTGATGAACCGGCAGACGGTTGTAGCAAAAATGAACAACGGAATAGCCATTCCGACCAAGCTTTGAATAGTTGTGTGGCCTGGCCAATACGCGGGTAATTGCCTGTTTTAGGTGACTGATTTGTTATAATCTTCGCGGATCATTGCTAGCTGGTGTTCTAGGAATTTAGAGATGTCCTCCTTGATAATAGGTTCAGGAATTTGATGTAGAGCTAGTCCTTCATATTTACCGCTTATATCCTCAAAGCCGAGGCGAATCGGAAGCTCTGGCCTGCTTGTCAAAAAGAACTTGATTTGTATAGATGTTATGTGCTTCACTTGTGAGAATAGGCGAATTATAGTTCTGACGTCCTCTTCTCGGTCGCACTCGTCAAGGGCATCGATCACAATCACTATGCTTGAAGACTTCTGAGGATGGGTTCGTATTTTGCCTAACGGTTGCAAGACAAGTGTGTCAAATTGTTGCTTCAAAGCCTTCTTAGAGATTCCCGGGTCGGCTTCGATCGCATTCTGGACGTGCGGCGCCAAGGAAGGGAGTTTTTGGATGAGCTGAGTAGCAATCGTTGTAATAAACATTCCTGCGTGGCCACGGTCGCCTTCACCCCTCTTGAAGAAGAAGCTGGCGCCGAGGTCTCCCTTTTCGGCGAAGGTTTGGGCCACTGTGCGGGAGATTGTAGATTTGCCAGTGCCCGCCATACCGTTCAGCCAGAATATACGTTCGCTGCCTCGATTGCTAGCCCAGGTATCTATTTGTCGAAGTAGTTCCACTCGAGTGCCTTGGTAACATCTAGCATTGTGTTCTTCGTCGTGGGAGTCGAACTCGGCGTTGTTGGCGGACCGCAGTTTGTCAAGAACGATTTTTTGATGGATGTTAAGAATTTGTACCCTGTAAGCACCACTGTCAGCTTCTGCTATTCAAAATATGAACGACATCACGTACTCTTGGTCGACTTGGAGACTGAAAGATATGTTGTGCTTGCAATTTCCGAGTTTCTTCATAATTCCATCCACCTCCTTGCTCTTGAGTGGCCATCTTAAGGCGCGCATCCCATAACGACTCATCAATTTATTTGTTGTACGAGGCTCAAGTTTTGTCTCTAGCTGGTCGAGCTGCTTTTTGCAGTCCTTGACTGCCCCACTCAAGCTCTGGGATTCCTGGAGTTTCACACCATTTGGACCGTCCCACAGTGACTGGACCCTCTCAAGCGTTGCTTTCAACCCTTGGGTCTCCCGTTGAAGGCGTTCAATGTCGTCTCGGGCATTCTTAACATTGGCGTAGTACTCAGAGCACCATGAAGCAACCTTTGCGGATAAATCGATAACTGTGATAACGCTTGAGGCAAGTCCGAGAACTTCTGCCATTATCGCGATGAGGCAGATGAAGAGAGGGTGTCGCAGACATCTTTGTTCGTACAGCTGAGGTTCGTGTTGGGACAAGGCTGCCGGTGTGGGTGGCCTAAGGACTAAATCTAAAAACAGACCACGGTTCGTAGTGGCTGAGAAAAACAAAGCCAGTCCCCTGCGACAAGTATTCGTATTCATCCAAACAGCCCTAATGAGCCACAGTCCAGGTCAGCCACAGGCCTTGGTCAGCCACAGCCTTGCCAAGTCTGACGTAAGCGAATATATCATAGAAACGTGGGAGGTATTAATCTGCGGGGTGACCATTGCGCCGTACAGCCGCCACAAGGCTACTGACGATCTCCCTCATCGTAGTGGGGCCTCAAAGCTTAGATAAGGACTCTCTTATGGGTATTAGGAGTGATAAGAGTTCGTGGTGATGCTGTAGCTCGAGGGGTTCTATTATACTTCGAATTGACGCCCTCTGCAATCAGGCGCGACAGCGACGACGTGATGGTAAATTTCAGAGTAGCTGGGGTTTGGACTGTTGTGGAGTGGTCACGCAACACGACTGACACAAAAATACTGGAATTTTCAATGGACTCTCAAATTTAGAATCAATTGAATTCAAAGTAACGTACCAATAGTTTGTCCCGTCACGGGGTGCGTCCCGTGATGCAGGGATGCACGTTATATAACAAAATAACAATCGTCCACCCCCTTCCCATCTCCCTCCTCCCCCGAATCGAAACGCTGGAGACGGAGCTGCGCCGTAACAAGCGTAGACCCCCCCTCAACTCGACTCGATTCCACTCCACCTTCTTGCACCATTCGATTAACAGTAATTCTCTGCATATAAACTGTAGATGCTCAGTTCTTGCGAATTACCATTCTGACAAAGATCTTTGATACACTTAAAAAATGCTCGGCGGTTCTTCTGCGGTTGCCGACAGTCACCTGGGTGTCCCCAAATAGTATAGGGTCCGAGTGTTGCTGCATCCTGGATTTTGAACCCACAATATATAATTGGTATCATCCTAAATGCCATGACAATATCGAGATGAGTTACCGCGTGTTTCAAGATTCCTATGCATGCCTCAATACTAATATATTAGATATTTCAAAGATAAATATAGATTGGATATACTTACTGTTGGGCGCCCTCGCTAATAAACCATGCCTGCAACAAAGGACGGGTAAAATCATCCTCCTCTATACATGCAAAGCAGAGCGACCATGTTTCATTAGTGAGATAACTTGTGAGATCATCGTCAGTCGTCACTTCAAATATAAGACCTCTGAAGGCCTTAAAGACCTTAAATGTACAATTTTTATCGCTGGCTAGACGTTCGATTTGCTCTTCAAGTTTTTGCTTTAAGATAGGTTAGTATATAAACTCTAATCAGGATCAATAGATTTACCTTGAGCTTGTCAAACCGTGAGTCGTATGCAGCAACGTCTAGATACTCTCTAGCCCGTACACTATACCTATATGCCATTTTTTGTTCTACTTGTTGATTTCGATCCTTGCTCATAGCAAACAGGTGCAGGCCCCAGTTCGCTATATTTGAATCGGTGAACGCTTGCCTCGCAGAAATAAGAATAACGCATTCAGGAACTGACAGACTCTGCGTCACCTGCCAGAATATAGGGCTTATTTTTCTCGTCAATAATTGAGCACTTTCTTGCGAATACCCCTTAAGCAGGACATCGGGATCGAAAAATGGAAGAAATATATCGGAAATTGCTTGGGAAACTAGCGTTTGGTCTGGCGTGGGTTCCTATTAGATCACTAATTAGAACATGGGCTTTCGCGAGTGGTTTCTCTGTACTCACCATGCTGTCTCTAGGTTAGAGATGGGGTTTGCGAGAGGGCCGACTTTGTGGATATGGCGTTTCTTATATACATGCTGCAGAATTCTAGAGGCAACAAGGGAGGTACTAACGTGCTGTCCTCAATTGGATAACAGCATTGAACCATCATGAATTAATACATTGTACGCAGTCCTAAAAGTTCACGAATATTCATGAACCACTTCAACATTATTAAGGCACGGTTTACGAAAGTTCGCGAATATTCACGATTCAATACATTGTAATTGGTCCTAAAAGTTGATCCCTACAAATTAACTAACTCTAATTGTGTATAAATGCCTACCATGTCAAACAGACAGAAGGTGGTTAACCCATTCATTGCTCATGTTACGCGTAATTGTGTTTGCTTGCGTTTGGACTCCGCATGAAGGATCCAATGAGAACGACAATAGATCTTTACCAAATACGGGTTGCTTGGCATCCCATGGGATGCCAAGCAACCCGTATTTGGTTACTTGGTTACTGTGGTTGTCAGCCTCTCCAACCGGGTCACAGGCCCCAAACAATGCCAACAAAAGCAAAAGCAAACGCAAATATTGGCGTGGTGGACAGGTCGAGGCTGCCAGTAATGGAATTCCGAATCGATAGGTATATCCTGCAGTTTCCCAGAGAATCAGTGCACTCCAATGCGTGAGTCAGAGACTTGCGATATCAGTGTTGCCCTGTTATTTCAGTACAGTGTCAATTCAGTGGATGCGTTGGATATGACTTGTGTTGGAAAGAATTCAACAGTTGGCAATTATCGATACTCACTCTGCCTCGGGGCTCATAGAGATATATATACGTAGGCATTGACCACCCATAAACTCAGAAGACTTTTGATATTGTCAACACGTTCCCGCCTTGCACAACCAGCTCCTGTTGTTTACGAAGCCAGGATTTTAGCCGCCATCTATAAAATTCGTCCTTTAGAACCACTACTCTATTGAAGCGTCGCCATGCCTTGTGGCTGCCAGCGACGTATTGTACGTACTACATACAAAAATTGCACCGCGCCTATAAAGCATGTGAAAGAGGTGACATCATTTTTTACGTGCTCGGAAAAGGAGCATACGGGGTTTGTCGACACCTACCTGGCTTCCTCTATGGTCAAGGTACCAGGACATATCTGCCCTAAGTGTTGAGTATGAAACGCAAAACCATAGAAAACGACCTTTCTAATGCTGAGTAGTGCCTCGAAATGAGAGAACTCTTTAGCAAGAGCAGCAAGTTCTGAGTGTAACCATTTGTTGGGGGCAGAATTTCAAAGTCATGTGACAGAGACATTGTGGCAATGGGGACCGAATTTATATTCTACTTGTCAGGGAGCTTCCCTATCCGCTCTTTAATAAAACCTTTGATTTGCGCATTGTTCGTTACCGCTCATTATGTGCCCCTGTCTATGCCGAGGCAGCTCTTTCCTTTTCTGAGACGTTTGAGTAGCTTGTACTGTCGTATTATTACACTCGGTAAAGAGTTGTCCACAAACGTCGCATGCAGATAATGTGACTTGTTTTTTTCCTCAGACATCCGTCACATTTCGTACCCCATAAATTGGCCCACCACCCACCATAGATCAATAAAGGAATCTCACAAGATCAATCCAATAATTTCATCATTTTTACTTGCCTCACTATACTTGCCTCACTATGTCTAACGATGAATCGGAAGTCCATATATATTACCAGTACTGCCCACCGGGCGTACGACGAGTAATTGCGTCAGGTACCAGTGCCTGGATTGGTGAAGTGGATGAATCCACAGTTCTCAAGTATCCCCTCACTCTCGGTGGGGACATGAGCCGCCTCAAACTGGAATATGAAATTCTTCGCAAAGTTGCCAAACACCCTCGGATTATCGGACTCAAGTACCTTACAGCAGATGGGCTATACCTAGAGCGCGCTGCGAACGGAACATTGCATGATTACATAGTTGAATCGAATCATCCACCTGCCTCTCTTCAACAGCGATTAGCCTGGTGTCGAGAGGCCGCTGAAGCGGTTGCCCATGTCCACTCGAAGCGGGTCATTCACTGCGACATTCAACCTACAAATTTTCTCCTCGATGAAAATCTTCACTTGAAGCTCTCGGACTTCCAAGGAAATTATATATCCGAAACTGGCAATATCATTTTGGAAGGTGGAAGTGCCGAACCGTGCAGATTTTTCTGCCCTCGAAACGACCCGTTCCAAGCTGACATCAAGACGGATCTTTTCGCACTCGGTTGTACTATATATTTCATCATGATGGGCCACTGCGTCTTTCCTGATATTGTCGATGGAGAGGAGGGATGGGATGACAGAGTCCGAAGCCGTTTTGAAAATGCCCAGTTCCCGCAGGACTCTCAAATCTGCAGTGCCATTACTTCCAAGTGCTGGGAACTGAAGTACGGCTCTGCAATGGAGCTTCTACAGGATGTAGAAGCAATTGAACGTAAGATCTGAAAGAAACTCAGATCCAACCGGCGCCACGTTCCTCGGGGATATGTTGAGTGGGTGTCGCATGGCTGACTATTTCGATGTCGAGTCCAGAGGAGGCGAGAAGCTGAGGATTTGTTTAGTCAACGTTTGACGGATTTATGGATCTGCCCTTACCTGGTGAGAATAAAAAGGTTCTACCCACGGCCTTTGCGTGGAGATGTAATAGAGGATATCCCAGATAAACTTGAAACGCAAGAAACATTACTACGAAGCATGATAGGCGAAATGACGTCAGCCAAAGGTTGTGGACAACGTGTGCTTTGGGCTTGGTAATAGACAAGAGCAACGGTGACTTCCAGTAGCCGCTTGGACAGGAATCCTATCGAGTACCTTGAAGCTTTGAGTTGTTACAGGCACAAATCTGAGAGCGGAAGGTGACACCCAGGTCCTGTGTGCAATATTTGAATTTGCACCTGAAAGTATTGGAGCCTAAGTATTGGAGCCTAAAACCACTGACGGAGCAAGTCACATGGCATTGAGCCCCACCGCTTCCAAAGTCGCGTGAACTATATCTCCATAATTCTGTAAGGGAATAGGCTGAGTGTCGACAAAAGGAGAAAGATCAAGGCTACTCTTCTACAGAATTTCTGCCCAAGCACCAAAGGCCAAGTGATTCAGATAAATATAAATGGCTATAGTTAACATATTCTTGGGAAATTGCTGTCTGGATATTCGCTAAACCATCGCTTGGTTCACGTAATCTAGCCGAGCCGTAGGCTGTGTCTGATATCGTCAGAAATTCCGACCCCGCCAGAATCGACCTTCCGCAACACGACTTACAACTACCGAATATCATGGTTGCTGCTCTTGAACACCTCAAAGTCACAGACTTAACCAAGGAGGAACAAGATGCTGCTGCAGAGTGCGAGAGGCAGCTTGCTAATTTGAAATTTATACCATCGAACAATGGCTACGACTTCTGCGACGATCCAAGACTGGGAAATGCATCGGAAGCATTTTATAAAACATTTAATCCGTGGTTAAAGGTACATTCCATCAAAAAGAACCATAAGCTCAGAGCTAATCTGTGCCTCTATCTAGATGGGTGGTAAAAATATCATCTTCCAAGCCTTCCGATTCAATAAGTCTGCAATACTACCAGTGTCAGGGCTGGCACTCTTCATACCTACTATCACCACTGGAAATCCCACCATATCAGACCAAGAACTAAAAGTTGGGACTTATGTGCAACTCACTGAGGATGTGCTTGTTAAATCTGGAGTTTATTGCCTCGCATTTCGAAGCAACTAGTGATGAGGTCTAGCATGTGATGGGTTGGGACCATTGATTTATGGTGGCATTACGAGTGCTATCCTGCGGATTGTTCATGCCGTTGATCCAGTCGTCGATCTGGCCCGGAGGAGGAATATTGTGGCCGCTGTTGATTAAGTCGTCGATCTGATCCGGGGGAAGGGATAACACATGGCCCTGGTTCCAACCAGTGAGAGTGTTATCCTGATTATCCATGTTGCTGATCAAGTCATCGATCTGATCCGGAGGGGACAACACATAGCCCTGGTTCCAACCATTGAGAGTGTTACCCTGATTATCCATGTTGTTGATCAAGTCATCGATCTGATCCGGAGGGGACAGCACATGGCCCTGGTTCCAACCATTGAGAATGTTATCCTGATTATCCATATTGTTGATCAAGTCATCGATCTGATCCGGAGGGGACAGCACATGGCCCTGGTTCCAACCATTGAGAGTGTTATCCTGATTATCCATGTTGTTGATCAAGTCATCGATCTGATCCGGAGGGGACAACACATAGCCCTGGTTCCAACCATTGAGAGTGTTACCCTGATTATCCATGTTGTTGATCAAGTCATCGATCTGATCCGGAGGGGACAGCACATGGCCCTGGTTCCAACCATTGAGAGTGTTATCCTGGTTATCCATGTTATTGATCAAGTCATCGATCTGATCCGGAGGGGACAGCACATGGCCCTGGTTCCAACCATTAAGATTATTGTTTTCTGTAGGTAGTTATTAGCTATATTATCATACACCCCGTAGTTTGACTAACCTGGCTGGCGATATACTTGACTTGATTCCTTTTGTCCAGAGGGCTCTACCCAGGTTTTACTGGCCTTCTGGCTCTGTGAAAGCAGGCTCCACTGGCTTAATGGATTTGAACTCTGAAGCAACCTATTGACAGCGCTATCATATGAGGTGACATAACCAACACAGCTATTACCGGCCCTTGAATCCGATCCGGACATCTGTGTTTCACGAGAGACTCCATTGGATTGAAAACTTGCGAGGTTTCCAACCTCGGATCTGGGCGCTGATCCATCGAATGGCATGTGCGACTCCCATGTAGTCAAAGAAGTTGGCCCCAGTGTCGACGAGCTTTCAGCCGGGATTTGGTCCACCTCATGCTCTACTACTGTCAACAGAGCCTGCATCAAAGTACCATTGTGTCCCTGCTCATTCACTTCAGCACGCTCGTCGTTAGTTGCACTACACGCTGTAGTTGCTTTCAATCGTTTCCTCCCGAGCTGAGGATTACTAGATCCCCGCTTTTGAGACGTCTTTGTGGAGTTGGTAGTATTTCGGTCAACTTGAATGTATTGAGGATTTGGGGCGGGCGCTGTGGCTTTCTTTTGGCTGTGGCGCTGGCGCCTAGGCTTCGTGTGTTTTCCCTGGACATTGTCATTCATCCATACGATTTCAGGCATCACTGGTAGGCCTGAGACGTTAGCAAATATTATCGAGTGCATGACGTAGTACTTACGACTGTCATAATACGCAAGAATTTTCTCTCCCAGTTCATTATATTTACTTCCTATGGTGACTATCCCTTTCTCAATCAGATAATCCATTGCTCTATCAAATCGAGAACCCGTTGAGGGAAGCCATTTCTCCCATCTAACTGATCGTGAGCATTGCGATCTCGATCTATAGATAATACTCACATATTGTTTGGAATGGCATCTCCAAGTAGAAACAGGCTGCCAAGGCACAGCCTCTTTCCAATGCTGTCATACCTCGGGCCGGCCTGTATCAAGGTTTCAATAGTATTGCTGAGATCTTGCATGTTGTTGCCATCTTCCGGAGGGTCGTCGCCATCTTCAGGAGGATGGATAAGAGGGAACAGTGCGCTTGCAATTGTTTTGGCATCGTCATTTCGAGCCTGCCGTTCTCGTTGCCTATAAAGTGCCACAGACTGGAATCTGCGCAGGATACAGGAATGCGCATCCGATTGTTGAAGCTGTAAGCTTTCAAAGATAATCTCATATGCTGGATTTTTTCTACTATAAACCAGCTGTTTTTGTAGTTGCGTAAATGAACTTGGCTGCGCAGCCCATTTTTTTATATTGAGCTTCAGAAGCGTTCGCGTGTGATATTCAGTGGGGTCGAATTCGAAAATTTTAGCTATCCGTTGCTCACCCTCCGGAGGTTTCGGATTGAGCTTTCTCTTGTTCAATGTAAATGGGAGCTGGGAGGCTAAACGTTCGTTTGTTGATAAGAGCCTATCAGCTGCCCTAAAAATTCACCCAGAGATTCGACCCACTGTGTAATTCCATCGAAGTCTTCTCTGCATACCTCTTCAAGTGGTTGTTGTTGTTGAAGTGCTGAGCACAAACACATATTTACGTTGTCGTAATGAAGTGGAAATCGTGCAATCGCGAGAGAATTTGGAGCAACTGTTGATGTAGCAGATCTTACCAAATACAGGTTTCTTGGCATCCCATGGGATGCCAAGAAACCCGTATTTGGTTACTGCAGTCAGGCGACTAGATCCGGAATGCGAACGTCGGAAGCCACCCTTGGCCGCAAAAGGAAACACTCAACACATTCATCACCTGTAGTCGTCATGTCTCAGCCTTTGTATACAAAGGATAGAGAACTTCGCAGCTCATTTTGTCGTTGTGTTAGCTATTGTTCCCCATCTCAGGCTTGTATGCTTGTCTCCGCCCAGGTATTGGAAGGGTATTGGAGTCCTCCATTTAACTTCAGGTAAGGCACAAATCAGAAGATCCCATCCGCATAGGGTGATCAGATATATTGCGACGAGGGAACTGAATGTGAGGTCCCCAACCCAAGGTATGAAGACAGGACGACTTTGCATGCCGTTCCAGTCATTCTTAAAGACATCCGCTCTCCATATAAGAAGCTGCTGAGGAACGAGGCTGCCACCTCCTGAAGTTCTCATCTCATTCCTTTCAATCACACACATTCACTCTACACCGGTCACACTTGACGCTTTTCTTTGCTCTCACCGAGTGTGCACTCTCTTGTTACTTTGTGCTTCGTTCATCTGCAGCAGTCTCCAAACGGCCATTGATTCTTCTGATTCGCTCCTCTCACCATGGACTTCCGTTCAGCATTGATTTACATCTCCAACCGACGAGAGGAAGCTCGGGCCGCACATTCAAGAAAACTGGCTATATTGATGACAAACAGGGATTGGGGTTGCTTTATCCAATTGTGCCCCAAAGACTTCCTGTCATACTCGAGAAGAGTATATGAAATGGACTCACGGTGGATACGCCTCGCTGAGGATGTTACAGCTTGTGCCATTGCTGGCTTATCTGAGCCAATTAGTGGCGTTGCCCAGGTACAGTTGGATATTACCTATGTCATCTGATTTTTTACTGACTGATTTTCAACAGGAGTTGCAGCATCTTCGAACTACTTCTCGTTCACAGCTATGCTTCAGGTCTTCAAAAGCCGGGTGCTTTCCGAAAACCTATCGACCTTCGGGGATTCATTGAGCCAGATAAAAATTATCAACTTTGCCGGGCTGCACATCTGAAGAACCCAGGGCTTCCTTTTTTACACCCTCACGTCATGAACTACGCCTTCAAATGGCAATGGAAAGCCGACAGGGCATTGAAACAGGAAAAATATTACAGGAGCTTTTCCAGTTTGTGGCATATCGCAGATGGACTGACTACCATTCTGTGGATGAAAGTCTTCCAGACTGGTCGCCTCTGGTGACCTGGAACGCATTCACTTTACTAGTTTCTTTTCTCAGTACACCATGGCGTTGGGCCAGTAACACAATCTGGCTGGAAAGAGCGCCTTTGCCAGACATTGAGAGAAGCGCTGAAATACCAACGAGGCCAATGTCAAGTCGGGGAGACGACGAAGAAATGGTATGCTAGTTTCTCAATCTATCTCTTTTATCAACTAACATGGGAAGCAGGGTGTATCCAGTATATACCGACAAAATGGGTCTCAGCTCCCAGAGCAATTCTCTCAGAATTTATTGGAGGAGCCACTTGACGACGAAATAATGTCGCAATACTCAACGGATGGCACTGCACTCCTTGAACTGGGATTTGATGAAACGCGATATACGTTTATACTACTATCAAACCTAGAACACAGTGAGATAGTCAAAGTGGTTCTCCCGATACTCTCCAAAATGTCATTCAACTTCTACATGTGCCCTATGCGCAAGAACTACCGGATGAGTCTTGGGAGATGGTTTCACAAACGTCCAATCTCACATCTGTACTGGACAAACTCAGGGAGACGTTTCCTACTTCTTGTATCAATCCACACTATGATCCATACATACCTACTGAGGATGAAATACTCAAGCATGGACTTGACGTGGCAAGAACCCTACGTTATGTCTGCTTCCAGGGAAGGTTAGCAGATGCAGGGCGGCGGGGTCACTGGCATGATCAATCTTCTATGGAGAAAATCCAGCATCGTTTCTGCTCAAGTTGTTCAACTATCTTCCCAGTGCGCCATTTACTAATCTAAGAGTTGCGCAGGATGTTTATTGCCAGTCTCTCGAGTCCCAAGCCGCATTCCATGGCCTCCTCATTTTTCGACTCCGAGGATGCGGAGCAAGTGGTTTGGTCTCTGATGATTCTGGTTGAAATTGTCAGTTTCCATAGCTCAATAGGGAGAGGAAATATACCAAGTGCGCTTGAGAACGGTGTTTCATCTGCATTTCTTGAGCATCTCGTAACTTCTTAATTGAACCTATATGTATTTTGTGGCCATCATCTTGAATACGCCCTTCGTTGTGTATATAATAGTCCAAGTGATTTTTGATCTCCTCATGAGATGAGAATGTTTTCGAGCACCAGCTACAAGTCCAACAAAGTCCCCCATATATATATGACCAGAGTTGTTTCTTCATCTGGAATGATCTTGCAGCGGGAAGGCAAACGTATATACAGCGACCACCCATGCACTTATAATACAGAAACGTCCAAGCTTTAGCTACATAGTTCTGGCGATGCACAAAGCCAGTAGTTTAATATGATCGGCTGGCAAGGTTGTTCGTGAAAAGGAGGATGCGTGAAGGTGAGACAAGGAACTGTGCTTGAAAGGGAATGAAACTATTCGTAGCTCTTGCTAGAATGATCAATGAAAGGGACGGTCTCTACAATTTCTCATGTCAGTTTGTGGTATATATATCCATGCTCCTTGATAGATTCCTTCGCTCCTATGCTNTTGTTGATCAAGTCATCGATCTGATCCGGAGGGGACAGCACATGGCCCTGGTTCCAACCATTGAGAGTGTTATCCTGATTATCCATGTTGTTGATCAAGTCATCGATCTGATCCGGAGGGGACAACACATAGCCCTGGTTCCAACCATTGAGAGTGTTACCCTGATTATCCATGTTGTTGATCAAGTCATCGATCTGATCCGGAGGGGACAGCACATGGCCCTGGTTCCAACCATTGAGAGTGTTATCCTGGTTATCCATGTTATTGATCAAGTCATCGATCTGATCCGGAGGGGACAGCACATGGCCCTGGTTCCAACCATTAAGATTATTGTTTTCTGTAGGTAGTTATTAGCTATATTTATCATACACCCCCGTAGTTTGACTAACCTGGCTGGCGATATACTTGACTTGATTCCTTTTGTCCAGAGGGCTCTACCCAGGTTTTACTGGCCTTCTGGCTCTGTGAAAGCAGGCTCCACTGGCTTAATGGATTTGAACTCTGAAGCAACCTATTGACAGCGCTATCATATGAGGTGACATAACCAACACAGCTATTACCGGCCCTTGAATCCGATCCGGACATCTGTGTTTCACGAGAGACTCCATTGGATTGAAAACTTGCGAGGTTTCCAACCTCGGATCTGGGCGCTGATCCATCGAATGGCATGTGCGACTCCCATGTAGTCAAAGAAGTTGGCCCCAGTGTCGACGAGCTTTCAGCCGGGATTTGGTCCACCTCATGCTCTACTACTGTCAACAGAGCCTGCATCAAAGTACCATTGTGTCCCTGCTCATTCACTTCAGCACGCTCGTCGTTAGTTGCACTACACGCTGTAGTTGCTTTCAATCGTTTCCTCCCGAGCTGAGGATTACTAGATCCCCGCTTTTGAGACGTCTTTGTGGAGTTGGTAGTATTTCGGTCAACTTGAATGTATTGAGGATTTGGGGCGGGCGCTGTGGCTTTCTTTTGGCTGTGGCGCTGGCGCCTAGGCTTCGTGTGTTTTCCCTGGACATTGTCATTCATCCATACGATTTCAGGCATCACTGGTAGGCCTGAGACGTTAGCAAATATTATCGAGTGCATGACGTAGTACTTACGACTGTCATAATACGCAAGAATTTTCTCTCCCAGTTCATTATATTTACTTCCTATGGTGACTATCCCTTTCTCAATCAGATAATCCATTGCTCTATCAAATCGAGAACCCGTTGAGGGAAGCCATTTCTCCCATCTAACTGATCGTGAGCATTGCGATCTCGATCTATAGATAATACTCACATATTGTTTGGAATGGCATCTCCAAGTAGAAACAGGCTGCCAAGGCACAGCCTCTTTCCAATGCTGTCATACCTCGGGCCGGCCTGTATCAAGGTTTCAATAGTATTGCTGAGATCTTGCATGTTGTTGCCATCTTCCGGAGGGTCGTCGCCATCTTCAGGAGGATGGATAAGAGGGAACAGTGCGCTTGCAATTGTTTTGGCATCGTCATTTCGAGCCTGCCGTTCTCGTTGCCTATAAAGTGCCACAGACTGGAATCTGCGCAGGATACAGGAATGCGCATCCGATTGTTGAAGCTGTAAGCTTTCAAAGATAATCTCATATGCTGGATTTTTTCTACTATAAACCAGCTGTTTTTGTAGTTGCGTAAATGAACTTGGCTGCGCAGCCCATTTTTTTATATTGAGCTTCAGAAGCGTTCGCGTGTGATATTCAGTGGGGTCGAATTCGAAAATTTTAGCTATCCGTTGCTCACCCTCCGGAGGTTTCGGATTGAGCTTTCTCTTGTTCAATGTAAATGGGAGCTGGGAGGCTAAACGTTCGTTTGTTGATAAGAGCCTATCCAGCTGCCCTAAAAATTCACCCAGAGATTCGACCCACTGTGTAATTCCATCGAAGTCTTCTCTGCATACCTCTTCAAGTGGTTGTTGTTGTTGAAGTGCTGAGCACAAACACATATTTACGTTGTCGTAATGAAGTGGAAATCGTGCAATCGCGAGAGAATTTGGAGCAACTGTTGATGTAGCAGATCTTACCAAATACAGGTTTCTTGGCATCCCATGGGATGCCAAGAAACCCGTATTTGGTTACTGCAGTCAGGCGACTAGATCCGGAATGCGAACGTCGGAAGCCACCCTTGGCCGCAAAAGGAAACACTCAACACATTCATCACCTGTAGTCGTCATGTCTCAGCCTTTGTATACAAAGGATAGAGAACTTCGCAGCTCATTTTGTCGTTGTGTTAGCTATTGTTCCCCATCTCAGGCTTGTATGCTTGTCTCCGCCCAGGTATTGGAAGGGTATTGGAGTCCTCCATTTAACTTCAGGTAAGGCACAAATCAGAAGATCCCATCCGCATAGGGTGATCAGATATATTGCGACGAGGGAACTGAATGTGAGGTCCCAACCCAGGTATGAAGACAGGACGACTTTGCATGCCGTTCCAGTCATTCTTAAAGACATCCGCTCTCCATATAAGAAGCTGCTGAGGAACGAGGCTGCCACCTCCTGAAGTTCTCATCTCATTCCTTTCAATCACACACATTCACTCTACACCGGTCACACTTGACCGCTTTTCTTTGCTCTCACCGAGTGTGCACTCTCTTGTTACTTTGTGCTTCGTTCATCTGCAGCAGTCTCCAAACGGCCATTGATTCTTCTGATTCGCTCCTCTCACCATGGACTTCCGTTCAGCATTGATTTACATCTCCAACCGACGAGAGGAAGCTCGGGCCGCACATTCAAGAAAACTGGCTATATTGATGACAAACAGGGATTGGGGTTGCTTTATCCAATTGTGCCCCAAAGACTTCCTGTCATACTCGAGAAGAGTATATGAAATGGACTCACGGTGGATACGCCTCGCTGAGGATGTTACAGCTTGTGCCATTGCTGGCTTATCTGAGCCAATTAGTGGCGTTGCCCAGGTACAGTTGGATATTACCTATGTCATCTGATTTTTTACTGACTTGATTTTCAACAGGAGTTGCAGCATCTTCGAAACTACTTCTCGTTCACAGCTATGCTTCAGGGTCTTCAAAAAGCCGGGTGCTTTCCCGAAAACCTATCGACCTTCCGGGGATTCATTGAGCCAGATAAAAATTATCAACTTTGCCGGGCTGCACATCTGAAGAACCCAGGGCTTCCTTTTTTACACCCTCACGTCCATGAACTACGCCTTCAAATGGCAATGGAAAGCCGACAGGGCATTGAAACAGGAAAAATATTACAGGAGCTTTTCCAGTTTGTGGCATATCGCAGATGGACTGACTACCATTCTGTGGATGAAAGTCTTCCAGACTGGTCGCCTCTGGTGACCTGGAACGCATTCACTTTACTAGTTTCTTTTCTCAGTACACCATGGCGTTGGGCCAGTAACACAATCTGGCTGGAAAGAGCGCCTTTGCCAGACATTGAGAGAAGCGCTGGAATACCAACGAGGCCAATGTCAAGTCGGGGAGACGACGAAGAAATGGTATGCTAGTTTCTCAATCTATCTCTTTTATCAACTAACATGGGAAGCAGGGTGTATCCAGTATATACCGACAAAATGGGTCTCAGCTCCCAGAGCAATTCTCTCAGAATTTATTGGAGGAGCCACTTGACGACGAAATAATGTCGCAATACTCAACGGATGGCACTGCACTCCTTGAACTGGGATTTGATGAAACGCGATATACGTTTATACTACTATCAAACCTAGAACACAGTGAGATAGTCAAAGTGGTTCTCCCCGATACTCTCCAAAATGTCATTCAACTTCTACATGTGCCCTATGCGCAAGAACTACCGGATGAGTCTTGGGAGATGGTTTCACAAACGTCCAATCTCACATCTGTACTGGACAAACTCAGGGAGACGTTTCCTACTTCTTGTATCAATCCACACTATGATCCATACATACCTACTGAGGATGAAATACTCAAGCATGGACTTGACGTGGCAAGAACCCTACGTTATGTCTGCTTCCAGGGAAGGTTAGCAGATGCAGGGGCGGCGGGGTCACTGGCATGATCAATCTTCTATGGAGAAAATCCAGCATCGTTTCTGCTCAAGTTGTTCAACTATCTTCCCAGTGCGCCATTTACTAATCTAAGAGTTGCGCAGGATGTTTATTGCCAGTCTCTCGAGTCCCAAGCCGCATTCCATGGCCTCCTCATTTTTCGACTCCGAGGATGCGGAGCAAGTGGTTTGGTCTCTGATGATTCTGGTTGAAATTGTCAGTTTCCATAGCTCAATAGGGAGAGGAAATATACCAAGTGCGCTTGAGAACGGTGTTTCATCTGCATTTCTTGAGCATCTCGTAACTTCTTAATTGAACCTATATGTATTTTGTGGCCATCATCTTGAATACGCCCTTCGTTGTGTATATAATAGTCCAAGTGATTTTTGATCTCCTCATGAGATGAGAATGTTTTCGAGCACCAGCTACAAGTCCAACAAAGTCCCATTATATATATGACCAGAGTTGTTTCTTCATCTGGAATGATCTTGCAGCGGGAAGGCAAACGTATATACAGCGACCACCCATGCACTTATAATACAGAAACGTCCAAGCTTTAGCTACATAGTTCTGGCGATGCACAAAGCCAGTAGTTTAATATGATCGGCTGGCAAGGTTGTTCGTGAAAAGGAGGATGCGTGAAGGTGAGACAAGGAACTGTGCTTGAAAGGGAATGAAACTATTCGTAGCTCTTGCTAGAATGATCAATGAAAGGGACGGTCTCTACAATTTCTCATGTCAGTTTGTGGTATATATATCCATGCTCCTTGATAGATTCCTTCGCTCCTATGCTCTTTCCTCTATCTCATAGCAGTCTACCTTTTAAACGCTTTTATTATGGCCGGATTACATGCAGATGGATATCGTGCCTTGGCTGCTATTTTCGCTCCAATATTGAAGCCCGATCTCCTCATCTCGCCCTTGACGTTTGTAGGGCCAGATGTTGTGAAGTTCAAGGAGATATTACGGAACGCATTTCTACTCTGCTCGCCTTATGAGTGCAACATACTTCGTTCTGCACAACAATATTTTCCGAACTGGTTTGATCTACACTGTTTTGCCTTTGACAAAAAGGAGCAAAGCACTCAAGCAGCTGCATTGACGCATAATTATTCAACTATAACGGGAGAGGCTATAGATATAGCCAATTACTTGTTGAATTTCAATTATATTGTGGTTAGTCCGCTGCTCATTACTCATAATAACTGCTTACATTTCAAGGATAAATATAAACCTCAGATCAAGGCTCAGGTTTTAGAAGCTGGGTATTCATTTCAAGTCCACGAGACTTACATACGACTCATTTCATGCACAAACTCAGCTTTTGAGTGGGATGAGAATTATATCAACGAAGCGTCGTCATTTTGCAAAGCATGTATAAAAGAAGAATTTTTTGGGAGGGCCTTATTGGAGAACTGGTGCATACAAGATGGCTTTGACTTGTTTGTAACACCCTCTATTGTTTAGTCCGTACTAATATTTCTAGTGCCAATTCCTGCATCTTTTTGCTTCAAGGCTATGTGGAATGCAGCCCTCCCAATGAGCTTGAGGCGTTTAAAGTCATTCCGATTGTGTATTGCGTATTAAAGATGCGGGATACTATCACGGCCGCGAACCGTTTTATTCGCAACAAGTTTGCAAAGCCAGGAAACATACAAGACAACATGTCAGCTCACTGGACTCGAGCATCATTCAGCGATTGCCTCGTTAAGCTGTATAGGCACGCCATTTCCTCGTCTGGGGACAAAGCAACTACCCGTTTCAGATTTGAGCCGTACATTTCATATGTGGAGAACTGTTGCACCTTTGATTATAAAATAGATGCCGATGCGATCTAGAGCATATTGGCTGGATTCATATGCCAGATATTGGGAAATAACGCGAATTATAACCTCAAACTCCTATTGTACAAGAGAAATAGGCTACTCTATTGGTCTAAGTTATGATTAAATTACCTCCCTGCAACGGGGACATCCTTGACTCCGATTAGTAAATTGTCTGTGACCTGCTGGCCAAGGTCCGAAGCCTCTCACTCTGCGCCATGTCAACAAAGACCAGCATCCTCACGCACTACTTGATTCATGGCCTTATCTAAATTTGCAAGTTGGAATATTGGCCGCCATTCTCTTGTTATGTATGCCCGCGCGCCTGTTACCCCACCTAATACTTACCTTACGCCACCGTCGCAGGTGCGATATAGGCCATGAGGGGCAGTCCAATATTCTGATGGGCGAAGGCATCTCTTCGCAAACTATTTGCCTTTCTTGCAGTATTTCCGCTCGGGGCTTGCCGCAAAGCATGCCTCCTCAAGCGGCGGATTTGATATAAAATTGGAAACGTTCGGTGAAGGTGGTGGAGAAGATAGCGGGGAAGATGAGAGCGAAGCCGGAGGCGACAATGATGATGAAGACATGATGATAGTTGAGGTGGCTCAGTTTAATTGACGGAGAGAGAAAAGCCGAGTTTCCTGTGTAGTAGTAAGAATCGTTAGATCGTGGGAACCGCGGTTTGATTTCGACGGTCCAACACCGACGATCTTCGCGATAGTGGGAGAAGGTATTCTGGGTAAAAGCAGCCGAAATTTCGCTCGCTATTCCGACTTTGAGGTTGAGGTGTATCGGCTCAGGGTCGTCGGTGAAGCAGTTCTGAGGTTGATCAGCCGCTGAGGGTGTTGGAACTTCGGTAACCAAATGCTTGATACGGGTAGCCACAACAGAGCTCCAGCTTACTAATCTAGGATTTCTGACACCAACAGGAGAGTGGAGAGGATATGGGCTACCCATTTTAGTGGGTGGGTTCTAAAATTAGTCTTGAAGATCGAGCCTCGGAGTCATGGGGTGATTGCGTCAGTGTCTCAAGGATGAAACTCGGCTAAGCATTGCTTCTAGCCAATCAATATTTGGCATGGGCGCCCAAATAACTTTCCCCAAGTTGTTGACTCATGGCACTCCAACAACAGCTCATTCTTATCATGCAGACATGCCCAGCTCAACCTCCACTCGATTTCACGCGGCAAGACTTTCGATGTGAGTGGTTACGACGAGGGGTTACTGTTCGCACTAAGTTAAAGTAGCCGCTGAGTATGTTTCTTGCGACAACAACGAAGCATTTGTCACTCATCATCCTGGTCATGCTACAAGTTCTGTTCTGATCAGTTCCATTTGGTTTAAGCGAAGTGGCAGTTATAAGTTTACTTCTTGTCCCTCCTTCCTGTCAACATGGCCCCGCGTCAAGCAAAACGAAACGTCCGAAACGCTGGGCGGCAACGGTTGGCTCCAAAAGACCAAGGTAAGCCATCTTCGCCCGTTTCTGTGTCCCTTAACTGATCGTTTGTAGGGAAGCGCCCTCAAGGTATCAAGAGAGAACGACCACAAGTATATACTCGCAAGAGCGACCGACTGGAAGATATACAACGTCGCCAAGAACGAACTGTGTCTAATGGCAGAAATATTGAACCCAAGAAACCAGCACCCTCCCCAACTACCGATGCTCCTGGCATAGAGGCAAGCCATCATGTCACTCTCTTTCTACGCAATAAAGCTAACTCTGCCAAGTCTTCACAAGCTAATAATCGAAAGCGAAAACGATCGCACGAAGCTCAAAGCCCCTTTTTAGCTACTGCCAAGCCGTCCCCAAAGCGCACGCGAAGGTCACCTCGACAGTGTGCTACTGACGATATATCTGGCGAAACTACAGCGAGCGGAGTTGACGTGAAGGAGATCAATCCCATTGAATTCTGGACAAGAAAACAACGGTGGCCAAAGGAACAGTTTCAACAAGACGATCAGACAAGGGCAGATCTGGAAGAAGACAGCTGGTACGAGAAGTATTGGGTGCCAGAGATGAACCATCTACTTGCCAGGAAGAAATCATCATCCTCTCTTCGCAAGAGGCAATCAGAAGCTGGCTCTGTCACGACTAGCTCTGCTACACCTAGCGATCAAAAGCCGCGAGAAGTCAAAAGCGCTCCCTATCAAGATGGGCGTTATCAAACTATTCTTGCCAGTAGAGGCAGCTTTATGGGCAAATCAGAACTGGGCAGCACAGATGCAAGCAAAAGTCTCTGTCGAACCCTACTTGAGAAAGAGCAGACGGTGCCTCAAGAGTCCTTGTTCCGTGACGACCTATTTGAGGAAGCTTGCGAAAGTATACAAAATCGAAACGAGGCTAGAGTCGTTCAAGATATCGCTCGACTAATTGTCCCTTCTGCGGAAACTCTCGCAACGTTCGGATCGAAAGACCTCAGGAGTTTAGTTGAAAGTGTCAATGAAGGCTGGAATAATTCTATACCTGTCACCCAAACTCGTCCACAACCCGACTATGCTGTTGGATTTGGGCGAAAGGCATTCACAGAAGATCAAATCAAAAGACTTCAACCTTTTGTTGGCGAGCTTACAGACAACTCTTACTTTATGGCCACATACTACATGTACTTTCCGTTCCTGACATGCGAGGTCAAATGTGGCGGCGCCGCTCTCGACGTTGCAGATCGGCAAAATGCTCACAGCATGACGATGGCAGTGAGGGGTATAGTCGAACTGTTTAGGCTAGTGAAGCGCGAAAAGGAGCTCCACCGGGAAATCCTCGCCTTCTCAATCTCGCATGATCACAGTTCGGTGAGAATCTACGGCCATTACCCTCTGATTGATGGAAAGCAGACCACTTTCTACCGCCACTCGATCCATAAATTCGATTTCACAGCGCTAGAGGGCAAGGAGAAATGGACGGCATACAAGTTCACTAAAAACGTCTACGACACATGGATGCCGACTCACCTTAAAAGAATCTGTTCGGTTATTGATGAGTTGCCGCCTGATTTAGATTTCGAGGTCTCGCAGCAATCCGACCAGGGGGAATCTGAACTTTCACAGGGGTTGGAAAGCCACTATCCCACTCGCCAATCAAGTCATGATGCTGCGTCTCTGCTAGATGAAGCTGACAGTCAATCAAGCCGTGATCCTTCGCGAGACGTTACGCCAGATACGTCCCTATCTCAAGGGATCGAAAGAGCCTTCAAAAAGCCTAAGAAAAGGGGCCGGGCAGTGGAGTTACATCAGTGAATGCCGTTATTCCATTGAGGACATCAAGATGCATTATCGGCTATTTTTTATGTGGGACATACTTATCACATGTGCCAAGGCGTTCAAGAACTTTGCCGGGAGAAGAGACGGATACGTTTGAGAGGGCCTTTGACAAGCTATATCAGTGCGATCAGGCTACGTCTTGCTGATCTGGAATTGGTATGGAAGCCTGCTAGATTTGGAACAGCTTGCGCTGTCGTCAAGAAATATGCGACTCATTTTGTGCAGCTTGCACTCGAGGACATGAAAAATAATGGTGAGAAAGCAGCATCTGAGAAACATGCATTTATCCTCGACCTATACAAGGAGTTGCAAGACTCGATACTCGTGGGGGATCAATTAGTCCATGTTCTGATTGCAGGAAGGGATACGACGGCATGTCTAATGTCATGGGCATTCTTCCTTCTTGTGAGGCATCCCGAAGCTCTCACACGAATCCGAGATGAGATCCAGACTATCACTGGAGGATCAACTGAGTTTACTCGGGCCCATATCAACAGAATGAAGTATCTCAGATGTGTGATCAACGAGTGTAAGCTTATTTGCAGTTCAATTGCTTAAGATGGACATCCGCTCACTATATACTTTCCTTCCAGCTCACACAGCCAATAAAGCATCTATTCAGCTTGGCGTGTGGTGTTGCGCTGGCCTGTTGAAGCTGCATGAGCTGAGATTACAACAAGGCGACATTGATACAGAAGAAACTGTGCCTTTAATTGGCATGACTGCTATTGGACTGGACTGGAAATCACACGTGGCATATAAACTCCCAGATGATGGTGCTGTAGTGAGTCATTTCCACTTTCACACACTGTATGAAGTAGAGAAATCATCAGCTGACTTGCCTTGTGTTGTCAAGGTTATTCTAGGCCCTGTATCCATTGGAGGTTACGAAGACATCCATAACTTCTTTGTGCTTAATAGTGTCTTCAAGATCATTGCGAAATGGGCAGAGCAAGATTACTGGACACATTTTCGGGGTATTTTTGGAGTCTGATCATGGTGGAGAAGGATATGGAGGCCGAGACGATCCACCAGGGCGAGCGTTAAGGATTCAAGAGACGGTGGGTGGTGATAGGCGCGGGTTATTATTACCTTGACTACTTGCTTCACAGTCAAAGGTGAGTCGTATGCATAGAGCAAGATCATATTCATACATCACATTAGATCTGCTCTATACTATCTATAGACGCCCGCGGCATACCATAATGATGCGCACCACAATGTGGAGGCTGTGAGGGCTTTAAGTGACCTATTTTACCCTCGGCTGCAATGTGCTCCAGCGCGTGCGTACTGCGCCCTTAGTCCTGCCCGGGAACTTGCTGAAGATCCACTCCCAAGACTTGCCCTCCTTCTTGTACACTGATAAGCGCTGCTTGTCAAGCGGTGACCATTCACTGTATTTCCTATCGTCCGAACGGCCCACATTATCCTCGCTCGAATATGCATCACCATCGCTACCGGTATTAGGATCACCGTCGCCAAAACCATCGACATCGGACCTGCTTGACGCTGACCATTGACTATACTTTCTCTTGTCCGAACGTCCCAGTTCATCCTCGCTCGAACCGTCGCCAAAACTATAGTCAACGATGCGGCTTGACGCCTCTCGCCGCTGTGATGGAAAAGTGCTCGCGCTACGGCCTTTGTCTGCCCGGGTACGCCTTGCACTTAGCGGGACGAGGTATGCGTTTGTAGTAGACCTTACAGTCCTCCCACTTTGAGAAGGGCAGGAAGACGTACGCCGGCTAAAACCAGTCACCAAGAACAAATGTTGCTTTAGCTGCTTTATCGTGAGGTCCTTGGTATTCCCGGCATGACCAACGCACTCGATGAGTTTAGAGAATTGGCCGAAAGTGAATTCCGGCTCGTCACGATCGTCCTGAATGAGCGCCGAAAAGGAATAGTAATCCGGAGAATAGGGACGGAATGTGACCTCAGTGAGTAGTGGCCGGGTATGTTTGGATGATTCGCTGAGGGCGCCGCGGTCCAGAGAAGAATGGGGTGACGAGGGTAGTTGGCTGTCACCGTTGCAGACTGGGTGCCTCTGCGGGAAGCAATTTTTTCTCTGCTGGGTAGATCCAAGCTGAAGATGCTGCCCACGCTTCCGTTGCGTTGGGCTAATGTAAGATGAGAATGGCCGCTTCCGCTTAGTAGGGCATCGCCTCCGGTCGCTCTCGTCTGACTCAGCTTCGGTGGTACTGAGCTCGTCATCGCTGTAATTGTCGCTGTTGCTTGTCGCTTGTTCTAGGCTTGGCTCCATGGATAGACTGCAGGGGGTGAGGATCCTGTGGCGCTTGGCTAAGCTGGTCCTTCTAATCACACTCGCGGGGAGATGGAGTTCGTCGCCCATTTCAGTTATTGGCGCTACCCTCGCCGTATTTTCGTCTGACTGTTGTAGTCCATTGCCATTGCTATTGATATTCTCTTCTTCGTCTTGCTGCTGCGGAAGCATCTCCTCAGAGGTATTATTATCGAATTCAGGCTTAGCTTGCCTGCGATAGGCACAATCTGCCTGACTGATTCGGCCTTGTTGTGACAATCTAGGCCGGCGTGGAGACTGGTCGCAATGACGCGTGGAGAGAGACTTTGTTGTCTCGGACTCAGCACAAACCATAAAAGGGTCTTCTGTGTTGATGCAGCTTTGCAATGGCTCGCTCGAGGGGCGCATAGAATCCAACATCGAGGATTCTTGGTCAGGATCGGAAGTAGGCGTTAGGATCGGATTGAGCACAGTTTCAGTGCGACTAAAATTCTCCTGGTCCCCGCTTACATTTCCCCAGTCAATTTCGTCCTCAGAGGCACAAAATTCGACATCTTGCAGTTCAATTGGATTGCCTACACAATAGCAAGAATCATGTCAGAGTTTGTCATGTGCGACAAAAGATATTAGGGGTGCTCACCTTGGTCACCACTAGAACTGACGCTCGATACTGACGTGTCCTGGTCGATGGACCTGACCTTCGCCAAACATTCTTCCACAGCTCCTCGGATGTGTTCTTTACCTGGTTCCCCCAGGCCAAAGCCCGCCTTCTGTAGTTTGGTGTGCAAAAGCTCCTCGATTGTGGGGAGGTAGTCGTCGCCATAATCGCCACTGTTACCGAAGTATGCATTGCTACTCTCAACTGAAATTCCCAAAGTTAGTCATGCCTGCTACAGCTAGCATTTAAGTCTCTCAAATACCTTGATATCCGGGCATGCCGCTGCCATTCTCATCAGTTGCTGCGCCTACTGCTGGCCATGGAGCGTCGAGTGCGACTCCCTTCTGCTTGGCGGGAGAGTGGTCGTTGAGGATACTGGATTGCTCTGGGATAGGTTTGCGGCGAGCGTTCGCGCCCCGAGGACGCGAGGCAGTTGGCACATATTTATAAGGTATTGGGGCAAAGGTGGCCATGTTGAGCGCATCAAAATCGATTTGAATTATTTCACCAACTGTAGGCAGGGGATCGAAAGGCTCATATGTAGGCTTCTCGGTCGCATCGCCCTGCCCCTCCTGCCATCTTCCCGACTAAATCTACACCAGGGCAAAAACCTCTGCATCTCGCGCAGGAATGTTCCCATGCATAATCGACCAATTACAACATCACAGTTCTGAGAGATTGCCATCCCGTGCCTGCTCAGCTCCGCGGCCTTGCCGACGACTGTACTGAGGTGGCCCCATGAACTCCGATCCCACGCAAATGACCTATCGAGTATATCGCAGTTCTCCACCAATGGTGGTGCAGCCCAGACCGAGCCAACGCGAGGTATTTACGCGACTGGCTACGTGCGGCAGCATGTGTGCCCCGAAGCGTCGCCGCACTTCAAACCTCCGGCGCTCTCTCCCTAAAGGGGCAGAAACAATGGTGCGATGACAACGCAGACTCAAAACTGCTCTGGCCTCGGCTGTTTCTGAGCCAATGTGACGCAGATGCAAGGCGGTGACTCGGAGACGCACACGTCACAGCGCACAGCCAGTCGTGAAAATGCCTGACGTTGGCTAGGCTCCTCGAGACGGTCACGCTGCAGTCGGACACCCCATCCAGCTCGAATCCGCAACGATCCTACCTCCATAACTTCGACGCTGTGACTGCGGCACCTCAATCTCCTGCACGCTCTGCCTGAAGGGGAAGGACAACGGTGCATAACGAGGCGGATTCAAGGGCGCTCCGACCTCAGCCCCTCCTGAGCCCGCATCACGAGCCAATGTGAGTCAGATTCAACGCGCTGAGCGCCGTCGGAGTGAATATGGGTTATGATATGGAGGCAAGATCGTCGCGGATTCGAGCCGGATGCGGTGTCTGGCTGCGGTGCTGCTGTCGAGGGGAGCTTGGCAGCAGTGGGACAGCAGCAGAAGGGCTGAAAGGCGCCCACCGTGAGCGCATGTCAGGCAACGGAGCGTCGCAAGCGAAGCGGTGTGTGTTGGCTGTCGGGGAATGGAGAGAGTGAAGGGAAGGGAAGAAAAGGAGAGTGGTGAGGGTGAATCTTTATACCCCGCGAAAGCGGCGGTGCGTCCGTGCACGCGCCTTGCCTAATGCGGGGGGGGGTTCCTGATGCGGGCGGACGCGGTTTCCTGATGCGCACTTGCCGCGTGTTATTTTACCAAAGTATTCAGTATATCCTTCAGAGCGGTAAAGCCTATAATATAGACTCCTTTACTAAACACGTGAGCAGGAATAAGTAGCGTAAAAGATAGGGCTGACCACATATGACCACAAGTGCTTCAGTCACACTGTATCTTTACATTATTAACATCAAAGTTCATTATTTATAATGCCACCAAAAGAGTACGCTCCACAAAAGAAGCTTAAGGCAAATTATAGGCTACAAGTGAAGATAGATGTGGAGCTATAGCATCAATGAGTGAAGATGTTTCTGCTACAGCAAGAGATAAAGACCTTCAGCAGGAGCATGAGAAGATAGCATTACTTCGGTTAGCCGACCAGTTTTTCACCTCAAAAGGACGTTCACTAGAAGAGGTCGCTCATGATGAAGCTAGGGCATATGATTTAGTCTCTCCTGTTATATGGGTTGCATTAATGGTAGTATATAGATTACAACGGCGTCAGCAAGCTACAAACGCACCAACAGAGCCTTCCTTCGCCTGAGTCCCATCACCAATAAAGATGCAGTTAGATGTAACTTATCTCTATAAACATTCTTTTGCACCGAGCGGCGCATCATCATCTACGTTACGGCAAGATCTTGCCGATGCAGAAATAGCAATTCATCAGAAACAGCCAGGACAGTTAGTTAGCACTGAAACTCCAAGCTTCCCCCTCTTCCGGAACGCAGCACTTGAGGGTATCCTTCCTCAAGATATGGTAGTACCTATACAAAGCAAAAAGACGAAGGGACAACCTCAATGGCTACGTATTTAGATCCTGTTTAGATATAGAGCCTACGGTCATAGATTATGAATAAAGAGATGGTTATACCATATAAATAAGCTATAGTATTGTGTTGACCATAGAGTAGAGCATTAAATATTATATCCTTTATTTTATTAAATATATAAAACTTATATTCCCCCCTTAATACTAATGTAATGGTGTATTATAAATTAATATAATTGAAGTAATAGCATCATACTACAGTATTAACTATATTAAGGTTTATATGATAGGGTAGAACAGTAGTAAATGGTTGTGGTGTGGTAGAAACATAGAGTTGAGAGGCATACTCTGTCATCGTGATTTTGGAAAATTTGCTCCGCTTTGCCGCTATTTACCATACAAATACCAGTAGTAGCGAAAGGTGCAGAACTAGCTAGAATCATGATGAGAATTGTGATTTTGGACTGTCATCATAGTAGCCAATAGTAGTGTTAAAGTAAGAAGTGGCCCCATAACTTTATGGGAGAGCTTTGATGGTACCAAAACTGCAGCGAAGCCTACAGTAATACAGCACCTACAATTAGAACACAGGCTTTTACAGGCTTCTACCATTCACCCTAGCACTTGTTTTATATCGCTACATAGGTAACGTAAGTCGTGGCATAAGCGGCGATCTGGCGTAAGCAGCGATAAGTACCCTTATATACAACTTTGTTTGGAAAGGTACTTCTACATCCAAAACCAAAACCTTAAATAGCTCCATGGATAAAAATCGTTAGGCTTAGCTGTTCAATATTTAGGTTCTATATATAGGCCTTTACCTAATATAAAAACGCTAGTATTGCTAGTGTGATTATTATGCTTCTATTAGTAGGAGAAGATTGCTCATACAAATATTTGTATGAGGAAAACTTAACCATTAAATTAGCATTGCAAAAAGACACTAGCAATACTAGTGTTTTTATATTAGGTAAATGCCTATATATAGAACCTAAATATTGAACAGCTAAGACTTACGTTAACGTAACTCATGGCGTAACGGGACGGATGGCGTAACGGGATGCTTTGCCAGAGCCACCCGCACCCCACCAAAACCAAGGTCACATGACCAAAATTAAAACGTTAATAACTTTTGTAATAATGCTTATAACACTTAATCCTCTTAGACTATTACTCTTTATAGTCTTAACGTAGGTCGTGGCCATACCGGGGCCATGGCCATACTGGGATGGTGAGGTAAGCGAGCACTTAACTAACCCATCAAACCCATCAACCAACACACCAAACCTATCAATTACCCCATTATTATGGTACGCAAACGGAGTTTAAAAGCTCAAGAACGCGATATTCTAATACTTGAAGCAGTAGCTGGAGTAAAATCTGGTTTATATAAAACTGCAAATGCTGCTGCAAAGGCCTTACACCTAAGGCCTGATACAGTTGTTAGCCGCATTAAAGGGCGACATACCTCACATAAAGAAGCACATTTAAAACATCAATTACTCTCCCAAACCCAAGAAAAGACCCTTTTAAAATGGATCAAAAATCTTACTGCAAGTGGTTACGCTCCTAGCCATCGCATATTACGTGAGGTTGCAGAGGAAGTGCGGTCAAACAAGTGTCGGGTCTTCCAAACCCAGGTGAGCCAACCTACAGAGTTAACCAGCTCAGTCAAGTCAACTACCAACCCATCAAACCTGCCATAGACTGGCAGACTCGGCTATTTCTAACTAGTGGCTTGGCAGACCCCATCAAACCAACCGGCTCAGCAGCAGTCCTGACCAACTCAGCAGTCCCGACCGACTCAGCAGTCCCGACCAACTCAGCAGACCCGACCAACTCAACAGACACAAACTCAACAACCACAACTCCAACTACCTAAGTTACCACTTGGGCAAGATTGGGTGCCACGGTTCATTCAGAGGCATCCTAACTTACGTGTTAAGCTAGGAAGAAGGGTTGAGGCACAAAGGATGAATGGGGTCACAAAGCAGGTGTTGAAGGGGTGGTTTGACGCGTACAAGAGCCTCACAACAGAGCAAAAAATCCAAAACTACAACACCTACAACATGGATGAGACTGGATTTTCAATTGGAACAATGCAATCTACACGAATTATAGTCGATTCTACACTTAGGACGCGTTTTCAGGCACATCCAGGAAGGCAGGAATGGGTCTCTGCTGTTGAGTGCATCTGCATGGATGGAACAACCACCGACCCCCTCATTATCTTCAAGGGACAGAATGTACTACAGAGCTGGATTCCAAAGGATGTTATAAGCAAATGGCACTTCTCTGCAAATACAAAAGGATGGACAAGCAATCTTCATGGATATGAGTGGCTAAAACGCGTTTTTGAGCCTTCTACAAGAGCAAAAGCAACACTTCCAAATGGACAACTACAACAAAGGCTCCTTATTTGTGATGGCCATGACAGCCATATAAGCCGGAGCTTCATATCACACTGCATACAGAATCGCATATCGCTCCTTATACTACCTCCACATACCTCACATATACTCCAACCACTTGATGTTGCAATTTTTGGACCTTTGAAAAGACACCTCACAACAGCCCTCTCACACCTTAATGAGGCGCAGCTCCTACGCATACAGAAAGCAGAATGGATGGATGCATACATACAAGCAAGAGCAGCTGCATTTTCAAATTCAAATATAACTTCTGCTTGGAGAGGGAGTGGGCTACAGCCATTTCAACCGCAGACAGTTATCCGCGCAGCTACGCTTCCTACAACAGATGCAGTAATAGTGCGGCCAAAGACTCCAACAGAGCATGACATTTTTGAGAAAGTATTTCTGAACAGCAGTCCACCTGATTTTTCAACACTTCACAAAGCAAATACAGTACTCTCTTCTACAATAAGTCGTGGCATTCTCAACACTCCTACAAAGCGATATATTCATAAGTTAGCAGATGAGACAGAGCGGCTCAATACATGCCACATACTACAACAAAGGGAGACAGATAACTTGCGCTCAATTATTCAGAAGCGCAGAGTACAAAATAAGGGCAAGAGAGCAGTTTTGAAGGGTCAATTCCACATCACAACTGAGGAGTT